CACAGCTCTCACAGCGCAGCACGGAAAGAATGTAAATGTATTTGTGTTTAGAAATGCGGCTGAAGGAGGGGAAAAAAAGAGGAAATCTGGACCGGGTCCATTCCAGATCCCTTTCAACAGCCCCCCCAAAACCCCCCACCAACCTCAAACAATTTACCCTCCCCACTTCTCCCTCTCTCTCACACTCTCTCTCTCTCTCTCTCTCCCATTCACTCTCATTCCTTCACTCTGTTTTACTCTCCCTCTACCATTGGCACTCGCTCTCACACTCTCTGTCTCATTCTCTCTCTATCATCACTCACTCGCTCTCACACTCTCTGTCTCATTCTTTCTCTATCATCACTCACTCTCTCTCACACTCTGTCTCATTCTCTCTCTATCATCACTCACTCTCCCTCACACTTTCTGTCTCATTCTTTCTCTATCATCACTCACTCTCTCTCACACTCTCTGTCTCATTCTCTCTCTATCATCACTCACTCTCTCTCACACTCTCTGTCTCATTCTCTCTCTATCATCACTCACTCTCTCTCACACTCTCTGTCTCATTCTCTCTCTATCATTACTCACTCTCGCTCTCACACTCTCTGTCTCATTCTTTCTCTATCATCACTCACTCTCTCTCACACTCTGTCTCATTCTCTCTCTATCATCACTCACTCTCTCTCACACTCTCTGTCTCATTCTCTCTCTATCATTACTCACTCTCTCTCTCACACTCTCTGTCTCGTTCTCTCTCTCTATTATTGAGTGTGTTTACATGCACTCAATAATCCAATCCGATTTCTACAGTTTTCCGATTATTCACATGGTCATGTAAACGCCATACTCCGCTCTAGAAATCCAATCTAGAAATCCAATTAAGAAATCTGATAAAGAGAGCTGGATTTTAGCTCAGTAATCAGATTTCTCAGTGCATTTAAACTCTTACTCTGATTTCTTTCGGGTTTCTCAGTCTGAGCATGCGTGAAAACAGATTGCAGTAGAGGAAAATAAGCCAGCAGCGTCGCTGTGAGATGCAGCAAAACACTTTCGGAGTGATGCTGAAACCAAATACATGCTTGACGGCATGAAGGATTTAAATATTCTTCATCTTCTAGATGATGTGTGTTCATATTTTCAGGTAAAGTGGTGCGATGTTTTAAAAAAAAGCTGCAGCATGAAGTTTGGGTTTTATGTTATGTTTACGTCGCGTCTCCTTCTGTGAGTCTATTGGCCAGTTTCAAAGCAGAAATCTGATTACTGTCTGACTCATGTAGACTTGGAGTTTTCCTATTATCTGATTACTCAAGCGCGTGTAAACACGTTGATCTAATTACTGACAAAATCTGATTTTCTGCAGTTATCGGACTATTAAGTGCATGTAAACGCACTCATTGTCACTCTGTCTATCATTGTCATTCGCTCTCTCTTTCTCATTCTTGCTCACTTTCTCCTCTCTCGCTCTCTTATTCTCTCATTCTCATTTGCTTATTTTCTCGATCACTCCTCTTTCTCTCTCTCTCTCTCTCTCTCTCTCTCTCTCCCCCCCGTATCCTGCTGCCTGTCATAGACTCTTTGCCTCGTCTGCAGTTTCTCTCTTTTTCCCTTCACTGAATCAGTCTATAATTCCTCCGTGTCTCTCTGCCAGTGTTTTGTTCTGTGGCTCAGACAGAGAGATCCATCTCTATTTAGCTGGTGGAAACATGCTGTAATCTACTGCCCTGGACTTGATTTGCGCTAATTGCATAAAAAGGTGTTGGTTTTGCCCAGAGTGGTCAAACTTCATCAGAGCAGGCCTGTCTGGTCGGAATAAACCCTAGAGGCGTAGAGGAGAAGCCAGTGGTCATAAAGCAGGCTGAGCTTTAGAAGGTGAGAGGCACCGTTTTAAAATAGTAAGTCAATAATTTTATACCCGACATTAAAATAGAAATTCAGAGCAAATTGAACTGAACAGTGGACGGCGTTGTCCAGCTTTCTGTTCTGTATATTTGAGAGGTTTTTTATGGAACACTCCAGATAGGACCTGTGAATCATCTCCTGTTGCGTAACATGAATAAGCTGAGAAATGATTCCTGTGTGTTTCTCTGAAATGCACATTTTAGACATGATTGAAACACTCGTCACTCTCCACCTACTGCTGGTAAAATGTTGACAGTGAGCAGAGATTTTCGTCTCTGAACCGGAGTCCAAATCTGAAGCTGTATAAACATATTATTTATCTTTGTACCTGCCTCAAATGTTCAACTCTCACCGCCATTCGGGAGCTGTTAATTCACTTTTATGACGTCCCTTTGGCTCTCTATGTCAATTTTTGTGTGAATACACATGTGTCTTTTCGTTCATTGAATGATACAACCAGATGCTTTCTTTTCGTCTTGTCTCAAGATCTGACAAACAAGCAGGGAGCAAATCCATGACATTTTCAAGGCCCCCAGTAGTGCAAGTAGACGTAAGTAGAAAATTGTATGTAATATGTAGTTCTGCTCAGAAATGGGAGCTTAAGTCTCATGGTGGCTCGCGACTCGACTCGGCCTTGAGACTTACGACTTGTGCAACTTCCACAAACAAAAAATCCACAAACAAAACAGTTACTAGCACCAACCTTAATGCGGTAAATGCAGAAAGCCTTTTGTTTCCAACCTCATACACGTCAGTTTTGGTTGGAGTCTTTTTATTATCAGAAAGAACTCATTTTGATGGACAGAACTGAAGCTAAATGCAGTGTTTAAAGGAAAGAAGCAACTTGACGGCATGAAGGATTTAAACATTCTTCATCTTCTAGATCATGTATGTTTATATTTTCAGGTAAAGTGGCGCAATGTGTAAAAAAAAAGCTGCGGCATGAAGTTACGTTACGTTTACGTCGCGTCTCCATCTGTGAGTCTATTGGCTGGTTGTAAAGCAGAAATCTGATTACTGACTGACTTGCAGTTTTCCTATTATCTGATTACTCAAGTGTGTGTAAAAACGTTGATCGTTACTGATAATCTAGCTGACATTTTACTAAGTTACAGATCTCATTCCTTTAAAACTTGATGAAACTACAGCTGGATTAGCTGTTATGCTAGCTCGTTAGCATATATGCTCTATAAGACCAACCAACTGTTTGTCTTGCCAACTATTTATAATGGAAAGTAGCTAAAACCTGCTCGAAAAGTCACTAAATATCACTACCCTGATAGCAAGAGGATAGTGGTCCACTGTTGGCCCTCTCATGGCAAAGCTGGCAGTCCACTGGCTTTTTGCTCAGTGTTTTCCGGGCAGCCCACTGGTGTTTAAGCAGAGTATTAGATTTTTCTTCCTTCCTTTTGTTTAGTAATACTTAGTAAATTAGTTCAGTAAATAATTTTAATCCAGCTCAGTGTCAGTAACAACATTTTCTATAAAATTATTCTATATCAGGCCTAGTCATTATTTTTTTTTGCAATATTTGTCTTAGTTTATTTTCCAAAATAAAAGTCTCTGTGCATTTAAAATGTTTGAGCAGATTAAAAACTATAGAGTTGTATGCAGGACAGTAATCTAGGTGGTCCGAAGGTGGACCAGCAGTGGCAAACAGTCAACTGGGTGCCGATCTTATCCAGCCAGCGGACCGATATATGCTTGCTATCTGGGGAGATGACGTCATGCGCTAATTAGCATTGCATTGTATTTGCATTCTGCCTCGTGTCAAAAGGTGTCAGCCCTTTACATCTGTTTGCTTCTCTTTTAGTCTTTACACTCACATATACTGTATTTTAATACAGCTAAATTTCCAGTGAAGCTGTCATTTATATATTTTTCTGTTTCTGTTTTCAGACAAGCAACTCTTTTGGCTGGCTACTCCGCCACTGGCTGACTGCTAACTCACGCACCAGGAAATGCTCTTTTCTACTTTATAGCCTAATATGCTCTTCTACACATTAATTTAGATCTTACACATCTCCTTCAGATTTACAGACATGAATTTTGATTGATCCAAGAGGTTAATCAGGTGTCCTGGACCCCCCATAACCCCCTATATTTGGCACCTTGACTGAAAGTAGCAATAAACATCAGCCTCAAGCTCATAGATCTAATCATGTATCTTTAATGGAATAAAACTTTTAACACCATTTAGTGGATTTATCACGTTTGGAATCAGCTAACTGTTCACAAACACCTCAAAGTCGGAAGAATGGAAGAAAGGATTCAAATGAAGCCCCCCCCCCTAGAAAAAAACAGCATATATTGTTTTTTGGATGCTGGTATGCTGGTCAATCAGCATAACCATGTTGGGTGACCAGCTAAACCAGCATAAACCAGCTTAGACTAGCATGGAATTCATGCTGGTCTGTGCTGGTTTTTCAGCAGGGAAGCTGGTGAATATGAAGCAAATCTCAGCTTTGTGGTGAGGTATGCATTAAAACTGCCACTACCAATCAACAAATGTAAGATTTTACCTTGAAAACACACTGTTTTCCTGCTAAAGGGTCGAGATGAAGTGAGTTATGCTGTGACTGGGCTAATAATGCTAGCATAGGAGTCAAAAGATTAGCATTTATGTCTCTTTTCAAGAGTTTAGACTGACTGCTTCTTCAGTGTAAACATAAGCCTTGTGTGATCCAAAGTGGATGTTTGTGGGATTTAATATAGTACAGTACAGTAACATTGTCATTAGTTTGCTAACTAGCTAGGAAAGCAGTGCTAAAAGGCTACCTGCAGTGGAGTATGCTAGTGGCTGAGTGAAATACGCCAGTAACTGAATGAAATATGCTGGTTGCCGAGTGAGTTAAATCTGTCGGCTGAGCGGAATGACCATTTGTAAACTGTACAGGGGATTTGAATGACTTTTCTGACCAGTTGGGAAAAAGTGTGAATAAAAGAGGTGGAAACATTAGCATATCCAGATCATTACTCCACTGCATTGCTTGGGATTTTGTATAGATACACTCCATCAATAATGCTAATTTCATCATTATATAGTTGCTATATCTTGCTGATTCACTTTGCTTCACTTTTTAAGCATGACAAGCCTGAAAAACCACAATAAACAGTGATGTCTTTAAGCTCTCTCAGTGTTTGTGAGTATTTGCAGCATGTAAAGAACGAACCCTGCCAATATGGCGGAACAACCCTGTAATGCAGCAAAACTAAGCTAAAATTCTCTGCTAAAGACTCGAGACTCGATTCAGCCGCACACCCCAGAGAGTTTAGAGTCAACTCAGATGACAAGACTTGCATTAACATCTCTGGTATTGCTTTTGGTATCTTAGTGCTGTGCATAGGTGGACTTTCCACTGGGAATGAGGGGAACATGACCTTTCCACCAGTTCCTGCCACCCCTGCTTTCAAAGTTGGGTAAAGAAATAATTAAATCAGGTAGTTCTACTCATAATCCTGATGATACAAATAGAACTAATAGAATTATAGCGTGCATTGGTTGTCGAAGTGATCTGAAGTAGACTACACCACTGATGTATGGATATTTGGATGCACCCATTCCATGGTTATGCTAGTAACAAGTTCTGAGAAGACGCATCCTCACAGGTTGAACGATATCATGGTGAAGATCAAGGAGCAAAGAAATAAGGTTTCAAATCTTCAAAACTGCCAAACAGAAAAAAGTATCAAACTTCATAAAGGCTTGTCTTTCTTGGGAAACCAAAAACTCCACCCTTGGTGCAATGTGTAGAGAGGACATGTGCATAGGGGATACACAGGGATGAGGAGGACCCTTTACAAGCTGAGCTCCATCTTCTAAACATGTCCTGCTCATGAGGTCTGCCATCTGAGCTATTACATACATTTAAAAACAGAACTGGGAACTGGACTTTCCCCCCCTGTCCAATGTGTATGCGTGGAGAAGTGTAGCTATGTTGAGTCTTTGGCTGTGTTCTTGATTCAGTCAATGGGCCTGATCATCATGCGCACAGTCTTCATGGAGTAGAAGCCTCCACCGTAGTCGGCCCAGAAAATTCCATCCTGGAACTTGCTGCGATAGACTCCTCCGGAATACCACACTCCGTTCAGATTGGTCTGCCCACACGCGTTGTACCACCAGCCGCCTTTGTGGAAGTGAGCGCAGTTACCTGCCAGAGTGTTGAGAGGAGACGGGTTGACGGAGAGAGAGAGAGGGAGAGAGATTTAGAAGTCGTATGAAAACCTTGACTTCAAAGGAGAAGGGATAGAAAAATATTGGGCCTCATTCACCAAACGTTCTTAAGAAGATTTTTCTTCTTAAAGCCCACTTACGCAGTTTTACGAAGATTCTGACATTCACCAATGTTTTCTTATTTGGGATTTGCTTTTGGGTAAGAACAGAAGATACACACACTCAAGAGCACAGAGGTGAGAACAATTCTGCGATTTAAGATCACGTTTTTCTTAGGAACTTTCTCAAGAACACATAAAAGAAAAAAAATTAGGAAGATGCTGGTGAATGAGGCCCAATGTTAACGGCTGTTAAAATTATTTAACATATTTTTACATTTTGGACAGTTTCTATTGGGTCATTCATCATGAAATCTTTACACAATATAAAGTGTTTAAAACAATGATTCATGAGGTCTGAACTGTTGTTTCTATAGACTTACATTATAGTTTTGTCAGGGACAAGCCTACAACATATAGCACTATAGTGCTGCTGCAGTTTTAGTGTGTTTAGAGCTAATTTGCATACCCGTGAGACCCTGTAGCTCTGTGTTTAAGCTGCTGTTTAGATTTACAGCATTTGGCAGATACACTTATCTAGAACGATGATCATTTTTTACAGAGGTAGGTGAAAGTAGTGTTAGGAGTCTTGCCCAAGGACTCTTACTGGTGTAGTGTAGGGTGTTTAACCAGGCAGGGGGTCGAACCCCAATCGACAGGATAGAAGGCAGATACACTACACTATACCAACCACAACAGATAGAAGAAGGGTTGCTTTTAAAAGGTGAATGTGTCAATCTGGTTGTACATGCTAGTAAGTGTCATACTGGCAGCTTAGATGATGTTCATTACCATCAGCAGGAGTATGGAGGGCTTTGTTAGCCCCCACTGGCTTCCCTTAGCTTTTTCAGTTCTGTGGTGAACCACCAAGCGTTACACTCAATGCTATTAGTGTTACTAAAGCATTTCCACACCATGTTTCTAGGTCTTCCCACTTCCTTGCTGATTCTTAAAAATAAAGGTGCCAAAAATTTGTTCTTGAGAACCACCTCTGGTTCCCTAAAGCACCTTTCAGTGGATGATTCTTTAAAGAGCCATTTCTGTAAAAGTACTCCGAAGAATCTTTTAAAGTTTAAACAATCTGCAAATAATGTAGTTTCTAGAAAGAACCTTTAAACTGGTAAAAAAGAAAAAAAAAAACAAAAAAAAAAACTTTTATATAATATGAAGGTTCTTTAAACCTTAAAAGATCATATCTCCTTTTCAAATATGGTTTATTAGTGAACCAGAACTAGTTCTTCTATGGTATTATTCAAAGAAACCTTTATGGTACTTTTGTTTAGGCTGACACAATCGTGGCCATTTCTCCTGTTTAATCTGCTTTTCTCTGTTAATAACTCGATATCTCAGTGCTGTTGCTGTACTTATCTACATGTAAAGAACTTTGAAAATTCTGAGGTTTTTATTTTGTGTCACAAACTACCTTTTTGAACAAGAACACATGAATAGGCAAATTCATATTCATATTCAATAGGCAAGTCACACATCAGTCACAGTTTTGGTCTGATTAAACAAATCAGTAATCAGAGATTACTGATCTGAGCCGTGCTCTGATTGAGTTTGTGTGCTCAGTCAGAAAAAATCACATTAGAACCAATGATAAAGGAAGCCTCATCCACCTTAACAGATTAAAACGCGTTTAAGGGGCCAACACCAAACTCAGCATGCTCAGTTCAGTAGGGTTAAAAGTAACTTCATCACCAGACCAAAAACATTGTCATTTCAAAATCGTGTCATTTTTCACTTTTTTACTTTTTTTTTATGTTTTACCATTGAAGACATCAGCTGCCATTTACACTGCGTGAATATTTTATGGAGAGTTGATGAATAGAAATGATAAAAAAATCACTTTCTCCTGGGAGGTTGTCTGTGCCAAACCCTAACCCCTAAATTTAAGAAAGAAAAAAAAAAACCTTTCATTTTTTTGTATTTTTTCCAATATTTAAGATCTTTTTGCTATAATTTAGATTTAGATTTATCTTAGTTTAATTTACAGTTTATTAAAAAAAAATGTTGTCTCATGTTTTCATGTCACAAAAACAGAAAGAGTTTTAGTCTGTAGGTGGGGCCTTATTTTAGCCACACCTCTGCATTTTACAGCAGGAAGTGAGACTGCATCCCTGTCCCTTATGGCCACATGGTGAGCAGTTAGATCCCATTGTTTTAAGGTAAGTGTGTCACAAAATTTGAAAATCAGCATGTAACATTAAGAACTGTCACAAAACACATATTTTCTTCAATTAAGTAAACTTTTTTGTGTTTTAATTAAAGATGATGTGTGTACAACTGTTCAAAGCTGTGTTTGTGAGTCATGTACTGCCTAGCGTTTTTGAGTTCTGCTCAAATTATCTAAAATTGTCATTACCGAAACACATCTTTACTGCAATTGATTAAACTTTTTTTTGTGTTTTTATTAAAATATGATAATTTGTTGTGTGTACAGCTGTTCAAAGCTGCATTTGATGGTCATCTACTATCTAGCTTCTCTGAGTTCTGCTCAAATGATCGAACATTATCACTACCGAAACTGTCACTACTGAAACATTTGGTTGTATGATTGTTTTGTTAGTGACAAAATGAAACGTTCACTCATTTGTTTTAGTAAAATAAACATAATTAGGGTATAGAGTCACTCAAAGCAAAGGAAGTCAGTTAAAAGTCTGAAAAGTGTTTTCAACTCTGACTTTAAACCAGTTTGGTAGAATGACCCACGTGTGGGTCGATGATCACCTGAAAAGGCGTCCTTGTCACGGTCCAGGGTGGTGAACTGTTTGCCATTATGGCTGGTTAACGAATCCCCAGCGTTGCCTTGGTAGATGCCCAGACGCAGCCGGTACGATTCACTCTCAGGCTCCAGGTGGAAGCTGCTGTAGGCCGCGTAGACCTTCTTCTCCATCCAGTCCTGCAGCTCCACCAGCAGCTTGTAGTCGCCCTGCTTGGCCAGATTGTAAATATTGTCCAGCCCCAACCAGTGCTCGCTGTCTATGTTGCCAAAGCCTTTCTGGAACAGGATGAAAAGGAGGGAGAATTTGTTTTGAGTAGTGCTGTGTTACACAGGCTCGGAAACGGAGGCTCGTTACTGTTCGTAGGGCTTACTGACTATTTATTAGCCTCCTTTTGATGCCTGCTGAATTCGAACAGTTCTATTGGCATGCGAACAATGGGATTGGTGAAAGCTTGAGTTACATAGAAATCGCACATATAATGAAACAGCAGGAGCTCTTTGATTAACTGCTAAAGAGCTGCTTCAAAATGTTCCGTCTTTAAAGCAAATTCCTGATTTGAAAACTGCTGATGTCTCAGTCTACTCAACCTATCCTCCAACCACAAGTTTGGAATCGCGATGATACTGTTCATGTCCGTTTTGCGCAAGCGAGCCCAATTTGTGGCCAACTTCCTTCCCGGAAAATGTAGAAGTAACTGAAATCTATTGATTCAGAATGAGGTTTTCCATTAGCGATCTGAATAATGACAAATGACTTGAGGTTTCTAGAGGCCTCTTTCGCTACTGGGGGAGCTAGAAGAGCTAGCGGAGTGCTGAGAGTCAGGGTTTGGGAGAAAAATGGGGCGCCAGTTTTCTGGCAGAGCTGAACGGAACACTCAGTCAGGCATGTAAGCTTAGATAACGTCCATCTTTACCTCATAGTCTGATGCGCCTGGTAAAAATGAACCCACAGTGCCTTCCTCCTTTGTTGCCCACAGTTAGAGCAGTGAATCTCAGCTGCACAGCTTTATGATACAAGGATGTTGAAATTTATGGGAGTAAAAACAACAGGCCATTACATAAGCATATTTTTATGACTGAGTTCATTGACAGTGCTGGGAAAACTTTAAAACTTCTGGTTTCAGTGATGATTAGACTGGCAAAAATTCAGTGAGTCCTCGAATGGAAAACTAGGCCACTCCAACAACTGACGGTCAAGACAACCTCAAATCTCTCAGCAAATGGACCATCAAATCAGATGTATATTGTTACTCAGAGAGGAATTCCACCAATTTCTCTAAATGTCGGCATCATTTTATCATTAAGATGTAAATCAGAGTCATTCAGAGTGGTTTGATGTGTAATATTACATTGAAGAGAACCTTCCCAAGCCAGACATCTGAAGAGTTTAATGCCCTTAAAAGATCCCTTCACAGAAAGTTATTACATGAAATGGTTGTGAATACACTGCCTGGTGCGTGAGACAATGTTTAGGACAGTTTTGAGAAACAAAAGCATATTTTTCAAACCCATTCCCATAATTTAAAACCTATGGAGAGGCACATGCAGGGCTTTGTAAGCAGAGGTGTGGAACAAGTCACTAAGTTGCAAGTAACAAGTAAGTGTCCAGTCTTGTCACTCAAGTCCCGAATCAAGATAGTCGAGTCTCAATTCAAGTCCTGGGTCAGTACAGGCGAGTCTCAAGTCGAGTCCCAAGTCAATGTCCTAATCTTCAAGTCCTAAACAAGTTAGTCTGCATTCTTCAGCTAATTTAAGGCCGCAACACTGAATGATGGTAACAGTACTATAGCCTTTTAATGACAGCATGTTAGTAATGTGTCGCTTATCCTTCTGGGTCGCGGTGGGGTGCTGGAGCCTATCCCAGCTGTCATTGGGCGGAAGGCAGGATACACCCTGGACAGGTCACCAGTCCATCGCAGGGCAGACAGACAGACATACACAGTCACACACACACTCACACCTAGGGGCAATTTAGCGTGTCCAATCAATCTGACTGCATGTTTTTGGACTGTGGGAGGAAACCGGAGTACCCGAAGGAAACCCACGCAGACACGGGGAGAACAGGCAAACTCCACACAGAAAGGATCCTGGTCGCCCGGCCGGGAATCGAACCCAGGCCATTCTTAAATACTACCTCAGCACTAAAACTAGGTCAGCCAACTAAAAACAGACGCTAATCTGAGTTGAATTTAGAGGACGACAGAAACCAAAACGACCGAGCTGAACACAGTTTACAGAAAAGACAGCAAAGTGATGGTGAATGTACGATGCTGAAGTTGACATTTCTTCTCCAGCAGCTTCTTATTTTCCGTTCCACCTTAAATGGTGCACCAGTCACATTCTGGCACCTCACTGTTGCACCATTAAAGGTGGAACAACAAATTCCAGTATGAAGCTGGTGAATAAAAAGTCAACTTCAGCCTCGTGGTGAATGTTTTACCTGCAGAAGCTGTTAAATGCAGTCAAACAGAGACGCTGTCTTTCTTTTGTTTTGCTATCATGAGGAAAGTGGTCAGTTCACGTGGTCAGTTTCTCCTGTAGAGTTAAAGCGCTGAATGAGGGCGCATTGATGTTGCTGATGCTTTGCTTGTTTCCAGCTTATGGAGGCTTGAAATCTAACTCTTCTCTTCCAAAATGTAATAAACTGAGCATAAGTTCGATAACAGACATCTGACGACGCTGCTGTGTATCAGATTTACGGCAGGAAACAAATCCATTCGCAGGAAAAGTATCCGACTGTGTAGAGTCCCAGACTCTCACGTTGGGTCTCCGGTCTTTCCAAGTCATAAGGCTGAAGTCTGAGTCATTGGTGTTTGAGTCGATTTTCTCAAACTGAGTCTACAGTCATCAAGGGCTTATTTATTTACAATGAACCATTTAACACCAAACTACCCTGAATGACTTTGTTTATGTCTCAATGATGGAATTACTCTGGGAGATAAAAAAACACAGTGGAATTCCAGTCTAGTGAATGAGTATCTATTATTACCAGACGTGCCATGGCAATCTGTCAAGCTCTCAGAGCTCTGTGTCAAAAGATGGAGTCATAAAAACAGTCTGTTCAAATCTCAGATCAGTCCAGTATGTGGTCTGGAGAACTGAATGCAATTCAGCATAAACACCACAAACAAATTACCATAGAAAACAAAAAAGGAAGAGGAAAATCCTCTGTCAGGAGGAAACCATCCCTCTCATGTGGGAATCTTCAAGTTCTGACAGCTTTGTTTTTAATTCCCACTTTATAACTGTGGCGCACCAATCTAAGCAGAGTGCCTATTGGTGAGAGATTCCAGGTTTGATCACCAGTGATGCCACAGCTGGGAATCAAAGAGAGGTGGGTGGGATTCTCCCTCTTCCCTCATTGAACCACTCTGAATGGCTATGTTTACGTCTCAATGATTGGACTATGCATAAACTTTGAAAATTAGTTGGAATTCCCATAAAGCTGTTTGGACAGGTGGAATTTCAGTGTTTTTCGTTGCAGTTACAGTGAAAGCTTATCGCTGTTGTCAGAAGAAAACCTCGTATCTCCATTTTTGTTGTTTTTCAGTTCTTGACATAATTTGAAAGTGCCTGTTGTCCTTTGCATTGTAAATTTCATGAAGAATGGACCAAAAGAAACGGCCCAAAAGGACTTGGAAAAAAGTCTGGTTCCATTGACTTACATTAAAAGTAAAGTAGTTAGTTTCCTTTTCCTGTAAAGTTTCCATTTTGGAGATACGAGGTTTTCTTCCAACAACAGTGTTACAGTAATAAGTCAAATGCATTGCTCAGTTAATGGAGGATGAGCCTTAGAGCTCCATTTCACCTTATAACTCTCCCAGTTCCTGAAGAAGTTGACAGATCCATCCTTCCTCCTCTGGATGATGGTCCAGCCTCCGTTGTCCAGGTCGTGCTCACACCAGGCCTGGAATGGCCTCTCGGTCCCGTCCGGTTTCAGGAGGTACATCCCGCTGGTGTCGTGGCCAGCCTGTATCGCATGGAGGCAGTCACGGAAAGGACCTCGAAAACCAAGGAGAGCAGAATAATGAGAACGTGCACAGTTTAATACGCGTTTAAAAGTTGAAAGGTTTTGAAAAGAGCGGTTCATTTATAAGGAAAATGTAATTATTGTGTTTCCCGTCAGCCTTTACATCTCAGCCATTAAGTGTGTTAAAGTTAAATCTTTCATCCGGCGCAGAGGGGGAGCAGCAGACGGCCGGGCTGTAAAAACAAACATGGACGCGTTGTACTTGTGGTCTGCTTGTTTTAAAAGCTGCGCTGCCTTCTTGGCAAGGTGAACCAGCACAGATATCAGGTTCTTTGTGGTCAGTTGGACCGAGAAAGCCAAGATCTTGAAATATGTCTTTAAAAAAGTGCAAGCTCTATTTTCTTTATGGCCGAGATGTTGAAATGCATTTGGACTCCAGTTTTATGAGTAGAACTGCAGAAGGTGTAGATATTTCTGCTGATTTGTGAATTTTCTCTGAAACAGGGTCTGGTTGATTTTTACAGTGGGGAACCCTCAGGGCCTTCCAGTCCTTCAGAGGAGGCCGAATGATTTCCGGGAACTACATGTCTATAATTTTGTTTTCTTCAGTTGAATCATGTTTGAATTTAAATTCAATGTCATTGTTAAATTTCAGGTGGAAACAAAAGCTAAAATCTTTAACCACCCAGTGGAAAAATGTCCAATGAGGATATTTTTTGTGGTATCTAGATAGGCCCAATCCCATTTCTTATTTTTACCCCTACCGCTTGTTTTTGAGTGTCACCTTACAAGGGGTAGAGCTTGAAATCCTACCCTGTGAAATGGGACCCTTAAATAAAAAGAGCATTACTTCATTAACAGCTACTAGCGCTGCTCTGTAGGCAACCCTGCCAGGCTGCAGTGACAGCAGAGGAGGGTAAAGTTCAGCTCCTCACTGCTGGGCTTTAGTTACATTTAGGGCATCATATGCCTTCAAAGAGGGGGACAATTATTTATTATCGCTCACCGCTAATTCTTCAGTGATATGATGCTGAAGTCAGCTATTCTCCAGCTTCTTGTTTGAATTTTCCCGTTCCACCAAGCAGTTGTGACGTCTCAGGCGCCAGAATGTAAGTGCTGCACCATTTAAGGTGAAACGGAAAAAAATCCATACATCAGCTGGATGTCTGGTTTTTGCTTTTTTCTCCCAACACTCCATTTAGAGTCTCTGAAAAACCTCTGTTTGGAGGGCCATGTAGCCCCAACACTTCGCCCCACTCCTCTATCTCAACAAAAATCAGGACACCCTACTCCTAGAAGTGAACACGCAAAACAGAGGGGTAAGGGCTCAGTGGTAAGGTTGAGGGGTGAAATGGAATACAGCCTAGTGAGCTGTCCCATTGGTTAGGACTTCAGGAACTGGATTAAAAGCCGTACATGTTAGATTAACTATCAGCATAATTAGGAAGTGACAGTGAAATCAACCAATCACATTTTGATCTCCAATGGGTGGAACAAATTATGTGAGAAAAAAACATCAGGCTTTCTGGAAGTTCTGGATACCTGATTGTGAATAAAGGCAACAGTCCAACTTGGTTATGTTCCCCTGGGCCCCACGTTCCCCCAGTCAGTGAAATTGCAACGATAAACAGCTTGATGTTCCCATGTTCCCTCAATCATACTTCCTCAACAAGAAAGAACTGGACATAGGACCTGGGAACATAGAGCCCTGGTAATACTGGACTCTGGGAACATATAACTCTAGAAATATAAGGCCCTGGGAACACCGAACTCTGAGAACATAGAACTCTAGGAACATAAGGCCCTGGGAACATAGAACTCTAGAAACATAAGGCCCTGGGAACATAGAACTCTAGAAACATAAGGCCCTGGGAACATAGAACTCTAGGAACATAAGGCCCTGGGAACATAGAACTCTAGAAACATAAGGCCCTGGGAACATAGAACTCTAGAAACATAAGGCCCTGGGAACATAGAAGTCTGAGAATAAGGGACTCTGAGAACATAGAACTCTAGGAACATAAGGCCCTGGGAACATAGAAGTCTGAGAATAAAGGATTCTGGGAACACAGAACTCTAGAAACATAAGGCACTGGGACAATAGGACCCTGGGAATGTAGAACCCATGGAACATAAGACATGGGGAACATGGATAGGCTCCAAGAATCTCATAGGAGTGCTAGCAGAAATTAGCCATTTCACAGAGATATATGTTTAATTTGTTTCAGAATTTGTGGCCTGAAAAAAGTCACAGATTTATAGTCACTGTTTGCCAAACCACATTGTTTTCTCATAGAGAATAGTCTAACTTCTTTTATAAATGATTATTGGCTTGCTGATGATATCATTATTATTGCAATATCATCAGCAAGCCAATCAAACATCAGCAGTTGCTGAGTTGCCCCAAGTCATTCCAGCCAACACACTGAAAAGAGTATAAGCACAAGAACACCCAGTTAAGTATGAGGAAATGCCTTCTGCTACATTAAACTGGTGAAGTGATTATTAAGCCACACATGTTTAACTCATTATTCTGGTGATTGTTGTTTCTGATCTACCTTCTGAGCTGAAGTTGCCATCTGGAGGCCGTTTAGCTTCCAGCGTACTCCCAGTGGGTTCGGTGCCCGCTCTGGAACCCCTGTCCCTGGGGAAAGACCGGCTATGGTCCCTCTGGATCTCATTGGAAAAACGGGGGACATGCACTGGGATGTTCTCAGGAACAACCTGGACCAGCGGCGGGGCAAGTGGCTCCTGCCTGCGACTCCCATACACCTGCAAACACCTCTCCTCCAGAGCACCAATCAGGACGGACTGGTTATTGACCACGGAGGCGAGGGCAGAAAACCGCACCTCGAGCTCCCTGTAGCGAGCAGAGAGGCGCAGTGCCTCAGCTGTGGCGTTGAGGATGCGGCCCTCCAGCTGCGCGAGCTCCAGCGAGTTGTCTCGCTTGCGGATGATCTCGTGCAACAACTGCATGTAGAGTTGCGTGACTCGTGAGTTCATGTTGCGTGACTCCTTCCGCAGCAGCTTCATTTCGCTTACCATGTTGCCGTCCACGTCCACCACCATGCGCAGGGTGTCCATCTCACGCCTCTGCTTGGACAGCAGCTCACGCACATCCGCTATGTCCAACCGTGTCACACGGTCCTTGTCTGGAAGTGCAGGTCCGCGGCTTGCACAGATGGGTCCTGTGATCTTCTGTTCGGGGACCAGGAAAGTGTACGAGCACTTTTTAGGAAGCCCATCATCCTCCGAGGCCCTTCGTCTCCGGGACAGGCCCATGCTTTCACCCAGTACCCAGGCGCAGAAGAGTGCACACAGGCTCCAGCCGCTGGGACCCATGGCAATTTGTCTGGCTGCTGCTGGCAAAGTAAGCTGGCACTGTCACCTTAAAAAAAATAAGGTACGTGAATCATGACAGATTGTCCCTCCTCACCTTTTCATGCAGCTTTTTCCACAGGATTCAAGAGATTTTTGTACCAAGAAACATCTGTATGGAGACAAAACTGTGGTCAGTTGCAGCATACCAAGAATCTGCAATCACATCCTGGAGTTACCCCCTCCCAGACAGAGAACCCCTACCTCAGGGTATCACATCTCAGGCTAGAGCGAGTGTGGTTTAGTCCACCTCTTCTGTGGTACAGCTTTCAAATGCTATTCACCATTCTCTCACGCAAGGTGTCAAGCTTACAGAAAGTTTATACATCTGACTTTGGAGATGAGATGCTTAGCCAGAAATCAAATTTATATAATTTTGCCATACCCAAAATGTGGTCGATTAGCCAGAAAGTTTTTTAAATTACAGTACAGATGCAAAAAGTACAATACTGAAAATGATAACAGGGAACAGCAGTATAAAATACATAAACAAAAGCAAGAGAAACAGAATTGCAGGGACATATCATGCATGCTAGGATAGCAGGGTAAAAGAAGTGTAGATATAACAGGTTTTATGGGCTTTACAAGATAATACAGTCTTAGTGTTGGCCTTGTCATTAGGAGATTGTGGGTTCGATCCCTGGTGATGCTATACCATCCATGGCCAGGAGTTCAAGAGAGCACAATTGGCCTCGCTCTCTGGGTGGGGAAAGATGGCCTCCCTCTACCCCCATCACTCAGCATGATGCTGGTCAGCACAGGAGTCTGTTAGCTGACATAACAGAACCAACAGTTGGTGCCTTCCTACAAGCAGTTCAGCTGTCCAACGGCACTGCGTTAGCAGCAGTTCGAAAAGATGCAGTGGCACTTCACAGGTCTCAGAGGAAGCCTGTGCTAACCTTCGCCCTCCTAGCGCTGGTGGTATTGTGTGATTGGGGAAGTCCTAACTAGCGAGTGGGAAAAAAAAATTCAAAAATGGGTTTCAAGATAATGACATTCTGAAAAAAACAAAATTTGGATTTTGCTCAGAAAATTTTGCTGGTGTTAAAGCTGCTCTGTTTAAGTGTTTCTGTTAAAATTGTATGAAGTGGCACCACTCAGTCAGGCTAAAATATGGTAAAATATGAGAAAACATGGTCTGCGAGTCACTCAGTAAAGTCTGAAATAGTTATTTGAGGTGTAGGGTCAGATGTCATGAGAGGTTTTGGACCATATTATATGCCTTTACATATTAACCTCACATGCACAGCCTCAATAAGAAGGTCCAGCTCAATGTTTCGGTCTCAAACACAAAATCAACATTATACTGATGAAGATACGATGACAGTAGAAGATAATTCACCAAGTTCTGACTAAGTTTTCCTTGAATTCTCTTTCAACGCACTCACAATCATCAGATTCATCCACTCGGGAAAGAGGTCCAAAACACAACCCATGTTACAAAATTTTCTTCCACACAATGTGTGCAATTACACATTTCCACCAGAGAGGTCTCCAAATCCCCAAATCTCACATAGTGCAGCTTTGAAATGGTGTTTTTCCATAAAAAAGGGCAGGTTGATTACATACACTGCATTTTTTATTGAGGTCATCTAAGACAAAGAAGCAAGAGTGGTGCAGCTTAATTTTCTCTTTGAAAGATTTAAGTACTGTTTAAGCACTTTATGTACTGTTTATGTGATGGTGACAGTTTCGGTGGTCTGCCAGGTCTTGCACAGCTGTTAAAAGTGTATTTTAATATTTCTTTTCCTTATGCAAGCGAAATATTTTATGTCTCCTCATAAATATCTCAAGAAAAATGAATACATTACACTTAATCTCTGTTTTGACTTGAAGCAAAATAAATGAAATGTGGTTTCTGTATTTTGCAGAGCACTGTACATTATCAATAATAATGAAATAAAGGATTTCAGCAGCGCCGCAGCCCAGTGGTTGAGATCTTCTGTCATAAACCTCTTAACCACTTTAACATGGATGAGAAGCCCAAGCATTATGATTTGATTTGCCAGTAAACTGCTTGACCTCTCTGCTTACACGTTCCACCACAGCAAACAATCCTGCAGACTAAACATTAAGTGAACAATGAAAAACTGTTGTGTCTGTTGATGAATGTTCTACAGGATCTGCAGAGCTTAGATTTCTTTTTCTGATGTAAATGGAGGCATTTGGAAGCTGTATGTTGTCTGAAATGGAAAGAAGCAGCAGACGTATATGCATGAATAATGCATCCGCTAGGTTCTGTAATCTATTTTTGTGAGCCAGGATTGCGCACTGAGGTAAGTGGTCTTGAAGGCACAATGAAAGGCACCTGGATCATGTGTGAAAGAGCCTCGCCAATAGACGTTTTCTACCACTCGCTCGTCCAGGAGGAAGTCTAGCCAGTATCGTTGACAGCTCTTAGTTGAAAAAACAAATGAGGCAAGCACAACCGGCCAAATCCGACTCCGAGGGTGTCGGTGTAGCATGTTGGGAAAATTGCTGTAATTGTAAGCACTTGACAGATGTAGAAATGGGCCGACTGTGCAAAAAATTAGCTCCGCAGAGGCCCCCGCTCCACTTCAGAATCAGACACTGACCTGGCACGGTTAAATCATCAGCAGAATTAAGCGAAAGCCATGCGCTTATAAACAACCCGACAGAAAAAACGAGTAGCCTCTATTTAAGTGGTTTCGTGAAAATATCCAGGCCGTTCAGCTGTCTGAAAAGATATAATGGGAAAGAATTTGGTCCATTTCCCAGCCCAAAATCACGGCTGTGGTGAAACTCCCCACCTCATCATTTGTCAAAAAAAAGACAGCGACAGAGAAAAACAGGCTGATTCTGCACCTATTAGAAGTCTCAGAAAATAAATAAGCTCCCTTGTATATCAGTGTAGTCAGTGCACTTCACTTGATCAAACTTACTCACCTCACTGGCAACATTTGCATCCAAAATGGACCAACATGACCTTCAAACAGCTCTTATTTACTGTTTGGGACATTTAAGCTGCCCCATTTCTCAGCAAATCTGAATGAATTCATTAAAATGTTTCTTTGGTGGTTTATGGACACATTTCATAACACGGCTCTCCATGACATCAGTGAGGAAGTTCACAGACCATCACATCTGCAATCTGTAGTGGTATAAACAACCTTCTTCTTAGTAATATAACCTGAAAACTAAAAAAAAATTACAAAATTACTGCATAATTAAAAGGGTGAGATGTAAACAAAGTGTTTTAGAGTGTTTTCATACTGGGTCAGAACTGTTTACACTGGTGGTGATAGGAACCAGACGTCTGAAGACTGTACTGCCAGACAGACATTGTTACAATAAATGGCTACAAATACGTGACCTAATGTCTGAGACATTGTTGTGTGATAGCTTTGAGATAAGATTCTGGCCTAAAAAACATTTTTTTAACTTATTTATGGTGGAGGGGTACATGTAGGGCGTTATAAGGCCAGATACACCCCAAATAAAACACATTTTTTTGGATTTACCCCATTTTACTATCATCCACATTACAAATAAAAAGTTACAAGACACATGTAGGTTCACTAGACATTTTGGAAAGTGAATAAAATGGCTGATTGGGCCATTCTACCAAATTAGTTCAAACTGGGGTCAAACTATTTAAAAAACGATTAAGTATTTGGACCTTAGGTATTTACAAGGATTATGTTGTGATCTATTTAAACTCAAGGGATTAATTGAGAGAGTAATAAGCTAAATATATATACAAAATCATCATATATATTGTACTGTCTGTTGAAATGTGTCTGTAACAAATGCTTATCCCTAAATTTCAATATGTTTTCAAGTCACTACCGAAACACATAGACTTTCAGTCTGTGGGTGGAGACTTATTTTAGCCACGCCCCTGCATTTTAGAGCAGGAAATGAGACTGCATCCCTGTCCCTCATGGCCACATGGTGAGCTGTTAGATACAATTGGTTCGAAGTAAATGTGTCCCAAAGTCTGAAAATCAGTTTGTGAGATTATGAATTGTCACTATCGAAACACATTTTCTGCAATTTTTGGGGGTTTTAATGAATGATATGATGATGTTATGCGTGTCCAGCTGTTCAAAGCTTTGTTTGTGAATTATGTACTGGCTAGCGTTTTTTAGATCTGAGCAAAATGAGCAAAAATTGTCACAACCGAAACAGTCACTACTGAAACATTTGGTAAAGTTTTGGTGGCGTTATGATTGTTTTGGTAGTGACAAAATGAAATGTTCAATAATTTGTTTTAATAAAACAAATTTAATTAAGGTGTAGAGTCACTCAAAGCAAGTTAAAAGTCTGAAATGGGTTTTTAACTCTGACTTTGATCTGGTTTAGTGCAATAATCCATAGTAAACATTGTCACTCCTGGTTCCTATCACCACCACTGTAAAGACATCTGAGTCTGTAAGTTTCTCCACATCGAACTATTTCACTCTGAATGAGTTTGTCTCCTTTTCTAAGTGAGGCTTCTTGAACAGCTACACATCCTTTCAGACCCACAGCGCTGAGTCGTCTTCTCACAGTGGAAGGATGGACAGAAACACCTGTGGATGTTTTCAGATCTGAAGCAGCTTGATTTTCTCCTCTCTCTCAGAGATGAAAGCTTTAAGTGCTGTTTAACTGATGGGGGCAGTTTTAGTGTCTGCCAGGTCTTCCAGGTGGTTGTTAGGAGCCCCATTTTTTCTAGACCGTTCAAGAAATTTTTGAACTCCAGTTTTGGAAACTCCTGTTTTTTCACTTATTTTCCTTGACGTCCCTCTTCATTGTACAAGTGGGTTATTCAGATGTCTGAAGACTTTACTGCCGGACATGCCTAAAACCCTTTTTTTTATCCATTCTTTTTTGGCGTTCAAGCAGGTCATTATAAGGTAAGAAAGGCCCCAAAGAAAACACATTTTTTTTAGATTTATGTCTATTTTTGCCTCATCAACTATAATATCATTACATATAAAAACTTAGAAGAAGTGTAGGTTTACTGGACATTTTGGAGAGTGAATAAAATGGCTTTATGGGCCGTTTTACCAAACTGGGGTCCCACTATTGAAAAACTATTTTAAAAAATGATTAAATATTCAGACCTTAGCTTTTTACAAGGACTCGTTTTGACTGGAAATTACATCAACAAAGATAATAAATTCAACTTATATAGCGCCTTTCACAAATCCAAGGATGCTTTACATAGTCTCAAAAAATAATTAGAAGAGTAAAGAGAAAAAAGGAGGGTTTTTAGCAGAGATTTGAAGGCAGACAAAGACAAGCAATTATGAAGAGTAGGACAAAAGATGGTCTCTGACTTTTACACCGGGCTGTACGTACACCAGCAGTAGTTTATAAGACTGTAAGTACTGTAGAACTGTAACAGAAAGCAGTCCATCATTCACTGTGTTCAAAAACAAGATCGAGTGTTTTCTCCTTAGCATTGCTGAAGCAGGAAGCAGGATAGTGTAATGTGCTGGGAGTTGGGAAATGAAGGAGCAGCGATTATTCCGTCTCCAGGCGCTTAATATAGGAGTCATATTACTCTCTTAGCCTGAAAGGAGGGATGGGGGAAGAGAGAGGTGGAAGGAGAAGGGTAGGTGATTGGAAACCAAGCGTAGCTCTCTTTTTATAAACACCCTGTCGTCTGCCAGTAGCGTTCCTGCATTAATCAGACTGAGCAGGACTTTCCTCTCAGGAGCTCCGCTGTATGTGTGTGGGGGAAATTGCTTGCGTATAAAACCATCACCCAGAGCTCACAGACCTAATCCCCCCTGGAAGAACACTTACAGACTGCCTGATACCAGCCAAGACCCTCCTTCACTCACTGATCCTTCACAGATACTCCATAAGTGTTTCAAAGCTGTCACACTTTCTAAACAGTACACTCTTTAAAAAAGGGGTTCTTTAGTAATGGGAATGGTTCTATTTAGAACCATGAGTTCTATATAGAACCATTTCATGCTAAAATGGTTCTCTGCATGGTGAAAAGGGTCTTCAGATTGATGGACAATGTGTTATATACAGTTCTATATAGAACCTACCTAACATGTACACATACTGCTAGAATCAGATACCAATATGTCCACATATGCTGGTCGAGGCACCATTAGAGGCGGGTTCCAACAGCTTACCAAAGCTTTGACTGACAGCAACCAGTCAGGATTGTGATTGGATAAGTCAAACTCGCTTTCTGATTGGACCACTTCAAGCTTTCCTATTGGTCCATCAATTTGCTGTCAAAACAGTGTCAAAAATCCGTAGTTGTAAAAAGAAGTTCACACAAACAGAAACAGAGACGTGTTCTCGGATTTGTACTGTCGCACTGAAAAACTCCCACTGTGATTTTATGGTCGGGCACAGTGTAAATCATTTGAGTAGTACTGATTCACACATTCACAGCATTTCATTTACCAATGGCAATCTTTTTTACACATTCAAAAATCCTTTCTGTATATTCAACATATTTTTACGCATTTGTGAATTTGATTTATTATTATTAGTTTTTTGGTTTCATATTTGCAGATTCCAAGTTACTTGTGAATCTTGATTTTACGTGTATGTAGTCGCTCAAACACAACTGCAAATTTCAATACATTGTTTTACAAACTCAAAACCTTTTTGACCCTTTTTTGACTCCATACATCAGCTTTATATTAGCATATTCATGATCAGAGTCATGCAGTCAGCTGACACAGGCATGCACATTACACACAAGAACAGACACGGATAAAAGAGAACATGCAAACTCCACACAGAAAGGACGCTCATCGCCCGGCTGGGAATCGAACCCAGGCCCTTCTTGCTTCCTCATAACTTGGAAAGAAGCGGAGATTTGAGTGCAAATGAATCAGTTTCAGTGCATGAAATCAAGCGCCAGCGACCAACACCTCATTTACATATCATTTACATGAATCGCGCCCTAATTTATGCCGATATCTCAGCCAAAAGCCAGTAAAATGACAGCATTCAGCTGCTCGTGAGCCAATGGCTGAGTTTGAAGGTGGAGTTTGAGGTTAAGCAGTTAGTGTACTGCTCCCCCTACTGACCAAACTTGATAGTGTTAAAATTAAAACCACTGGAAAGAATAAAATGTGAAATAAACAAAACGTCTTAGTTTTTTAAGGCGGTAGAATGATTGTAGAGTGATTGTATACTGTGATTATCTTCCTAAAATGACAGATTTAAAAGCTGTATATAGACGCTTCTGCACTAGCTGTGTTTTGTATTGTTTATTTTGTTTTTTTGTGGCCGGAGTCAGTAGAATTTACAAAAGCGCAGTTTAATATGTCTTTAAATTAAAAATGGAATAATTGCAGCATCTGTTTATATCAATGTGCAGGTAAAATAAGTGCATCTACTTTTGTGGTGGATTGCCGTGTGCACAAATTATTAGTATTTTTGTTATATTCTATTTTTTTTCACGTTATCGGTATTACAGATGATAATCGTTCTGGTTATTCAAACATTTGTTTCAGGTTGTTAAACTATGAGGCTCAAATTTGCATGCACTCCTACCAGACGTGGGCTTGACGGTACAGATACGCAAAGATGAGACTCATGAGTAACAAAACTGTCAGTGAAATTAGCAGGCAATCATTTCATGGTCAGATTTTATTTGATGAATAAAGGCGAACATGACGAATCATGTTATGCATTCTTCAAAATACAGGTTTCATAAAGCAGTGGACTGAAGCCGTCACCACTTTCAATGGATAGTTCTTTATAAAATCATTGAATGGAAATAATCTTTTTAAAGTTTAGTAACACTCTACATAATGTTCTAAACTCTTTAATCCCCCTAAACCACATATCCAAGCAAGCTGTCATTGTTAAGAGAGTATTTCAGTATGACACATCCATGGTGAGTGGGTTCTACAGGGTGATGGTTTCTTCTGTTTCTCATTTTGAACTGACTGAAAAGTCACTTGGTAAAACAAAATATGTCACGTGCAAAGATTTTCTCAATTAAAGCCATGAACAGAGCTCTGGGGCTTTTCAGCGTCTGCCTGAAACCTGAGTCACGGCTCCGTTTCTAACCAAATCCATGTCTGGCTCCATCAGCAGACTACACAGCTTCAAGGCCAGTAAATGTAGCGCCTTTGACTGTTGAATGTGCTTTTCACAACAGTTAACAGAATATTGACACTACTCCAGTCAATGTACTCCGACACCAAACTCAAGGTACATCATTAATCTTACACCTTACATTAATCTCATTAATCTCACAAGTCACAGTGTTAACTAACAACAACACTGAAATGGAGTGAACTGAATCATCCTGAAATAAATTCAACTGAATCTTATCAACCGAACTGAATTGAACTCAAATAAACTGAACTGAAGTGAACTGAACTGATTTGAGTCAAATAGAACTGGTCTCAGCTGAACTGAACAAAACTGAACTGAACTGAATAGAATCCAATAGAATCAAACTGAACTGAAGTGATTTAAATCAAATGAAGTGCTGCTCTGCACTGTGCTGAACTGAACAGAACAGAATTGAATAGAACTAAAATGAAATGAACTAAATTGTTACTGAAAAATTCAGTTACTCAACTGAATAAAATGAAATGAACGGAATTGAATGGAATCAAACGGAGTTAAACTGAACGGAACTGATCTGAATCAAATGAACTGATCTGAACTGAATCAAGATGGACCGAATTTAATTAAATTGAACTGAAATGACCTGAACAAAACTGAAGTGAATTACATCTAATTCAAACTAAAATGAACTGAACTAAATTGAGTTTAAATGAAAATAAATAATCTGAGCTGAACTGAAATGACCTGAACAGAACTGAATTTAATTCAGTCTAGAACTGAACTGAACTAAGTTGAAATGAAATAAATAAACTGAATTTAATCAGATTGAACTGAAATGACGTGAACTGAATGGAGCTGAATCAAGCTGAACTGAACTAATCTGAACCACACTGACTTTCTGAACTGATCCAAACTTAACTGAACGAAATAAAATTGAACTGAAATTAAATTCATGGAATTTAACTTAACTGATTTGGAGTTGAAATGAACTGAATTATATGAACTGAATATGAATATGAAAATGAATAAATAATACACTTTAAAACACTGACAAAGAGTATAACATTTATAATAACCATGCACTGTGATTTACTGTATTGTACAGTAAATTAAGCAAGAAACACATCTTATGACTTTGGTGTACTGAATTAAACAAGAAGAAACTCTAGGAAAAGAAAACAATGCTTCCCAACATATAACGCTCTCTGGAGTGCACAACAGATGTGATACTTATAGTGTATCGTTAACACCACTGTGTCTCCAATTCACGGCAGCACATCTTGTTTACTTTAAACACAACCAGTGTGTTTACAGCAGAAGTGTGTGTCATATATGTAACACAACGATGTTCTAAATTCACACATAGTTTATTATCAATTCATTTGGTTAATAGCAAATTCATAGTTTTAACTGTTAAGACAGCATTAGAGGAAGACGGCTCTTACCTCAGTGAGCTCTTGTAGAGGAGGTTAGCTCTGCTGTTGGGTTTGCACTCAGCTTCATACATCCAGCGGCACTCTGAGCCCAGTCTGTTTAATACTGCTGATGAGGAGCTCCTCCGCTTTTTATGGCTGCGTGTGTGTGCGCTGTTCGTGAGTGCATTCAAACACCTCCATGATGCCAGAAGCAGCCGAGGCCGGCCTGAAGGCTTTGGGGTTTTCCAGTATGTGTGCTCACCATCTTAAAGTGGCTCTCCGCTGTTTAAAGAAGAATACGACTCCACCTAACATCTGCCATTTAATACTCTTCACCCACTGCCTGACTTCAGAGATCCCATACTGAGCTATTTTTTGGAAAACCACTCAAAGAGTCAGATTTCTTCTGTTTTTCATTGAGATCTGTCCAGTAAACACCACTGGGCTATGAGGGGATCACGTATTAGCTTATTCACTTAAAGCAGGACGGCCCAAAGTTTGGACCCCAGCCAAAGTTGGCCCCACGAGGATGTTTGATTTAGCCCACCCCCAAAATTTTGCCTCTGTACACAACACCGCAATGGATTTTAAATGAAGCAGTCAAGATTGAATTATAGACTTTCAGCCTCAGTTTAAAGGGTTTAAAAAAAATGTTGCATTAACAATTTAGGAAGTACAGCCATTACAGCCACCTCAAGATGCAAACCACAGGCAATAACAGAAAGATCAGATTAGACTTTGCTAGAAAATGTCTAAAAAAGCTTCCCCAGTTCTGGAACAAGTTTCTTTGGACAGATGAAATTAATTAAGTTGAGCCAGAATGATGGGAAGAGAAGAGTATGGAGAAAGAAAGGAAGGGCTCATGATCCAAAGCATACCACACCGTCTGTGAAACATGGTGGAGGTAGTGTCATGGCATGGGCATGTAAGGCTGCCAATAGAACTGGGTCATTGGTGTTTAATGGTGATGTAACTGCTAACAGAAGCAGCAGGATGAATTCGGAAGTGTACAGAGCTATACTTTCTGCTGAGGTTCAGTCAAATGCTGCAAAACCTATAGGCAAAACTGATAGTGCTTCACAGTACAGATGGATAATGACCCAAAACATACTACGAAAGCAGCCCAAGAGCTTCTTAAGACAATGAAATGGAAAGTTCTTATAGCATGTTTGATCGCAGTTTAGACTACTATTTTCAACATATGTTGTGTATTGGATGCTGGTATGATGGTCAACCAGCATGACCATGGTGGGTAAGCAACTAAAACATCACCAGACCAGCACTAGCCCAGAATAAACCAGCATCAGCAAGCTTAGATGAGCATAGAATGCCTAATAAGTCAACACCAAGTCCAAATGAAAATGAGACAGAGTCAAGCCCGAGTCTAAATGAGAGTAAGACTGGAGTCCTCTTCAAGACTAGGCCTTAATTAGTCTTCATCTCCTTCCAGCACAATTACTGGAAGAATGTGAAGGAAGGATTTTCTTTCTACAAAACAAAGCTGTATGTCCAAAAATAAATCCATCATATTCAAATCATAATAAAATACCCCTCTTCTACTTACAAACACAAATGTGGTATGGAGTGAAAGTTTCTTTAATTTAGTGCCTATTCTCAATGAATGCAACCAATATCCATTTTAAGTGAATGCAACCAATCCCCACTCTTAATAAATCCAACCAAAACTTGTTCAGAATGAATCCTCCCAACGCCTACTTGAAATTCATCCAACCAGTGCCCACTCTGAATGAATCCAACCAATACCCGCTCTGAATTAATGCAAAAATGAATTAATTCATTTCATAAAAATGAAATTCAATAATAACAGTCTATGTCTTTTCATCTTGATGGCTTAATCTACAGGGTAGTAGATCTCCAGGACCAGGATTGGGTTCTCCCTTGTTGCCTGTTCAATAAAAGAACATTCGCCTTTAAAGCAAAATATCTCGTGTTTTGTTCTATGCCAACGCCACAATATATCTATTAATCTTAAATATGTAGTCTAATGTAAACATGTAGATCAGCACCAAATGCTTTTGGGTGAAGCAGCATGGTGTATCTCTGAAAAACAATGCAGACCAGCATGCATTCAGAGCTGGTCTAAGATGGTTTATGCTGATCTGGTGCTGGTTTAGCTCGTCACTCAACGTGGCCACGCTGCTCGACCAGCACACCAGCATCCAAAATACAACACATGCTGATTTTATTGGTGATTAGCCTAACAATTTCCATTCTTTCTTCCATGTCTTTTTTAGCCCATGGCCCACCACTAATCAGAATCAGAATCACTTTATTTCGCCAAGTTTGTTACACATACAAGGAATTTATCTTGGTGAGTGCGCACATGTATGACATATTAGAGAGACAGGCACACAGACTGTTAGCAAGTATTTAACTAAGGTACAAATAAAACTACAATAAACACAATAAAGAATAAAGAATAATACTTTGCACTGTTGTCCTCCAAGACAAAAAGGTCTGGGCACCCCTGACATAAAGCTTTTTAGTTCACTTACAGAGAAGATTTGATCAAAAATCTAATTTTTACCCCAAATGTAGTCGATCAGCCAAGACATGTTGTGTCTAGTTTTTCACTGGAGCTACAAGGCTAATGTAGCTAACAAGTAATGGGAGGTTATAGCCATTAGCTTAGCTTTGTGCTATAACTGCATGCTTAAATCATCACACAGTTGCCTCAAACTGTGGTTAAGTTGTTCAGTAATCTCTTACAGACATGATAATGTGGTTTCTGAGACTCTATAACACACTGTTACCTACAAACATGGACAAATGTATGGACGAAATTCAGGCTACTTGTGGCTACTACTTTTCTTAGTGTATGTGATGTACTTTAGTCCATGTTTTTAGATAGCGGTGTGTCAAATAGCATCAGAAACAACGTACGCAAGTCTATTAGTGATTACAGAGCAAATCGACAAGGATGATGGTTTACACAGCAGTTAGCACAATGCTAAATGTTGACCAGAAGCTTCCATTCCCTGTTAGCTACATTAGCCTCGTAGCTTCAGAAGCAAACTTCAGACACCAAATATGTCTAGTCTGATCAGCTACATTTGATGTGAAGGGGAAATCTGAATTTAGCCTAAAACTTTGTAATGAAATTAACCATTTTTAACCAAAGAAAAACATTCCATTCTGAAAAATTCCGTATGGAGCATCTGTCTTATATTTACAATCTAAGATCAAACCGCATAAACAAAACTTTTCCATAGTCAGTAATCCGTTTAATAATTCGAATAAATCTTTTTAATAATTCTTAATAAGCTCATCGAATGAACACAATGCTTGTTGTTCAGCCTTCAGGGTTTCTCTGATGTTTGTTCTTTGTTAAGGGTTCAGAGTGAGTCATGCCTGAACTCTGCGTGGGTTTGTTTCATCAGAGAATACAGTGTGTGTGTGTGTGTGTGTGTGTGTGTATGTGTGTGTGTGTGTGTGTGTGTGTGTGTGTGTGTATGTGTGTGTGTCCCTGTGGTCTGCAGAGTTTTAAAGCAGGATTTGGACTGCAGGACGACAGTAACGGTTGAGAAACAAACAGTTGGAGCTGTAATGCTTTTCTCCAACTGCCTGTCAGAGTCTATGGCTGTAGTACAGTTACAATTATGTATTAGGTGAATATTAGTCATGAGTGTATGAGCTCACTGCTCTGAAATGAAGCTCAAATTGTAAAACAGTTACAGTACAGTGTAAAGTCAGACCCTCACCCCCTATTATTTTTTACTTTCCAGTACAATGGCCATTATATACAAGTTTTTCAGCATCAGGAAAAAAGACATATTTAACTGAAATCCTCAACAACAAAATATAATAGTATCGATATTTTTTAGTGTTCACTTTCTCTACCCTTTGCCGGGTTCATAGGCAGGACGCTGTGTGCAGATTAGCTTTATTTGGGGCAATCCAAAACTCTTAGTCATCAGAATCAGGGGTCCAGAAAACAGCAGGCAGTACATAATAGGCAAATCCATGATGCCAAAACTAGGAAACAAGGTGAGGGGCAAACACAAAGAAACCAGCTCAGATCTCAATGAAACACAGAGCTCATAAAGCACGAGGCCAAACAAAGGGCTTTATATATGAGTGTAAATGAGTCCATAAACTGCAGATGTGTGTAATGATGGAGAGGCGGGACCAGGAAAGAGCAGGTGCTGCACTGAGCCATACAGGTCCAAATAGAGTCTCCCAGAAGGGGGAGACATTGGCTGCTTTCAGACTGCAGGCAAATCGGACTATTTCTCAAATCAGATCTTTTGAGACGACTTTGTCACACTGTTTTTTGCAAGTGATCAGATCAGATTTGTTTGTCCAGACATCACCAGCCTATCTGCATGGGTTGCCATGGTAATGTCAGTAACGTGGCATACAGGAAAGATGGAGATGCATCATCTCGCCCTTCAATCTGTTCAAAGTTCTCTGGCGTAAGCATGAATCTTCGGCGCTCCTCTTGAATCCCAGCACTTCTGTCACTCTGGATTTAACATGGACATTGTTTGTCACATTGCGAGTGAAGCAAAAAACGCCTTGGCTACGTTCACACAGCCGGCAAAAGTGGCCCAAATCTGATTTTCTCACCAAATCCGATTGTTTTGTTTGGCTGTTCGCAGTATCTTTTAAATGTGACCTGTATGCGACATCAGTCTGAACAGATTAGCTCCTAAACTGATGCATGAGCAAAAGAACAATGCAACACGTTGCTTTACGCTGCTCATCCAGAGGTAAACAATCTCAACTGCCAACGAACACCAGTCGCTCCCGGCTGGTTCATCTTCATCTTCGTCAGCATCACAGGAGCCATCATGAAACTTTGCTTTCAGACTTTTAACTGTTCTTTGACGCTGCAGCCTCGTTATCCTACACCCACAATCGGCCATTTCTTTTCGAAATCTCTTCGAACACAGAAGGCATTTTTGAATAGTCTCTTCTAATCTTTTGGTACATAAACATTAGCCTAAATGTTTACGAGGTCTCAGCACGGCGAAATTATGACAAATGTGGAATTGGATTGACGTAAAAGTTGTATGAATTCTGATCAGACTCAGTCGCATTGCTGCTTCTTGGATACGTATCGGATATCAATACCACACACGAAAGCGTCTCAAATCAGAACTGAAAAAGTCAGATTCAGTGTGTTTTGCTGTTCACACTGCCACATAGATAACACGTCTGGGGCTACGTTTACACAGCAGGTAAAAGTGGCCCAAATCCGATCTTTTTCTTCATATGTGACACAGATGTGTGTCTGTGTGTCAGTGTGAACAGCAAAACACACTGAATCTGACATTTTATAATTCCGATTTGAGACGCTTTCATATGTGGTACTGAAATCCGATACATATCCAATCTGATAAATATGAGACTCAGTCTGAACAGCCAGATAACTTTTATGTCAATCCAACTCAACATTCATCATAATTTTGCACTACTGAGACTCTTAGGCTAACCCTCAGTGTTCAAAGAGATTTCGAAATAAATGACTGAACGCGAACCAAAGAAATGACCGTGTCTGAATAACGTGCACTTTTTTCAGTGAGCTCGAACACATTCTGGGTGATGAGCCGAGCTGTCGGTCAATGAAGCTTCATGGTGGCTCCTGTGATGCTGGCGAAGATCAAACTGAAATCTCCGGGAGCGACTGGCGTTTGTTGGAAGTCATGATCGTTTACCTCTAGACAGGCGCGCCATGTAAAGCCATGTGAAGCAACGTGAAGCATTGTTCTTTTGCTCATGTGGGTCAGTTTAGGAGCTGATCTGTTCAGAATGATGTCACATACAGATCACATTTAAATGGTAATGTGAACTGCTGTGTGAACGTAGCCTGTGTCATATATGAAGAAAAAGATCAGATTTGGGCCACTTTTACCTGCTGTGTGAACAAAGCCTTTGAAATCTGATTTGAGCAGCCAGAGCGTCCAGACTGAATCCTGTTGGAATCGCATTTCAAACCACCTCCAAATGTAGTTGGATTTTAAGAGGCTGGGTTGGAGTTGATGAAAGCTGGTGGGAACAGCTTTGGTGTCTACCAGTTCTTGCAGGTGGTTGTTAGAGTCCCATTTTCTCTGTATTTTTCATCATTTTCTGAAATCTAGTTTTGGAAACTTCTGTTTTTGACTTATTTTCCATTGATTGTCTCCGTCCTTATGCAAACATATAATCTTATGTCTAACTTCCTCAGAAAGATCTCCTGAAAAATGAATACTCATACTCAATTTATATATTAATATATTGGAAGCTTCTACCTGCAGTCCAATGTGTGTCTCTACACTCATACTGCTCTCATGATGTGCTAGTGAAAGCTTGGATCGAATACAAACCCAGGCTAAAGTCATGGCAGCTTTGACTGATTTTAGCCTTGGTGCCTCCCTCATTCCTCATTCTTTGGTTAAGTCCATTCATTCTGTGAGGTAAAACTAAAAGTCTGCATAACTTATTAAACCCAGGCTAAAGTCATGGCAGCTTTGACTGATTTTAGCCTTGGTGCCTCCCTCATTCCTCATTCTTTGGTTAAGTCCATTCATTCTGTGAGGTAAAACTAAAAGTCTGCATAACTTATTAAACTCTGAATCAAATCCTTCTACAATAATCCTTTAAGCCCCCTCTGTGTTTGTATGGTTAAATCCCAGCAGCAGGGTGTTATTTGTTAAACAAAAAGTACTTGGCCAAGAATAAATCAAGACCTTGTTGTCATATTAATCATTTTTGCAATGCCGGCTAGCATCTGCCTTTCGTTTGCAGTCTTAAAGCCTTTTCTTCGCCCAGTAAAGATGGAACGGACAGGCCGATGAACAGAAGCTGCTGCCAGATTTCTGTGTCCTTTCCTTAATGCGCTGTAGGCTCAGTGCTGTTTGAGACACTGCAAAGAACTAATACATCAGTCTATATATATCCTATTGCTGGCACCAATGCAGTCTTCATTCCTGATACAAGCACCAGCAAGGCTGGATTCACAAAAAATATAAACGAAACTTCATTTCACCAACCAACACCACCCTCGAGTATAAAGCATGTGTTTGCTCACCACAGTCACAACTTCTCCCAATGAAGACGACATATCTATTAATTTAAAATCTGCTGAGATGTACATCGTGCCACAGCAGGCATAAAAATCATTTGCTGCATGTAAAGCTGAAAATACATGTTGAAACTTATACTAAATCAGGTGATAGTTTTACATTACCATTACTGTTTCCACACTGAATCTCAGAAACCCTTCCAGAACTATTGAGGCCCTTAGTGTCCTAACGCTAGTTATGAACATGATGGGCATTATCAAATATATCAGATATATATGATGGGCATTATCAAATATATCAGATATATAAATCTGCAATTACCTCAAGTTTTGATACATATATATATATATATATATATATATATATATATATATATATATGTATCAAAACTTGAGGTAATTGCAGATTTATATATCTGATATATTTGATAATGCCATAATTAATCACGAACCTCTCTTTGAATTAAACAGGCCATTTTGTTATTAAGATAGATAGATAGATAGATAGATAGATAGATAGATAGATAGATAGATAGATAGATAGATACTTTATTGATCCTGAAGGAAATTTAGCAGCCAGTATCAGTAACAACACAGGACAGTTATAATAATAAGGGTGATACAATATAAAAACCAGAATTTATACAAAAAAAAAAACATCTGCAGGCATATATACAACTAGAAATATACAAAAATATGCAATAAGATCTATAACCTGAGATATTAATATATATGTACACAAGCTTTGATCTGATTGGCTGCCCTCTTTGTGCCTCATTCAAAAAATAGTCCAGGTTGAAGAACTCCTTAAAACCTGAGCGACGAGTGATGAGTGAGGCCTAACTGCTGAATGAGTGGAAATAAGTGGATAAATGTACATATGCTGGTTTTGTGATATCACAAAAACAATGAACGGAAAACAGGCTGCTTATTTTCAGCAGCTTATTTTCCATATATGGACTGAATGGACTGGAGAAAGACACTGACACATGAAACTTTAACAGTGTTTATATACCACAGCTCCTTTATTTCAAACAGTGAATAAAATCGGGTTTTCGATTATATGGGCCCTTTAATATTTTGGGTGTTTTCCGTAAAGATTAAGATTAAGATTGTTTTTAAAACAGAACAAAGTGAACATCATCATAGATGCACACACACATACAATTACATTTAATTAATATTTATAAGTTTTTTTTTTTTTTAATTAACCACTTATTTGTGATCTGAATACAGCATTAAAACTCAGTACGAACATGTTTTAAAGTTTCACAAACTCAGTTTGCCCTCTACTGGCAAAGTTGAGAAAAGTACAATCTTCTTGTGGCAGGAGGTGCATGAACGTAGTGGTTAATTTCATTAATGACCAAAAGACGAATTCCTGAGGGGCTTAAAGTGACAATTTCCCCCCAAAAATCACATCTGCACTATTTTCCTCTTTAACTGAATTATATTATATCAGCCAAGACATGTGCAGTGTCTGAAGTTTGACTCTTTAGTTTCATTTTCATTGAACCAGTGGGTTTGTTGAAATGAACTTGTGTAAGAGCTCAAGTATTCAGTTTCTTCCAAAATAATACAGAACTGTAGTATCTAAGGACAGTTTCTTAAGTCTTGTTCTGCTCTTCAGACAAACGTACCTGTGTAAATCTCAAATGGCTCCCCACTCCCTATGTAGTGCACTATGTAGGTCATGAAGCAAGTGCTTCTTCACCCAAATAGTGCATTATATGTCTGCTAAAAAAGGCTGTTTATAATCAGACATAAGCTGCACGACTCCCTGTCTAACATTTAATGCACTATTTGGATGTAAAAGCCATAGTTTAAAGGCGTACACAGTGCACTATGTAGAGAATAGGGAGGCATTTGAGATTCAGACTCTCTCTTCACTTTATTGACTGTAATGAACCCATAGTACCTAGCGCCTGTTTTTTGCCACTAGAGGAAAATATACAGCCAATATACAGCAATAATAAGTCACTATAATGAGAGTGTTCCAAAATTATGACTTAATATCTCATAATAATTACATACTATTTCGTAATGATGAGAAAATGTTCTCAGAAAGTAAGTCATAGTTAAGAGAAAACAAGTCATAATTTATGAGAATGTAAGTCTAATTATGAGCAAAGAAGTCGTAGGTACAGAAAGTAAGTCATAATTACGAGATGATAAGTCATAACTATTATATACTAAGTCATAATTTTGAGATAATTTTGAGATTGAATCTCATTTTTATGATACATTAGGTCATACATATGAGATGCCATAATTATGACATTTTAAGTCATACTTATGAGATAGTGACATTATTATGAGATACTAAGTGATAACTATGAAACATCGTAATAATTTTGAGATGTTAAATCATAATTATGAGATATATGTCATAATTATGAGCTATTAAGTCGGAATCATGTAAATCTTTCTCATTATTATGACTTGCTGAACGGCCGTATATTTTTCTCGAGAACAATTTCTCCAGAAACGGGCCTCGCATGTTCCACTCCCGCACAGCAGGGGGCAGTGTTGCCCATCGCCGATGAATAAGAAAGGCGAAAGTGTCCACACTGTCAGGGTCCCTCGGTGTGTCGGAGTGTCGGTGGGTGTCCAGCAGCTTTTGTGAGCGATAAATGCTAAAGTCTGGTGGTGGTATTAGTCTGAGGAGCGGCGGGCCTCGCAGGTCCTCCCTGAGCCCCCCGCCCTGAGCGCGGATGGTCGGGGCCGACGGCGCGATGGCGGCCCACTCCAGCGAACTGGAACTGGCCAAGAAGAACCTGACCGACGCCATCGGCGACAACATCAAACAGTAAGCGGCTGTAATCGCGCGGGGTGTGAAATACTGAGTGTATCTCCTTTTTAGTGTCCGTCCAGAAATGAGTGTTAGCCGTGTAAATGAGCGGAGGTTCGAGGAGAGCGGAGTTAGCTTTCTCAGGCTAAGCTAATCCTGTTTACCACCTTCTTTCCGATTTTCCGTTCCACCTTAAATGGGCTGCAGCCGCGTTTCAGCCGGGTTAATACTCTGAAATGAGGCTCTTTGGGGATTTTGATGCTTTTGTAAAGCTAAAACATGCATTCACTGTGAAACGCGACCCTCCAGAGTTGCTGAGGAAAAGCCACTACATTGAGGCTACTGATTTACATATTGAGGCCACGAGTGAAGTTTCTCACAACAGTGTGTTCAGTATGTTAATTCGTGGCCACACATTATTAAAAAAACAATCACCGTGTCACCTTACGGGCTCTGCACGTTTATACCTTTCAAACACCGTTTAATATTGAACTCATTTTTACTGTACAGTGTTTAGAGTGGGAATAAGAGGATCAGTGGGAACCAACATGGTCTGTTTTAGAGAAAAACACGTTTTAGTGCCAAAAACATGGTGACTTTTCAAGGCAAGTCCAGTTTATTTATACACAAAGGGGATTCAGTTTGCTTTTCATAAATAAATTATGAGATATTAAGTCATAATAATGAGAAGGGAAGTCATTAGGACATCGTCTCATAAGTATGACTTAACAAGTCATAATTATTAGACTTTGTCATAATTTTTAGATATTAAGTCATAATTATGAGATACTAAGTCATGCGATTGTAAGTTGCAATTATAAGAAAGTCATGATTATGATTTATGAGAAGGCAAATCATAATTGTCACTCTTTTATATAGTTGTGTTACTAAGTCATTTTTAAGAGATTTAAGTCACAATTATGAGATTTTAAATCTCATAATTATGAGATACTAAATCTTTAAAAGAAAATATATATGCAAAGTGCTTAATAGTGGAAAACAAAAGATAAAAATCGTTAAAGACATAATTAAGATGAAGTACAGAGTACATAAAATAGAATAAAAGCATGAAAGGGAATTAAAACAAAGGGCTTGAGTGTCATTAAGATTAGCTTATTAAAGCGCAGTAAGATTAGAGCACAAGTCTTCGAGCTCACGCGCGGCCAGCTAGAAGCGCGCATGATGGTGACCGCCTTCGAGATGGGTCTGGACAATGTTACTGAGGAAGCAGTGAGCACTGTGGTCTGCGCTTTAGAGGTGAGTGTGCGACGGGATGCGCCTCTGATTTTGGACCTGGAAATAAAGAATAAAATCAGAAAACTTTTGACAAAAGTCGGGGAAACTTGTTGATTCTCTCGCAAAACCGTTTCATGAGGAGTTTTCAAATGGTGCCTTTTAGGAACCAAACTTTGGAACCCATCCCTGTGTGCGTGGTGGGCGCATGGTTCTGTGTGGCTAGGAGGTGTGGAGTGTATGTGTTTTTATGCTGGTTTCACAGTCATGGGCACAGACTGAAAAAGAACTGGATTTAAACATCATTACATTTGGGGCTCGTCTAAGATCTTCTGGCAGTTTGTTCCAGTTGGCGTAATGTTTCTTATGGTAAAACAGTGGTAAATACTGCACCTTCATGCTCCTCTGTGCCCAGCAGTACTTTGTCTCAGGCATTTGGCGGCGTATATAACCAGTTTATAAGGTAACGTCCTGTGAGGTGTCTTTAGAGACGCTTAGTCACTTCGTACAGGAGCTTTGGGAATACCAGTTTGAGATGCAGCTAATGAAGCATGTTAACTTGCTACTGTAAAAGTTACAGTTGTGATTCTGGTTTTCAGTTACTGGGCTAATCTGAAACTGTGGTTCAAGCAGAAAATCAGCAAAGAAGAGTTTCGACATTGAAGCCCGGCGCCTTTTGGGACAAGATAATGGTGAGTTCTGTGGTCTAGATTTGTTTCCTGGCCTCCTTTGAGCTGAACATACTTGGCTTCCTTGTTGTGCATCTGGTTTACACCACGCTGTGCTTACGAAGGCTGTCTAGTTTTGGACTAAATTAGTGATTAATCTTTGAAATTGTTGGAGTAAACGCACCGTTTTGAACAGTCAAAGTCTCCAAAGCTGTTGAAATAACTTCAGCGTCATAAGAAATTTTTAGAAGTTGAATGTTCAGAAATGTTTTATTGTATTTGAGGCCGTTTAGGTTTTTGAATTGTTTGTCCCTCATTTTCACAGTTTTATAAGATCACCAATTTTGGACAAGGACAAACTACTTTTGGAATAAAATCCGTATTTATCTGAGCCAAGTCAACCCATATAATATACAGTCATGTGGAAAACTCTACAGTGGTGGTGATGGGAGCTGTAGTGCAGCTCATGGTGAAATAGGCTAATATGAACAGAAAATTAAAGTAGTTCTGCCAGCCGAATAGGATTGGGCCACGGGCCGGACTTGGCCTTCAGGCCTTGTGTTTGACAAGTGGGCAGTAAAAGATGTTAATTTTATTCTTACTAAGAAAATCAATTCTTTTCCAAATGATTTAACATTTTGTTTTTTACCTTGACAGTTCACGTTCACAATGACTTCCTGTTGGCCATTCTTACACGCTGTCAGATTATTGTATCCACACCAGGTAAGATTCAGAATTTACAGCAGACTAAACTCACCACTTGCTCTTGCAGCCTGCAGAAGCTGAAGAAACATGTATTGTTTGCTCAGGATCTCAAGTCCTTTGGCATTACTGTGCTGTAAATACTTGACCTTCAGATTTGGATGATGATGGTTAAATAAACCTGTAAAATATCATTATAGTCTAAAGATCTTTTGCTCTTTTATTTAGAGTGTTTATATTCTCAATGTTGTGAAGGATAGTTTGTATTATGATATTTAGTATATATATATATATATATATATATAATATATGTGTGTGTGTTGTCTATACAGTAATCAGTATCAAACTGTAATCTTATTAAGTGATTAATAAGGTTAATATCTTGATCGTTAATCCTCTTCATGATATTTCTTTTTCTTGAGTGCTTTGCTCTCCCTTTGCTGCTGCAGCACTGTGAATATCCCCAGTGTTGGACTGATAAAGGATTATCTCATCTAAAATGTTAACGAGCACAAGTTCTTAGCTGCTTAGTGTGAAATACTAACTAACCTCCAGATGGTTTTCTCCCCCAGAGGGCCCTGGCTCACTGCAGTGGACGGGCAGCTCTGCCTCAAAGCCTGGGAAACCAAACAAAGGCAAAAAGAAATTTTCCTCTGTTCGTCAGAAATTTGATGTAAGTCATTTTGTCTTTTTGACTTTAGTTTGAGAACAAGATCCATGTGCTGTTTCCTGCAGCCTGTCAGTGCGTGTCATGGCGCGTTCGCGTCAGAGGTGTCCTCGGGAGCAAAGTGCAGGGAAAACAATAACCTGCAGTTTTGTAGAACTAGGAGCGAAGAACGCTGATGATTGTTATACTAGTCTGTCCGTATATTCTCAGTCTGTCTTTCCTCTCGCTGCAGCATCGCTTCCAGCCCCAGAACCCATTGAGCGGAGCACAGCCGTTTAGTCCGCGTGAGACTCAGGATGAGGAGGAGATGAGGCTCAGCGCTCACACGCTGTTACTGCCCACGCGCGGCCAGCTAGAAGCGCGCATGATGGTGACCGCCTTCGAGATGGGCCTGGACAATGTTACTGAGGAAGCAGTGAGCACTGTGGTCTGCGCTTTAGAGGTGAGTGTGTGACGGGATGCGCCTCTGATTTTGGACCTGGAAATAAAAAATAAAATCAGAAAGCTTTTGACAAAAGTCGGGGAAACTTGTTGATTCTCTCGCAAAAGCGTTTCATGAGGAGTTTTCAAATGGTGCCTTTTAGGAACCAAACTTTGGAACCCATCCCTGTGTGCGTGGTGGGTGCACGGTGGCTATGAGGTGTGGAGTGTATGTGTTTTTATGCTGGTTTCACTCAGTCATTTTAAACATCTTTACTTTCTAACCACCTCCACTCTGCCTGCAACTGTTTTACTTGATTTTTACTGGTGTCTTATTTTCATTATTTTAGTTATTTGATATTTTTTCCTGTTTATTTATTATTCATGTTCTTATTTTATTATTATATTAGATTATATTATTGTAATTTTGATTAATTTTAGTTTCCTTTTTTGACCTCATTTTATCTTATTTTATTAACTTTTACATTTTAGTTATGCTTTAATTATTGTTTCATATTTTCTACTGTTTATTTACTGTTTTATACTTGCCTGATTTGAGTCATTTTTATTATTTGATATATTTTTACATATTGATCTCTTTTTCCTGTATCAACTCAGCCACCCTCAGTGTTCTCCATCTTCCTCCTGTGCAGGTCCACTTAAAAGACGTCATAACTGCTGTGGTGTCACGGAGAAAAGCCTACCGGTTGAGAGACGGACACTTCCAGTACGCCTTTGGCAGTGATGTCACACCCCAGCCCTACCTCAAAAACAGCCTGGCAGCCTACCAGACTGTCACAGAGTGGTGAGTTATTTTACCATCTGTATAAACAAGTAACCAGCGTTGTTCAAACCATTCGAGCAAAATAAACAGTTGCTATGATCTGATTTAAAGTTTTGAAACTGAAGCTTCACACATGACTTTACGTCACACAGGCAGGCGGTATCAGAAATGTTTATGTAAGTGGTACAAACTGACAGCTTGGTTTAATGTGCAAAACACTCTCTTGAATATGCATTAGTTTTCATACCCCTTGTACTTGAGGCTTTTTTCAGTTTTTGTGGTGAGTGACACAGCGCTATTTGCCATTGTGACCAAGAACTGTATACCTGCCTTTGTGTACAGGGCAATAATCTGGCCCAGTATAGCCCTGGGATTATGGCAGATGTGCCAGGTTTGTTGTTTTTGTATTGTGTTTTTTTTATTCTACTCCCACACTCTTCTGGATATACAGTCGTCCTACTTAAAAGGGATTTAATTGGCCCAGTTTAGTCTTACCCAGTTCCACCCGTAAGCTCCCCCAGTCTCATGATAGTACCAGCACAAGGAGGGTGAAGCCCTCAACACGCTTGGAGGAGAACACTAAAGGCCAATTAATAGTCTGGGCGACAAGCGTCGCTCAACAAAAAAACTATGGTCAGCAGATTTTGCAGCGCAGTAGACTTTCGTAGTCGTGTACCAAACGACAAAACTAAAAGTAATCGCAGTCACGGAAAAAGGTTTGAAAATGAGAACAAATTGTCTTATGAATGTATATTGATTCTAGTTCTGAATAGCTGGCAGCCTGTTCTGTTTCTGAAAGCAGTGGAGCAGCAAAAAAGTAAACACAGCTGCACACTGACCACAGCAACAGTCCAGAACGTAGAACTTTGAGTTTTCATTTTTTTTACTTTTTTATTTTTTTTATTTATTTATTATTATATATTTTTTTTTGGAGCGGGGCTTGTCGCCTGGACTGTAACCATGTGGGAGCACCAAAGGCCTAGATATGGGGAAACTGCAGCCAAGGAGACTCTTCCACATCCTCAGAGAATGGTAATTACACAGTGTCCTTACAGTTTTGTATTCCTGTGCCTCCAGCCCTCCTCCCAGTGCCTCCTTGCCCGCCGGCCCACCTACCCATGTGTCTCCAGACGATGCGGAACAGCAGGCTGCTCTCCTGTTGGCCTGTTCTGGTGACACTGTTCCTGCCCCTCTGCCTCCTATTGGCATGTACGACCTACTGGAAGCTCTTCAGGTGAGATCTGAACTTCAGTAGCTCAGATTTACCTCTTCTAACTGAACTGAACTGAAGGTTATTACAGTGCAGAAGTTATATGTGAAATATATCTTAAATGAAGGCAGTAAACCCAGCAGTCCTGTTCATGGTGTAGCTTTTAGCTAACTTAAGTCAGCATCTTTCCCATCAATTGTACTTCTTTCAGTTTAGTCTTCCTAATTTATCCCATTCACATACACGTTTGCTTTCTGTAGTCATTTGCATTTGGTAAGCATGATTTTCATCAGTTGTTTAGTGTTTATTGTGATTTCTAAATGCTTTTCGCAAAAACTGCAAAGCTTTATGAACCCTAAAGGCTCAGTAAAATTTCAAAGTTGGACATTTTTTCTTGAAGTCTCTGTATAATATTTGTGTTGTTTTTATGCTTTAAAAAATGGTCAATTTATTTTTATATGACCTTCTTTTATTGCTTGGATTAAAATGAAAGACGTTGTTTTTGTTACTGTGCCTTTAAGAGCTCTAAATGAGCTCTATAAGCTGCATTGTGCCCTTATTCAAAAAACACGCAGAGCTAAAACACTCCTCAGACCTTGAGCAGGAGTGGGCAGAGCTTAGCTGCTGTAGGCTGAATATGTAGATGTGTGTAAACACGTTGGATTTCATGACATAATAGAAACAATTATTTCAGAACAGGCTGTTTTAGCTGTTTAGTCTGGGGTGGTTTTGCGTCTTAGTCAGGGGGTCTGGGGACTGTTTACATATTACTTTAAACTACCTTATTTAAAATAAAAGTGATGGGAATTTTTCCATGAAACGGGACTGTTAAGTAACCATAAAAATTGTAACTTTTGATTTTGACAAACTGCTGCTTCAAATCTTGGCTCTCGTTGCTGTTTTGTTCACAGGTGCACCGCAGGGTGATGCCCTCTCACACCGTTTACGCTCTGAACATCGAGCGAATCATCGCCAGGCTCTGGCACCCCAGTCACGAGGAGCTGGAGCAGGACCACATCCACAGACAGCGGCTGGCCGCCAAGGAGGGCCTGCTCATCAGCTGAGAGAGGCTGCGTTTACAGATTCAGGGGTGGTTTATAGTCCATCTTTGGATGACTCTGACAGCCAAAAGCAACACGAACATGAACCATTGTTGGTGGACAGGTGCTGCATATCAGATCTACATGTGTGTCACATTACTGGTAGAGCTGATGGTGGATATACAAGCACAGTTTGTTTGTGGCGAGTGGACACAGCACTATTTGCCTTTGTGACCAAGGACTGTTTACCTGCCTTTGGATACAGGGCGATGGAATTGGAGCATAATCTGGCCCAGTATAGCCCTGGGATTATGGCAGATATGCCAGGATTATTGGTTTTTTGTATTGTTTTTTTATTCTTCTCCCACACTCTTCTGGATATACAGTAGTTCTACTTAAAACGAGATTTAATTGGCCTGGGTTTAAGAAAAAAGGACCATTAATTTAGGTAAAGAACAGTTTTGTTGGAAGGATTTTGACACTTAAAACTAGTGAATAGGGGCCACTTAAATGGTTTATTGAAATTCAGATTGCATTGACTCTTCTGTCTTAACTTTAATTTAATTAAACAGTAGCTTGTACTAATACAGTATATGTCCAGAAGCTTATAGACACCTGTTCATCTACCATTTCCTCCGAAATCAATTCTCATATGGGAAGGCTTTACAGAAGATATTGTAACATTGCTGTGAGGATTTGATTGCATTTAGCCACAAGAACATTAGTGAGGTCAGGTGCTGATGTTGGATGATCAGTTCTGGACACTCCAACTCATCCCAAAGGTACTGGATGGAGCTCCATTACTCCAGAGAATGCATTTCCATGGCTCCTCAGCCCAATGCTGGGGGGGGGGGCTTCATACCCCTCTAGCCCCTGCTTGACATTGAGCATGTTCTTCTGCACACAACATTACACATTTCCACCAGAGAGGTCTCCAAATCCCCAAAGCTTACATAGTGCAGCTTTAAAGTAGCCATATTCGCTATTTAGAAGGGCTGGCTGTCAATGAAATTTGCTTTCTATAAACCGTTTGAGTGAACTGATGAGGTATTAAAATCTCTGTTCCTCTGTGATCTTTCTTGCTCCTGTTCTGACACAGGGGTCAGTTATGGTTTTACATGGCTAGTGGACTCGCAGAGCTGCCTCCTGGTGACTTCAGTCAACAGAAGAGGCCCCAGTCATATAATCTGATCAGCAGGAACTCGGTTTGTGTAGATATTTTGCACTTTTGTAAATATTTCTGTACCAAGTAATGTTCTTTTTCCTCTCAAACAATAAATGCCAACAATGATAAATGGAAAAACAACGATAATCACATCCAGTGAAGGTTCCTGCATACCTGGCTTTGAATCTTAAAGGTTCTAACTGCTTTACAAATTGATGATAAATGGTAAAAACTGGCCACTTGGTCGGACATGTTCAGCGTGTTGAACGTGCCAGAACTCCTTTAGTTAACCAGAAGCCCTTAATCATTGAGCGTGTTTACATGCTGTCAATAATCCGATCATAATCAGATTTCTGCAGTTATTATTCAAAAGGTCATGTAAACAGCAAACTCAGATTTCTTAAATCGGACTAAAGTCTGGAAATCTGATTAAGAAATCTGGTTAAGCTGGATTTTAGCTCAGTAATCAGATTTCTCAGTGCATGTGAACCCTTACTCTGATTTCTTTCGCATTTCTCAATCTGCGCATGTGCGGAACAGACTGCTGTACCTGAAATAAGCAAGCAGCGAGACGCAGCAAAACACTTTTGGAGCGAGGCAGAAACCAACTACATTCTCGATGAAATTAAGGATTTAAATATTCTTCATCTTCTTGATGATGTATGTTTGTATTTTCAGTTAAAGTGGCGTGATGTTTAAAAAAAAAGCTGAGGCATGAGGTTTGAGTTTATTACGTTTACGTCGCGTCTTCTGTGGGTTTATTGGCCGGTTTCAAAGCAGAAATTTGATAACTGTTTGACTCAAGTTTCTCCCTTATCTGGTTACTGAAGTGTATGTAAACATGTTGATCGGATTGCTGACAAAATCTGATTTTCTGCAATTATCGGATTATTAAGTGCATGTAAACGCACTCACTGTAAGTAACCGTGTATAAATGAATGTGTTCTTGAAGACTAGACTGGACTCTCTACAATGTGATTGAAAAGGCAGTTTAGAAAAGGCTTTTACAAAATCAGAAGAACAATAATGGCTGAAAATTGTTATTTTTTTTTTTAGGCTTTTGATAATAAACTGAAGTTTTTGACAACTGAAATAATGTGAAATAAACGTTTATTTAACGACCGTTTCCCTGTCCTAGGTGAAATAGGTGTTGGGTGTCCTATGCTGAAAAAATGTGGTCTGTCTAAAAGAAACCTAACTGAAGGTTTGAGTAGTTTCAAAGTCAGCGTTGTCGTCTCTGCTCATCACAAATGTGTTGAGAGAGAAGAACAAAATGTAGTTTCTCCAGGACTCAGTTCTACATTTAAACATAGAACAGCAACAGACAAAACTATGCAAACACTATACAATAAACCCTTCTGTACAAAATACATTAACTTTAAAGCCATTAAACACAGCACAATAGAGAAAACTGACCAGCTGTTTGTCCACAGCAGCATTAATAGTTGTCTGTTTTTTGTTGTTTTTTTTGTTTGTTTGTTTGTTTGTTTGTTTATTCTTATTTATTTTTTTGATTTTCAGATTTTTCTGACTTTCTGATTAATAAAGGATTCAGCAGGAAGAGTCAAGAGACCGGATCTTCAGATTCTGAGTTGTATTAATGTGCATACAGAGAATCATGTCTGTCACCAGTCTAATGAACACATGGTCTGACATGCTTTAAGCAGAGATACTGAGGGGTTGGGGGAGGAAGCAAAGAGGAAGGGGACGAAGAGGATGGTGGTCTGGGGGTCAGGGGAGACCCCAGGGGAGAATGAAGTTGTTCTCACCTCAGGAGGAACAATACAGATAAAACATAAAAAGACACACAAATGTAAGACAATACAGTTGACAACAGAAGGACAACATAGACGCATAGAAGTAAGCACAGGTGAAAGGACCTTTACTTTTAATGAGTGTAGAATCACTGGTTTCTGTGTGGTTTTGTTTGATGGCCGAGCCCAGATAGCAAGTATACATCAGTCCGACAGCTTCATAAGGTCGGCACCCTGCTGACTGTATGACGCTGCTGGTCTACTCTCGGACCTTCCAGATTACTGAGCTCACAAGGTCGAACTCGTTGTTGATCTCCTTAAACAGATTTTCAGCGCATTTAGACTTTTATTTTGGAAAATAAACTAAGACAAACATTTGAGAGAGAGAAAAAAAAAGACTGGGTCATGTTGTTTTGTACTGTGCTTGACTGGTTACAGCTATAATACTGTATTTATGATATTGCTGTTAAAATTATACAAAACTAATTTACAAATGATAACGAAAGAAAAACGAAGGAAAAATAAGTAAATTTGACTGTGAGTGGAAGATGAGTGATTAAAGCGCTTAACCACCGGTGGGCTGCCTGGAAAACACTGAGCACAAAGCCAGTGGGCTGCCAGCTTTGCCATCGGTGGGCCGACAGTGGCCCACTGTCCTCACCTGGGAGGTAAGAGTTACACTAAAGTTAGCTTGGTTGTACAGGGTGTCCCAAAAAAATTTACATAATTTGAGATGTGAATATCTGAGTAACTACATGTCCTGGCAAACGAAATTAAACAGACTTCATGTTGAACAACACGAGATTTATTTATCAAAATTCGAACAGAAATTCAGAGGGATGTAGATTTTATAACCGATTTCACAAATGTAGTATCTCCCGATACTGGTGGTCGTCCAGACCCCTTTGCGCTGCACAGACAGCCTTCCTCTCTGAATTTTTTGTGCCATGTCCAAATCTGCTTTCCAGTTGGTGCATTTTTATTGAATTATCTCGAAAGCGCGCACTGGACACTCTTGTTTGACCGTGTTTGATCATATTCTAACACACACAATGCCTTTTCATTTCTAGTGAACTCCATTCTTCAACCTGAAAAAAAAACATTACAAATTAAACTTGGTCAGTTTTTACACATTTTGTTCAAATTTGAGATCATTTGAGGGAGAACTGGCTGTTATTAGACAACGAAATGATGTCAGTTTTTTTGGGACACCATGTATATTATAGCCTGTAGATCAGTGGCTAGCAGTCATGATTGGCTGACACCACAGGGATTCCCACTAGATGTATGATGTGAATTCTGTCAAACCGATGAGGCTGAGGGTCACATGATGCATAACATTAAACTAGTTTTAGGTCTCAGTGCCCCTTTAATAAACGTGGGGTAAGAATTTAATAAGTTTTATCTTTCCCTCACTTGGTTCTGGTGATGACCTGATTACCAGCGTTGTAACGGTTAATACTGTTCTGTTTACTAGTTATTAGCATGGCTCAGTTATTGTTTTTATAAGTTGACATTTAGTAAATTCATGTAACTATAAAACCGTATGTGGTACAGCCTCCTGTTTCCTCTGTTAATGTAACCCTGAAGTTTGACTTTAGTTCATTTCAGCAGCAAGTTCTCTTTCAGTAGGTGCAGATATTTGCCTGGTAACTAAACTTACGGTTGGACTTGTGTGGAGAAAACATGAAGGCGCATGTATGTAAATGACAGAACTAGCCTAGTAACTTTCAGAGTCAATGGCTACAGCAGGTTTGGAAATATGTACATAAAACAAAATGAAAATGCAAACTTCACCCTGAAACGAGCTCACAAATCTTCACTACTCTCTGATTATTATTTTAAAATACCTTTTTAGCAGTTGCGGTCAAACAATCTTGAAATCCGGGGGTGCTGAAACTTCCTGGGCCCCTGGGTTGGTGAATGCAAGTCCACTGGGTTTTGTGACATCACAGAAACTATTTTCAAAATGGGCTGTTTTTGTAATTGACCTCTATGGACCGAATGGACTGAGGAGTGAGCGGTATATTAACACTTTAACAGGGTCTGCATACTACATCAAAAACATTTATTCATTTATTTAAGTTTTTTTTTCCATCATATGAGGCCTTTAAGCCTAAAGTCAAGCCTGGTCCTGAAAGACATGTCACTACAGAGCAATCATCACTTTTTTGTGCTTTCACATCCATAAATATGAAGGTGGTTTCGTTTTTTTATTTAATTTTTTTTTTAGTAATTGTAATATACAATGAAGAGCTGCAGCAGTTTGATTACTGGTAGATAAAAAGAGGAAAACTACAATAAGAATATAAACACAGTAATTCCTTAATTCTACAAACAAGGAGGTGCAAAGTTTGAACTATATAAGTGCATTTCCTGGGTGATTGCTTAAGCTTGCTAAGATGTTGTTAGGTGGTTGCTATGGTATTCCAGTTGGTTGCTAGGGTGTCCCACATGTTTGCTAGGGTGTTGCAATGCAGTTGCTATTGTAGCCCATGTGGTTGCTAGGGTGTCTGTTATGCGGTTGCTATGGTGGCCAAGGTGGTTGCTAGGATGTTGCTTCGTGGTTGCTATTGTATCCCAGATGGTTACTAGGGTGTTACTACGTGGTCACTAAGGTATCTCAGATGTTTGCTAGGATGGCGCTATGCAATTGATGTGGTAGCCCAGGTGGTTGCATGGGTGTTGCTATGCAGTTGCTGTGGTGGCCAAGTTGGTTGCTACGTGGTTGCTATTGTATCCCAAATGGTTGCTAGGGTGTCGCTATGCGGTTGCTATGGTAGCCCCGGTGGTTGTTAGGGTGTTGCTTTGCAATGCGCAATCACTAATACTATTTAATAACAAAAAAGCCAAATATGGGTGTGGTGGTATTGAATACTTCACAATAACTCATTTTCCAACTGCCAAAAGAAGCTTATATCAGTTTTTATACTGATTATGAGTAAAGACTGAGCTGGTGGGGTTGATTTTCTGCGTTTATGTGTAAAATAGTTATAAGTCGTTTATAAGACCAGAAAGCCACCTTTACTAACGCCGAATCCGACCAGGCTGAAGTCGAGGGAGGAAGGTGTGCTGTGGTTGTGTTTTTCGCGTTAGTTTGGTCCTTCCGGCTCGCCGTAGTTCAGAGTACACACTCCCAGCTCACTGTGTGGACACTTGTACAGATTCTAACTCGACTCCTTCATTCGTGGTAAATATGTTTCACTGAATTATCTCCGTGTTGGTGTTTAGCGCTCGCTTTCCGGTAAACACTTGTACAGCGTACTGTGTTCAGCTGTGTCGCCGTTCAGCGCTGCTGAGAAATCCTCTCAGAGAGAGAGAGAGACCGGCTCACTGAGCTGAGAGGGGTGGCGCTTTATCTGAGATCTTTAAACGACCGTTTTCTCAGATTTATGACATATTTTGCACTGCATCGGGTCCGAATGTGACGAAGATGAGTTAATAGCAAACAGTAAATCGTCAGTTTGAGCCCGTAGGTTGGGGTTGTCCGCTAGTGCTGCCGGACAGACCCCCACAGTGCGCAGTTTGGTATCTCCCGGCTCTGGTACTCTCACTCTGACTGCATATGAAGAGCTGAATAATAAGCTGCGGAGTCGGTCCAGTCAGCTGTTTTTGGAGACAGAGGGCAGTGACCACTTATATTCCCTCAAGCTACGCGTGCTTAGCTACAGATTTGTTTGGTTTGTACTTTTCTGAGTGCAATTGTCAAAAATCAGAGACCACCATTTTTTAGAATCAGGAAAAAGGAGAAAACAGACCCCCACCCTGTTTCTACACTCATCCATTTGATCAGCTCCACTGACCATATAGTAGCACTGTGTAGTTCTACAGTTACAGACTGTAGTCCATCTGCTTCTCTGCACATGTTGTTTCACCCTGTTCTCCAATGGTCAGGACCCCACAGAGCAGGTACTATTTGGGTGGTGGATCATTCTCAGCACTGCAGTAACACTGATATGTTGGTGGTGTGTTAGTGTGTGTTGCGCTGGTACGAGTGGATCAGACATGGCAGTGCTCAGTCAGAGATGATAGCTCACTTTTTGCTGCACAGTTTGTGTTGGTCATCCTCTAGTCCTTCATCAGTGGTCACAGGATGCTGTTGGCTGGATATTTTTGGTTGGTGGACTATTCTCAGTCCAGCAGTGACACTGAGGTGCTTAAAAACTCCAGCAGCACTGCTGTGTCTGATCCACTCAGACCAGCGCAACACAGACTAACACACCACCACCACGTCAGTGTTACTGCAGTGCTGAGACTGATCCACCACCCACATAGTACCTGCTCTGTAGGGGTCCTGTGGTGGTCCTGACCATTGAGGAAAAGGGAAACAAAGTATGCAGTGGACCATTTTTAACCGTTGGTTTACCATTTTTAAATGCACAAGCTGTAAATAAAAACCCAGACTAGCCCACTCCAGCTGTAGAAATGAACGGGTGATGAATGAAGGTAGAGTTATGATGGTGACAAAATCATGTGAAACAGTATTTGTTTTGTTTGAAATTATGAACATATTTTCCCCAGTACCGCTTTACCAGGGTAACTTCTAACTATGGGGAAATTTTTGGGCATAACTGTTTTCTCCTTGCTGTTTTATACCAAACTACTCTTCATCTACTCTTCATTACTGTTCTTCATCTTCCAGGAGGCGCTGCTAGATTAACTTCTCAGTCTGTCTGATAACCAGGCAGTTAAATGCCAGGCCCTCCATCTGTAGACTGTTATTACGTGGGAGTGGACGTGGGCAGTTGCAGCGTGCGGGCGGCCCTGGTGACCCGCGATGGTTGCGTTAAAGCCACGGCGGAGGAGTCCATTACAGTGTGGACGCCTGAGCCCGACCATTACGAACAGTCCTCGGCAGACATCTGGAGGAAGTGCTGCAGCACAGTGAAGGTAAAATAGCTGAGCATGGAGAGAACTGTGTACTCAGTGGAGCCGTCCTTACAAAACACATCTACAGCAATACTATCAAAAAAGATTTCTGTAGCGCTGTGTAATACTTTTATGATAATACATAGTCGTATGCAAAAGTTTGGGCAACCCTAGATATATGACACATGAGCGCCCCTGGTCAAATGACATATTTTGTGTAAATAAAACATCCTCTACAGAGAACACGCGTAAATGTGGCATATATTTTCAAATTTCAGATCTCCACAATTTTCATTTGTTTGCCAAGTTTAACATATTAGGAAAAAAAGAAAAAATAAACATAAAAAGTATCAATGGGCAGAAGTGTGTTCTCTGTAGAGGACGTGTAACTTATTTTTACTTTGTAAATCAACAAAATATGTCATTTGACAGTGACGCTCATATGTCATATGTCTGGGGGTGCTAAAACTTTTGCATACGCCTTTATATTTTCACTTGCTATAATATTTATGTAGTACTTTCTTACACTAATCTATAATGCCTGTGTTATTTCCCTTAATAGACCGTAGTAATTGTCTAAGTTTCCTGTAGAATTTGACCGAAATCCTGTGGAAATTCCTATAATATCATTATAGATTCATAAGGGACGATTTGTTGTTCCAGGAATTATACTTTTAAGATATTTTAATGAAGCTGAGACAACCTGTTCTGATTGGCTGCCCTGCATTATACCTCATTCAGAAAGCAGTTTTGGCTGAAACCCTCCTTATAACTTCAGTATGACTGGGCGGGGCTAAACTCCCGGTGGCTGAATAGATGGAAATACGTGAATGATTTGTTTTTCATGACATCTCAAAAACAATTAATTCAAAACAGGCTGTTTGTCCAGTTTAGTGTCTATATGTGGACTGGACAAATGCTACCTTTTTTGAACATTTAGCAATATTTACCCATTACATCAAACTCTTTTATTACCAGAAAACAGAGGAAGTGTTTTTTTCCCACTCCTTTTCCACTGCTCATGAGTTTTCATGTCTGCTGATAGTTTTTCAGGTTCCTCTCCTGAAAGGTTGCTTGTAATGGTCTCTGTGGTTGTTTCAGAAAGTGACTGAGGGAGTTGAGAAGGATCGTGTGCGAGGAATTGGTTTCGACGCTACTTGTTCACTGGTGGTTTTGGATCAGAGCTTCCAGCCTGTGGCCGTTAATAAAGATGGTGAGCAGCTCAGGGCGTGTGTGGGTGTGTCTTCAGCTACAGGTCCCTCAGTGGAATTTTTAGTTTGAAGCATACATTTTTTTTATTAGTGTCATAAAACATTTTTAACATGTTAAAATGAAGCATATGAAGCACATTTTGGGGCAAAACACAGACAGACAGACAGAGAGACAGATAGATAGATAGATACACAGACAGATAGATAGACAGATCGATCAGTTGATCACTTTATTAATCCCAGAGGGAAAGTTGTCTATTACAGCAGCACAAAGTTCAGTAAAGAGCAAAACAAGAGCACAAGTTTAAGCTATTATACAGATGCATAAATAGAAGAAGTACAGATATATAATGAAATATCCAAAACAACCATAAAATATAATGTGCTGCAGTATTATTTGTGTTCCACGTGTATCTAATCTTCAAAAGCATAAAAAAAGTTCTGAATTAAAAAATGACATATTTTCAATCACGATTGTATGATATAAATAAATAAATAAATAAAATATTTTTTATAAATATGTCTGTCTCATTTGTATGTCCTCACTGCGACACTGACCAAATGACCAGAAATATATTTTTTCATATTCATATATATATGAAAACTGAAAGCATACGTTTTCTAAAGAGCGTATAGAGAAAAGTGTGAGAAACCTAATCTAGGAGTCCTGGAATTCACAGAATAGACAAGTAAATATCATGTTTTCATATTCAGTATGTTCTGCATGTACATTAATGTGCAGCTTAGAGTTACTGTACTTTAAATTCGACTATTAAAACAGTTTCATGTTCATGTAAAATTGAAATAAATTACAAATTGTCTGCCAAAGCTAATGTAACAGGACATGCGATTTGCTGTTTATACTCAGTAAATTTTTTTACCATGACAGCTCAGATTCAGTGTCGCAGTAAAGACAGATTCAGTTCAGATTTTAAACTGTAATTTTAAATTTATACTTACAATACATTTTTATTAGTCCATTTTTTAAAAATGTCGGCTGTCAAAAAGTGCCTGTAGTTGCAGAAACACCCATACATGCAGTCATATGCAAAAGTTTGGGTGCGTATCTCAAACAACATGAAAACCGTGTTCCTGAATCATCTTGTGGTTTCTTAAAAACGTCATAGTGTTCATAAGCGGGGCTCAAGTCGTGGACCTGGAGATCTACCATCCTAAAGAGTTCAGAACCAGCACACTTGGCTCTAACATTCAGGTGCCTCTGAAGGCCTTCATTACCTGCATCAGGGGTGCTAAAATAGGGTAGGAGCTAAACTCTACAGGGTGGTAGATCTCCAGGACCAGGATTAGGGCAGCCCTGATTTAGAGATTGTGATGCTTATGTGAGTCCTGAATGAGGATGTAATCATCTGTCTCTGTTCCCTCAGGTGTTAAAGAGAGGAACGTGGTGATGTGGATGGATCACAGAGCGCTGGATCAGGCCTCTCGCATCACAGCCACCGGGCACAGCGTCCTGACCAGCGTCGGCGGAGTGATGTCTCCCGAAATGCAGCCGCCCAAACTACTGTGGCTGAAAGAGGTCAGTTCACTCAACAGGAGCCACACGCTGCGTCTTTTGGATCACTTCGCTTCGTTTAACAGTGTCCGCAAAGTTTTCTGATTTTCTTTGCATGTTACTCGATCAGAATCTCAGGGAAAGCTGCTGGAAGGAAGCTGCGCACTTCTTAGACCTCCCAGACTTCCTGTCTTGGAAAGCTACAGGCTCTCTAGCCAGGTGAGCTTTCCTCTTAACCAGGCAACTCCGCGGAATACATGAAAGGAGTAGTTTGGTGAAAAAAATCATATTTACTGCTAGGCTAACGATGCTAACAGACACTGGAAGTAAATGGTCACCGAAACTGTTTCTGCAAATACATACCATTATATAAATCATTATATATTTGCTTCAAATTATGTTGAGAAACAATGTAAAATCTTTTATTATATATAAATATTCATACAGTTACGCTAAACTTGGAGCTACATTATCCTCCAAGCAGGAGCATCATTATGCAAATATATAGCATTAGCACGAGCTCGTTTACCATGAGACAGTTAGAAGCTGCATATCGAATAATGATCAACCTATAAAAATGAGCTGTTGCATCCCATTTTGCAAAAACAGAACAAAGAACTATGGGTAGACCACTATGGGTAGACCACTAGTCTCCTACTCATACAGACACATGCAAACTGTAGCTTTTGCCAACAAACCACAAATTAGCAAGTAACTTCAGTGAAGTTACCCTGCAGAATCTCTGTGTATATATTGATCATTTTTCATATGAAGATTATGAGGAAGTTCTCCAGCGGGTTATTCTACAGATGAGCCCTTAAAGAAGTGAATCTGAAGTGCTTTTTACTTTTTCTCCGCCTTTTCCTGCTCATTCACTGTACTGCCATATGTGGTTAGGAGGTGGTCCAGGGAGTCACTGGTGGGTCCAGCATCCAACTGACGCATTTCTTCGTGTGTGTATTGCTGCTGTCGGAAGAAAACCTTGTATCTCCATTTTTCAGTTTTTGACATAATTTGATTTTGCCTGTTGCTCTTTACAGTGTTTGTAAATTTCATGAAGAATGGACCAAAAGAAACGGCCCAAAATGACTTGGTAAAAAGTCGGGTTCCATTGACTTACATTAAAAGTAAAGACAGTTTTTTCCTTCTCCTGTAAAGTTATCATTTTGGAAAGACGAAGTTTTGATCAGACAGCAGCGATATTCAGGTTTAAACATGTACTGCTGAGATGGGGTCCTCAATCTTGTAAACAGACTTTTAATTGATTTTCTGAATACTCACTTTGCTACTCTACAGTGAGGTCCATTATGCATATTCAACACTCAGAATCAACTCCAGCCCTTTCATGAATTAGGCCTTCTTAATTTATCATGAAATAACGAGAGAACAGGACACCTGGCCATGAAACTGCTTATCAGTCAACTGTCCAGTTACTTTTGAGCATGTGAAAAGGGACGGATTATGTAAAAATAGGCTGTAATCTCAAAACAGTTAATGCAATATTTTTGTTAAACCGAAAGTCTACACTACAGTCACATCTTGACTGCTTCTTGGGCAGGAACCAGCCTTGTGACCGGATTATGTGTAACTTATGTATTATCATGTCATATTTTTGCCAATGCTAACTGCACAATATGAACAAAAGAACCGTATTGCAAATATATTGTAATTGTAACATGCCTAGAAATACATCAGAACACACTGCTGAACCTTTGATGTGCAGGCTCACCCACAGAAACCCATCTGGAACGTCTGTCATTGGTCAGAGCATGCAGGAAAAAATTAAACTTCGTTCAAGGCTGATTTGTTTACTGCAGCCTTCCGCAATATTAGCATTGCAATTTTGTGACCATGATTAACAAACAACTCTGCAGCTCTAGTATTTGTCCTGCTTTACAACAGTTCCATCCCTCAGTAAGCAGGAGAACTTGTTAGGGAAATTAGACAGTATATCCACGTTTATGTGCAGCCTAATAATCCATTAATAAACTAACTAATAGCTCAATCGGAATAGAATATGGCCATGTAAACACCTCAGTCGGAGTAGACTAGTCCTATTGAGGCCATTCAGAATACAGTTCCTATCCGATTGAACGAGGTGAGTAATCCTGTAAATAATACGTTCAATAGAAGAATAATATCCATGTAAACGCCTGTATCTGATTACATTCCCTATCGGAAAGCTTAAGACTGTTATGCATGTGCGTGGCGTCATAGTGAGAGTTTATAAGGTTCAACATGGCGGAGCAGAAACTGGTCTGCAGAGGAGACAAAGTTTATGCTCTGATCTTTAAAAGACGGCGGTGGGACGGACGTCCAGCTTATGTGTCTCAGAACACGACGTCTTCCACTCGGCCTTCTTTAATAAGGACATGTGAAGGACGTTTTCCTGAGTCTGACATCATTTTAAAGCAATTAAAAACACAATCACTGCTCACTGCTGCTCATCTCACTCCGACTGGACTCACGTGATGCTCGTTGTCATGGTAACCTCTACACTAAGTGGTTCTCTACGCATGCGTGTAATTTTGATCGGATTACTTATAGTGAGCATGTAAACGGAGATTTTCCATCAGATTGTTGAGTAGAGCGATATGAACACCTCAGTCTTAATCTATAATCCGAATGTATTCAGCAAAAATCTTTGCATGTAAACACATCCGGTGTTAGGCTGCTTTAGAATAAGTACATGTGAAAAAGGTGACCCTAATGATGACCAAGCTGACCCAAACCAAATACCTGTCAAATACCTCACATACGTTTTTGTGGATTTATGCTTTAGAATACATTATTGAGTCCAGCAGTTTGTTGTAGTGGACAGAGTAGATCTGAAATCTTGACTTGCACTGCAATGTATTGTCCACAAGGGAGCAGCGTTGGTCTAAGACTCTGTTTTACCAGTTTTGGCAAATAAAACATTGACAACCAGACCTTTATTAGTGTACTTCTATTGTAATGCTGCTCTCCTATGTCTTAGGTCTTTGTGCACTCTGGTTTGTAAGTGGACCTACTCCCCCCCAGAGGGGTGGAACAGCAATTTCTGGACCACCATTGGTCTTGAGGACTTGCTTGAGAACAATCATTCCAAAATTGGTAAGAGTTTAATTTCATATGTCTTGTTCTGGCTTTTCTTGGTGACCCATCTTAGCTTAAAAAGGTCTTAACCTTCATAGGGCATCATATTCCTTCAAAGAGGGGGGATTATAGAATTATATATGCCCAACTTTAATTCTTCAGTGATATGAAGCTGAAGTCAGATATTTGCCAGCTTCTTGAATGAATTTTCCTGGTTCACCTTAAATGGAGCAGCAGTTACATTCTGGCGCCTCAGGCGTCAGAACTGCTGGACCATTTAAGGTGGAACAGGGAAATATAGCTAAGCTAGCTACCGAGACATCAGCATACTACTAGTGATTTTTTCTGCTTGTTATGAAGAAAATGGCCATAAAACATTGAAATGACATTAAACTAAGAAAATACAATGGTTATTATAATTTTAAACTTAATTTTTTAACAGAGAAAATACCCACATTTGTGGTTTCTTTGGTCTCTTGTGCAGCTATATTGCTGTTTTTTCTCATATCTCTCCTTTTGGAGTGAGCCTCTGAAAAACCTCCGTTTGGAGGGCCGTGTAGCCTTAAGACTTAGTCCTGCCCCTCTATCTCAACAAAAATCGGGACACCCTTCCCCAAGGCAAGAACGCACAAAATAGAGGGGTAGGGCTGAATGGTAGGGGCGAGGGGTGAAATAGGATTGGGCCTTTTTGTTAGTCACTTCAGCATTGTTTCATTCGCTTCTTTATGTTTTTCTGCAGGAGAGCAGACTTGCTGTCCAGGCAGCCCTGTCGGAGGAGGCCTCACACGAGAAGCAGCTGCAGATTTGGGTCTGAATCCAGGAACAGCTGTGGGAGCGTCTCTTATTGATGCCCACGCCGGAGGGTTGGGTGAGTTCCCCAGTTAGACGGTAGCTGTCTTTACAGGGAGCGGCAGAGTGTTGGGCTACATATGAGCCACTAGAGGGCCACCGTTTCTGTTTTCAACTGTTTTCAATGTTGCAAGACATTACAGACTTTACACCGGTCAGGCATAACATTATGACCACCTCCTTGTTTCTACGCTCATTGTCCATTTTATCAGCTCCACTTAAAAATGTACAGTAATAATACATTTTTCATTATATAGTGTGTCCACTTTCTGCCCTTTTACAGCTTCCATTCTTTTCAGGAGACTTACTGTCAGTTTTCCAAGAAATCTGCAGGGCTTTTTTCCACACCTCCAATATTCAGTCGTAGGATTTGGTTGTTTTTTCTGCTTCTGACAATCCAAGTAATCCCAAGCACTTTCAGTGATGTTGAGGTCTGGACTCTGGGCTGGTCAGTCTGTTGTTCTGAGAATATCAGCAGCTCCTTTTTTTAGTTTCTTCTTTTTTGTCTATTTCCTTTTCTCACAATCCAAGTAATCCCAAACACAGATTTAGATTTATCAGTCGATGAAACCTCACTTTACATCCCAGATGTCCAGGTTTGGTGATCCACTGCACGTTTTTCTTCTTTTCTCATGAAGGGCTTCTCAACAGCTGTACATCGCTTGTTTCTGACTTTTGCGCCATACAAAATATGCAAAAATCAAAAAATGCAGTATATAGGTTATTTTCTTTTCACAAAAAAACAAGACTGTATGCATAAGAATAACTTAAAATTCAAGTTATGACTTATAAGCACAAATCTTGTATGGATTGAAAGTGTAGAATCTGCACTGTCGACAGAACTTTCACCCTTGTTTAAATGAGCTATGAGTGAGAAATAACTAATATAAATCATAAGACATGTTCTCCATGGGGGACCCCGGAGGGTCAAAAGACTGTTTAACATTTACCATTGCTGGTGCTGAAAGATAGTAGAGGTGGGCTAGCATTACGTAAAAGACATTATTAAGACAATATTTTGTGATGCACTATAGTTTTTGTGTCTTGCCGTTTCCTTTCTAGGTGTCATTGGTGCAGATGTGAGTGGGCACCACCTACCTTGTGAAAACCAGCCGGTCACATCTCGCGTGGCTCTTATCTGTGGGACGTCCTCTTGTCACATGGCCGTGAGCTCCTTCTCTTTACTGCCCTTTATTACACCTTCGCAGACCTTTCACTCCCTGCGTTATGTTTATGTGAACGAGGGTTTTTATTATGCTAATGTCAGTTATACTAATATATAGTTAATATAGTTTAGGGAGGATGACTGTGTGTGAGGTTACTCAGTGCTCTGTATGTCTCTGTGCTGCAGGTGAGCCAGAAGCCTCTGTTTGTTCCAGGTGTGTGGGGGCCTTATCTGTCTGCCATGGTTCCAGGCCTTTGGCTCAATGAAGGCGGACAGAGCGCTACTGGAGGACTGGTCAGTTTAGCTTAGTCCAGTGTACTCGGGTTTAGATGGGGGTGAGATTCCCAAAAGTTTTGAAATAGATGATTATCATCAGGCACTAATGTTAAGATGGTATCAAGTCTATTTGGAAAATGCTACCAGTTTTAAATGCACATTTACATCAATATACACTGAAATATACAGATGGGGGAGAAATTGAAGAGAAAACCAATAAAGTGTCCACATGTTGGGTCACTATCAGCCACCAAAGCTGCTTCAATTGGCCATTTTGATTCTGCAAGTCTGTATAACTGTACTGGAGGAATGCCATTCCCATAGGTGTTCAGTAGGACTGAGGTCTGGTGACAGTGAAGGCCATAGTGTATGATTTGCATCATGTCCTTCTCATCGTTCAGGGACCCTCATGCTTTGTAGGGGGCGCTCTCGTCCTGAGACACCACTCCCATCAAGAGAGAAATGTTTCGTCACATGAGTCAGAATAACTTTATTGATCTGAGGGGGGACGTGGACCCAAACCATGACAATAAAATGCTCCCCCAATAGAATCACAGAACCACCAGACCCTCTCACTGTAGAGGTCAAGCATTCAGGCCTGTAATGTTCTCTTGGTTTACACTGTACATGCACTCGCCCACTTGTGGAGGCATTTCCTTTAATTTGTCACCCTTCTGTAAATGTCTGGCTATAAAGCAATAACATCAACTGGTAATGTCAGTTATACAGCAGTAACATTTATATATATATATATATATATATATATATATATATATATATATATATATATATATATATATATATATATAATATACCGATCAGGCATAACATTATGACCACCTCCTTGTTTCCACACTCTATAGGTGCACTTTGTAGTTCTACAGTTTGTGTTGTGCTGGTACGAGTGGATCAGACACAGCAGTGCTGGATATTTTTGGTTGGTGGACTATTCTCAGTCCAGCAGTGACACTGAGGTGTTTAAAAAGTCCAGCAGCACTGCTGTGTCTGATCCACTCAGACCAGCGCAACACACACTAACACACCACCACCACGTCAGTGTTACTGCAGTGCTGAGAATGATCCTCCACCCAAATAGTACCTGCTCTGTGAGGGTCCATGGGGGTCCTGACCACTGAAGAACAGGGTAAGAGGGGGCTAACAAAGTATCAGAGAAACAGATGGACTACAGTCTGTAACTGTAGAACTACAAAGTGCACCTATATAGTAAGTGGAGCTGATAAAATGGACAATGAGCGTAGAAACAAGGAGGTGGTCGCAATGTTATGCCTAATAGGTGTATATAGGTATATAAGTTGCATATTTATAGAGACACCTATGAAAAGTAAAGCTTATGGTATCACTATTCTAAACTTTCATTTCAAACATACTCTGTGCTCTGTGGATGGACTGAAAGCTAACAGAAAGCATGATGCATCCAGCTAAGGATAATTGAACCATTGCATAAACAGTTGGGGAAAAATGGTATGGAATAGTAACTTTACAAGAGAAGGAAGAAACCTTATCAACTTATAATGGAAGATAATGTAAAATATTTTTGCTTTATTTTCCATTATAAGGTAGTAACGTGTTTCAAATTATGTAAAAAAAGTAAAAAGAGTTCAATGCAAAGGTTTGTTTCGACAGAGACGTTACGTATTTTATTTATGTTTTTTTTTCCCCAGATTGATCATGTGGTGAAGGGACATGCTGCCTTCCCCCTATTAAAAGAAGAGGCAGAGAAAAGGTTTGTTATGTTTTTTAAATTTATTCAGCCCACAGAATCTAATTTTGTGACAAATATGACTCCCAAGCGTGAAAAGAGTTCGAAGGTAATTAATGGGTAATTTTTCAGCGGGCAGCATGTTCACTCTTTCTTAAATCGCTACCTGGACGAACTGAGCAAAGACAAAAAGCACCTGGACCTGCTGACCACTGGCCTGCATGTGTGGCCTGATTTCCATGGTAACCGTTCTCCTCTAGCCGACCAGAGCCTGAAGGGCATGGTGAGTGTCACACTGGATTAAATTATACAGAAGTATGATGATGCTCGAGAATGTTGTTGTTGAATATGCATGTTGGTGTCTGTGTGTTTGCCTTTGAAGTCCCAGTAAAAGCAGTGTAATATATTAAAATGTTTGTATGATACTTAAACTGAGGGTTATGTTAAACATCCATTAAAATGGATTAAATAAACAAGACAGAAATACAATAAAACATGGCTTAAAAATAGCTTGTCAGATTGAGCGTGCATGATTGACAGCCCTCAGTCCAACACTCCCAGCCTGCTATGTCACTGAGGGAAAACTGAATACAACAGCAGTGAAGTGGGGAGAAATCAGTGAAACAGGCTCTATAAATGCAGATGATGATGTAGAGCCTGCTGTGTCCACTTACTAAAAACATTGTCCAGCTTTTATAAGGTGACATCTGAAAGAGGGTTAAGTCCTTATTCGGTATCTTTGTACATCAGCTACATCCTACTAGGTGTATAAAACCAGGCACATAGCCACGTAATCTCTATAGACAAACACTGGCAGTAGCATGGGTCAAACCGAAGCCACCACATCTCTGCCTTGCTAGATCTGCCCCAGTCAACTGTCAGTGCTGTTATCATGAGTTGGAAGTGTCTAGGAGCAACAACAGCTCAGCCACAGCATGGTAGACCACACAAACTCACAGAGCGGGGCCACCGAGTGCTGAACTGTGTAGCATGTAAAAATCGTCTATCCTCTGTTGCATCACTCACTACAGAGTTCCAGTCTGCCTCTGGAAGCAACATCAGCTCAAGAACTGTTTGTCGGGAACTTCATGAAATTGGTTTTCATGGCTGAGCAGCTGCACACAAACCTAAGATCACTATGCGCAGTGCCAAGCGTCGGCTGGAGTGGTGTGAAGCACACCGTCACTGGACTCTGGAGCAGTGGAAACGTGTTCTTGAATCACACTTCAGTATCTAGCAGTCTGATCGTCGAATCTGGGTTTGGTGGATGCCAGGAGAACGCTATCAGTGCTAACAGTAAAGGTGGTGGAGGCATTATGGTCTGGGGTCTCCAGTGACGTCAACCCCACTGAACACCTTTGGGATGAACTGGAACGTCAATTGTGAGCCAGGCCCTCTCGTCCAACGTCAGTGTCTGACCTCACAAATGCTCTTCTGCCTGAATGGGCACAAATTCCCACTGATGCACTCCGAAATAATCTGTAGTTATTATTGATGCAATAGACTACTGTATTTTTTTGTACAACGATGTTGAATGGGTGTATGTGTATATGTGTATATTATATATATATATTTACCACTTTATTTACTTCATATACTGCCTGTCTGTCATTATTATTATTATTATTATTATTATTATTATACTTCTTTTTGTTTGGCTTGTCTCGCTTTATTTGTTTGCCTTATGTACTGTCTGTCTGTTATCAGTTTTTTTTTGTCTCTTGTACTATTATTTGTTGTTAATAAAAAAAAATAATAATAATAATGTGGAAAGCTTCCCAGAAGAGTAGAGGCATTTATAGTCTTACAGGACTATATTAATGCCCATGGTTTTAAAATAGGATGTCCAGCAAGCTAGTCAGGTGTCCACATACTTTTGTCCGTGTAGTGTAAGTCTATTTGAGATTACTTAACAACTCGACATGGTTTGAGGCGAGTGTGTGAGGATTTACACAGTGCTAACTGTATTTGTATAAACCTCCATTGCTTGTTAGCTACATTAGCCACGTAGCTCCTATACAAAACTGAAGAAACAGATTTTGGACATTGTGCTTTGGCAGAGGAATGACTGTTGTGACTTCTTACTCCATGCAGGTTGTCGGGCTGTCCTTGTCTCAAACACTGGACGATTTGGCACTTCTTTATCTGGCTACACTGCAAGCTGTCGCTGTGAGTCCAGTATTTGCAATATGTTCAACGTCTTAATCAGGCCACGTCAAACTGTGGACCGTTTGGGCCAAAGTGCTGCAGAGATTAGCGTTTACCCTCATCTAACACTCTGGATTCAGTTCATGCAGGCCTTGCTGTTTGCTGATGAGCTGAATGAGGTGTGTTTAATGAGGCACAGTGCTGAAGTCTGCAGTGTTTTGGCCCACGAGGACTGGAGCCTGACACATGTGGTCTAAAGAAATCAGTATGTTCACACAGGTGTATTTGTTTTGAGTGTGTGCTATTTTTTGTTTTGTGTTTGTTGGGATGGCTGTCTTAGCTCGGGACCAGACACGTTCTGGATGCGATGCGAGAGGCAGGACATGACATCACCACCCTGTTCCTGTGTGGGGGGCTGAGTAAGAACCCCCTGTTTGTGCAGATGCACGCTAACGTCACAGGTAAGACCAGAGCCGCACAGCATCACTAAGTAAAGACTGCCATTACAACTTCACTCTGTTTTTTTGGGCCCTTAAAAAAAGTGTTTGGACGTTTGTGCCATTCTTAAAAATGTGTTAAAGGGGAAGTCCACCGATTTTTCTAAATTTCTGCATATTTCAGTCGCTGAGATGTAAACAGAGTCGTTCAGAGTGGTTTGGTGTGAAATGGTTGATTGTAGAGACTCAGATTTCTCTACAGTGGTGCTGATAGGAACCAGGAGTCACAATGTCTACAACACAAAAATAGCTTTTTTTATTCACTATTCAAAACCACCAGTGAACCTATATGTGTCTTCTGAGTTTTTATATGTAATTGATGATAGTAAAATAGCGATAAATCTGAAAAAAAGTATTTTATTTTGAGACTATTTTGTCTCTTCACCATGAATGGATTTTAAAAAATAGTAGCTTTAACGTCAAAACTTATCTGAAGACTATCGTAAAACAATGAGTGTGTATACATGCACTCAATAATCCGATCATAATCGGATTTCTGCAGTTATCCGATTATTGAAATGGTCATGTAAACACCATATTCAAAGACAACTCAGTAATCAGACTTCTCTGAAACTCTTACTCTGATTTCTTTCGGATTTCTCAGTCTCTGCATGCGCGAGAACAGACAGTGGGTGTCGCGAGACGCAGCAAAACACTGTTGGAGCGGCACTGAAACCAAACACGACATAAAGGATTTGAATATTCTTCATCTTCTAGATGATGTATGTTCATATTTTCAGGTAAAGTGGAGCGATGTTTAAAAAAACAAAAAAAAACAGCAGCATGAAGTTTGAGTTTTACACTACATTTACGTCATGTCTTCTGCTGTGAGTTTATTGGCCAGTTGCAAAGCAGAAGTCTGACTCATGTAGACCTGGGGTTTCCCATTATCTGATTACTCAAGTGCATGCAATAATTTTCTGCAGTTATCAGATTATTGAGTGCAGTAAATGCACTCAATGTCTCAGACATCAGGCAGCATGTTCATAACGGTTTCATGTAAAAACGTTTTGTGGTGGAGCTTTTAGAGGCATTAAACTCTTCAGACGTCTGGTTCCTATCACCACCATTGTGAACATTTCTGACACAGTAAGTTACTCTAGAACAGAGCCTTTCACACCAAACCACTCTCATTTTTTGTTTAAATCTTAACCTTTTAAGATTCATCATCATCATCATCATCACTTTTATTTATATAGCACCTTTCCCATGCTCAAGGATGCTTTACAATCAGTACATAATCAACAATACATAACACAGAACACACACACACACACACACACTCCACGGTTCCCACAGCTAGCAGACGGAATTTGACTGACCACAGTATAGAGTCACTTAGCTACCCCAGAAAGAGTCTTTAGCGGCAGGGAAAGTCTCACACTGCAACTACGGCACATCACACAGAAGGCCGGCCTGGGAAGTCTCAAAGGCCGAAGATGTCCTTCACCACGAAGGGGTAGCATTTTCCTGCAGCCGAACACCACCAGTCCAGTCCAGGCAGCTTCATAGCTGCAGTGCAGCGATACTCAAGTGGCCGGCCTGAGAGGCCTCGTAGCTGCGGCGTAGCGCTGCTCATGCAGCCAAGCACTATCGGTCCAGGCAGCCCCACAGCTGCAGTGCAGCGTCAACCAAGCAGCCAGCCCAGACTGCGATGTCACATCGATCAGGTTCCCAGTCCAGAGAGCCCCGTAGCTGCGATGCAGCATCACTCAAGCGGCCGGTCCAGGCTGCATTATAGCTGAGATGTAGAGTCACCCGAACAGCCAGTCCAATAAGCCTCTGAGCCACAGCTGGAAAGTCACTCTTGGCCGCTATCTCGGTGGATATGATGGCAAACTACTCAGGCAAACATCAAAACAAACACAAACTATACAAAACTAACGGAAAACTGATGTAATGCGGCAGCCACATTGCGCCAGCGTACTTACAGCGAAACGCGCATACACACACACACACACACACACACACACACACACCAATGAAGGTGTCAGATTGTTTTCAGATGGTTAAGGTTTCGTCAGTTTCTTTGCAGGCCTCTTTGCACACTTCAGAGTTCATGATCCTGTCAATAAACACAAACTCACTGACTTCATTGTAAGAGAAACACTTTAACCTAAGGAGCATTAAAGTTCAACAGTGGTCAAAGTGTCCACTGTTAAAGAAGTTTTGGATCTGAACTTCTTTTGCTCAGACTAACTTTTAAATGTTCACCTTGTTTTAAAACCTGAAATGTATTGAAGTAATATAGTATTGAAGCATAAAGATTCCACCTAATTCAGCTTGGAAACAAAAGACCAGAGCACATTGTTCACTCGTCTTGTTGATGAAAGTACCGTTCCCTGTCAGAAGAGCTGAGGCTGGGTTTTATGTCAGTGCTGACACATTAACACATTGCCCACTTTACACAGTGACCTTTCTCTGACACGCTCCTCTTTCACACTTCGTCCTCCTTAACTTTCCCCTCACTGCACTTACTTTTCTCTCTCACTTCCTCTTTTTCTCCTCTGTAATGCTGCTGCAGGGTTGCCGGTGGTTTTGCCTGCAGAGAGAGAGGCTGTGTTGGTGGGGGCTGCTGTGCTGGGCGCCTGCGCCTCCTGCGACTACAGCTCCATTCAGGTAGCTTTAAGCGGAAGGCTGATTTATTCCAGGCTGTTACGTCGACAGTCCTTTCTGTATTTGCTGTAGGAAAACTCACATACAAACCCACTTAGAGGAATAATTAGTCCAAAAGGTACATAACTTTCCTCTTACCCGATCAGCCAAGGTATGTTTGGATTCTGAAGATTTTGCTTCTGTAGCTGATAGCTGCTACATCTGTTATTAGCTATACAGCTACTATATCAGGGGTCGGCAACCCAAATTTTAAGAAGAGCCATTTTGTCAAGTTTCATGAAAAACCAAATCACCTTGGGAGCCACAACATTTCATGTGAAGTAACGTTTCACCATCTTGGCTGTAAATATGCCTCAGTATGTGATGACGTACTAGTATCGGCAAAAAAATGTAATATAATGACAATGCAGACTTACTTCGCTCTGCTTTAAGCTTTAGTTCAGCTATAGCGGCTTTTCTCACATCTCTAGCAGGAAACTTTTCCACAGAAGTAGGATAGTTTCTTGTAAACTGTCTCTCAACGTTCGACTTTCTACAAGGCTGAAGTCACTTCTCATTCGCCAGCTTCTTGTTTGAATTTTCACGTTTCACCTTAAATGTCACTTGAAGTGCCAGAACGTAGCTAACTATGTAGCTAACAGTCGCACCATTTAAGGTAGAAGGTGAAAATTCGAACATAAAGCTGGTGAGTGAGAAACTTCAGCTTTGCGGCTTTTTAGTGTTGGACAGTTTCTAGTTGCAGATTAAACGTATCAGGAAACCAGCTGGAGTGATTATAAATGCGAATAATTAGTCTCCAAATTATCAACGTTCATCTTAAATATCTCTTTGTCTTTTTGTTGGCTGGGCGAGATTGGCCGTGTTGCTGTGGTGACCAGTAGTCTGTGCGCCAACCTTCAGGGTTAAAGGGTGAATTAGCAGTTATTCATTAACTCCAGTGTTTAAGAGCATTTATTATTAAAACTGTGTTGAACGATTAGCAGAGCTTTATTTTACTGCAACGGAGGATTATTTTATTTTTACCTTCAAACCTAATTTTGCTGTGGAGCCGCAACAGGGCTATAAAAGAGCCGCATGTTGCTGACCCCATGTACTAGGTCATTCTAAGCTCGGAGGATAATGTAAATTTAGACAGTCTGCAGAACTTTTGCAATAAACACTGTCTTAATAATAACTACTTAATCGTGAAGCTGCTGCTCCTGGTTCTAAAGAAAGAGGGGTTGAAAAATTCATTTACCAGTTTGGCAGCATTTCGGTTTCCAAGCAAATGCAAAGAACCACTGGATGTTCAGTATTACATGCACTCTGTGCTGAAACAGATCATTGTCAAAGGTGGTAATTCTACCAGTTTGCGAGCTCTGGATACATCGTCCAGCCCAGTATGCTAAACTGGGTGTTATTAAAAATTAATTAACTGGCAAAATCAACAAACCGGTGCATTTCTTTTGGACAAGCTTGTCCATTTTTACTTTCTACTGGAGAGCAAGATCTGATGTACTTTAGAGTTTCATGTACATGTAGCCCAGCATTCTTAGCCCAGTCTGGCTGAAGGCATGTTACAATCTTTCCAAGTGGGGTTCAGAGTTAGTTGGTGATGTTCTGTCTGTATAGCCTATAATCGAGTGCAGTCTTTTTAATTGTATCCATTTTTGAACTAACCATAGTTTGAAATGACTGAATGGTTAAATAAAGGCAGAGTTATAAAAAAATGTGCCATGTGAAAGAGAACGATAGTTTGCTTAATATCGTCACTAGTAATTAGAGTTGCACCATACTGGCACTTAAACACAGTATCGATATTGATGGTGGACGCAGGTGAGACAAATGCCTGGATGTGAGACAACATTAAGCTCCGTTTTTGAGCCAGAGAAGCTGCTGTGTGCTGATGTGTGAACACCACAGGTTTATCTGTTTACTGTTCAGTTCTGTTTTCAACTGTTTTGAACAACAAAGATATTTTACATTTACCTAAGTTGTTAAACGTGGTTCTTTTTACTAATTATATATTTGTAAATACTAAATATATACAGTAAATAAACGCAAAAACTTTTTCTTAAGCATCTAATAAATATAATCCAACAAGTAAATGCCATCTAGCCAAGCTGAGTATGTTTTATTTGTGATGCAGAACACAGATTCTACCAAAATAAAATATTTAAAAATATAATTGTGTAAATATCCGGAATTTTAAGTCGAGTTCGATTAGATAGAGATAGCATCAGTATTGGGATTCAGTATCGACCGATGCTAAAGAATCAGGTATCGGTATCAGAAGAGGAAAAGTGGTATCGGTGCATCTCTACTAGTAAAATAGTAACACTCAGTAATGTTAGTCATCATCCCAAGGCTGGACCATACAGTGTCAGGAACCACATAAGTAAGTCTATTTATACTTTGATTTTTTTTTGCCAAATAATTACTATAAACATGTGCAGGTTAGGGCTGAAAGATTAATCGTTTTTAAATTGCAATTTTCGATTTAAAAGAGCTGCAGTTTTAATTATAGCCATTTTTATTAACAGTGTTGTCTTAATTGGGGAACATTAACCTTAATATCAGAGCTTGTAAACTGCCTGACCAATCGACCAATCAGAAGCAAACAAACAACAATGTGCTGTGACACCCAAACCACAACTAACAGTCTGGCATGTTCAGTGTTCAAGTCTCAAGCCAGAAAAAGTGGATGTTCTGGTCTTTTTGGCCAACATAACAGGCCTGGGCTTCAATTTACATAAAATAATCATAATTTAAATCGCAGTCGCAATATCGATCAGAAAAATCGCAATTAGACATTTTTCCCCAAGTTGTTCAGCTCGAGTTCATGTACTGTTTAGTGTAAAAAATGCTCAGTATGAACAAAGATGAGTGATGCACAGCGTGAGAAAGTGTCTACACTGACTATATAATCAGAAGCAAGTGGTATGCAATGACTGAGGGTTTCCTCTAGCAGAGCATCAAAGCGGTGAAGTCAGTGGCCACAAGTACACTTTGGGGTTAATTTGCAGAGAAGTGCAGTATTGTTGAAGATACTGCATTACTTTAACCCACTTCAAAAGCCCCCACACTGAGTCAGTGTCCTGAATTGCCATGCAGGTCAAGAAAGGTGCAAATTATGCTGAAGCTTCTGATCTTTCCTGCTGATGGAAAAAAGCATAAAGAGCAGTGAGACGTTCGTGACTCGAGGGGCCGGATTCACGCTTTACTATTGTCTTCTTATGTGTCATATAGGGTGTCTGTCACATAGACTTTCAGTATTATGTTACATTTCACAGCTTCTTCACATTAATGACATGAAATACATTTTGAATTTTGAATGAACCTTTATGTCCGTTATTCCGTTATATTATTATTTTCCGTTATTCAGATTAATCTGCCCAAGAACAGCAAAATGGAAGAAAAACAACATGAAACCAAACATTAAAGAAAATCTAACAAGAACTGGAAGTCGTGATGGTCGATGGAAATCGGCCAATTAAAATCCAAACATTTGGTGACAGTTTTATGAAATTCATTAGTTATTTTCATTTATAATAAAAAAATACATTTATTAAGTTACAGTTTTAGAGATTTACCCTGTTAAAGCTTATAGTCACAGACACACGTGTCAGGCTCCAGTCCTCACAGGCCAAAACACTGCAGACTTCAGTACACTGCCTCATTAAACGCACCTGATTCAGCTCAGCAGCGAATTAGCAAGGCCTTCACGAACTGAATTCAGAGTGTGAGATGAGGGTAAATGCTAATCTCCGCAGCGCTTTAGCCCAAAAGGTCCCCAGTTTGACAAGCCTAGTCTAAGATAAGCATGAGGTGGTGGAAGGATTAAACAAACTACAAACAATTATTTTTTAAAAGTAACATTTTTTCTTATCAGAAAATGTAAGAAATGAAGAAAATTCTTAGTTTTTTTAAGAATAATTCATTTTCTTAAAGCCGCACTATGTAAGTTCTGGGGATTTGGATCTGTAATTGCACGCAAAGTACAGAAGTACTTGTAATGTGGGTTGTGCTTCGGACCCCTTCCCCGAGGGGATGAACTTGAGAGTGTGTTTAAAGAGAATTCAAAGAGAACTCAGTCCAGTCTTGGTGAATGACGTGTCATCTGAGGATGAGAGTGAATCATCTACTATTGTCATCATATCTTCATCAGTGTAATAATGGTTTTGCATTTGAGACCCAAACATCGAACTGGACCTTCTTTTTGAGCCTGTGCAGGTAACGTTAAGATGTAAAGACGTATGTCTTGAATAGTGCAGCTTTAAGTATGGAGATAAGAAAAGTAACACATTTAGAAAGAATTTCTTTCTTGAGACACTTTTGTGAATCCGGCCCCAGATGTCTTCTCGTCTTTTCACCACAATCTCGTTTAAATGCACTGATCTCTTGCTTTCAGGAAGCTATGGAGAAAATGGGAAAAGTCGGAAAAGTCATCCAACCCAACCTGGAGCTGGAGAGGTAAGACTGGTGTTACCTGGATCTGAGAAAGACATGTATGTTTTTCATTTTTTAACAATCCGTTTGCAAAAACCACACAGTCTGTCCGAGCTCTCGATCCAGCACAGGTTCTAATGTGCATTATCTGTATTTATCTGCTCACACGTATCAGTGCAGGTTAAACCTTAGCATTGCTAGTGAGACTTTTAGCTGTTGATAATTTAATCAGATTTCTCCACCACTTCATGTGGTGGCATTCTGGTGTTCTGGATCGTATCAAATTGGCTATTTGAGCGAGTGAATCTCTCATTTTCATTTAAATAAATTGATTAAATCAATCAACCTTTATTTTCACCTGGAAATACATTGAACCCTCATTTTCAATGCAGCTGAGCATTTACAACATAAAAGTATTGAAAAAGAAATTAAAATGGAATTTAATTAGGTTAAACTAAAATGAACAGAACTACATAAACAAATTAACAGTAAATTCAAACAAGATAAACAGAAAAATAATTAAGAGTTGGGATTTAAGATAAAATCAAAACAAAGGTAATAAACCAATCAAGATTTCAGCATAAAAGTATAAATAGGCAAACTAAAATTTAAAACTGTGATGAGTTATAAAAAGTAATAAAAATGAGTTAAAACAGTAATAAAATTGAGATAAAATGAAATGAAATAAAATTATTGGGAAGAAAAAAAAATAATAATACAATTAAATAAAAAGGAGGAAAACTTAAACTAAAACAGTTCCAGGCTGTCTGAAGGTGGTTAGAGACTTAAAATGAGTTGTGGTGGTATTGCTAGGGGGCCGTCAACAGTCTTATAGATACTTAATCAAACCAAGAATCTTAAATATGACAAATATTAATGTTGTAAAATAATTTATTGCAAAGCTAAAACTTAAAAAATGTTGAAGTATTTAGGTCCAGCTCAGAGATTTATCTGGCAAAAAAACTAGATAAGTTTACACATAACATAAGTTCATAAAGTGTTTCTCTTTTTGATCGTATGTAATTCATCCATCATGGATACCTTTTCAGATTTTTTGTTGTTTATTATGCTGCATGATTATACAGTCAAGTGAAATTGGACTGGCTACATTGTTATATTTGCTCGTATTTAAAATGATCAGATCAGTTAAATATTCATGTGGGCTGTGGAAGCTCCTGTGGTCAGTTGTGTGGGTCATGAGTTGAAAAAGTTTGGAAGCCTCTGCTTTAACATCTCGATGACGCTGCCAAACGATGCAGTGCTGTTATTGGTCTATGAACACTGCAGACAGTGTCGGCTCCTGCGGCCTGATTCAGGGCGTCTGGAAAGTGCCCTGTCCAGAATTTAGTAGAATATGCAGCGCAGATGAATTGTGTTTGGTCGTTGAAATTACTGTAGGCAGGATGCATGTGGTCTGTAAGTGTCTCGACAGACTGGTTAGGCAGCAGGAAGCTCTGCTGAGAACGATAGCATCTTTACATCTGTTCCAAACTGACTTCAGAGAAATCGTTATCATTATCAAACTGAAGCTGACTTTGACTTGAGCTTTGGTACATTTTCAGATCCCAATGTGCTTTGATTTAGGGGTCTCAAACTCAAATTAACTCGGGGTCATTGACCGGGTGGTCTTCTCCAAGGGGGGGCTGGTTGAAAAAAGTATGAACTTTATTTAAGCGCATCTTAGAGTTTATTAGCAATTCTTCTGTCACCACAAACCACAACAACTGCTACTACTAGCAGACTCTTAAACAGGATGGTGCTTCAAGGGTCCTTTAGTAAAGAAAATGGTTCTATGTACAACCATGAACACTCAAAGAACCCTTTGCATGATTAGAGGGTTCCTTGCATCACAAAAGCGTTCTTCAGATTGATGGAGAATGTGCTGTAGATGGTTCTGTATAGAACCTATTTTAAAAGGGTTCTTCTAATGTCACAAGCTTGACACTGTAGCTATATAGAACCCTTTTGAAAATGTTCTACATAGAATCGTCTATAGCACATTCTCGTATATGCACATTTTCCAAAGAACACTTTCATAGATGCAAGGAACCCTTCAATCATGCAAAGTGTTCATGGTTCTATATAGAACCATTTTCTTTACTAAAGAACCCTTGAAGCACCATCTTTTACGAGTGTACTTCTTATAATAACAATGATGATGTACTAATAATGTCCTTTGTTATCTAGCAACGCCTTAGCAACCACCTGGGATACCACAGCAATGGCCCATCAACATCTTAGCAACCACTTTGGATAACATAGCAGCACCGTAGCAGCACCTTAGCATCACAGGGGATACCATAGCAACGGCCTACAAATACCTTAGCAACCACTTACGATAAGATAGCAACAGCCTACAAACCCCTTAGCAACCGTCTAAGATTCCACAGCAAGAGCTTTGTCAAGTCAACTTAGAGTTCCTTTATGATCTTTCCCCTTCTGCCCTCTTACAAAACATGGTTCTTCAAGGGTTCTGTGGTAAACACATTGGTTCTATAAAGAACCATGAACATTCAAAGAACCCTTTGCATGATTAAAGGGTTCTTTGCATCATGAAAGGGTTCTGAGAATGTGCTGTAGATGGTTGCCATTGTAACAATAGAAGAACCCTTTTTGGTACTTTTCAAAAAGGCTCTATATAGAACCATCTACCGTCTCAACACATTCTGAAGAACTCTTTCACGATGCAAAGAATCCTTTCATCATGCAAAAGGTTCTTTGAGTGTTCATGGCTCTTTATAGAACCATTTTCTCTACTAAAGAACCCTTGACGAGCCATCTTTTTTAAGAGTGAGTTACTTTTAGTAGTAACAGTAGGAGCTTAATACATATTTTAACATATATATTTTTTAAATTAAGTAAACTTTATTTGACAGTAGAATTATTTGACTATTGATTGTAATAGCTTTGGCGTTCCTGCTGAACGCATGTGGAGTTACTGCGAGTGAAGAACGAGCGGTTAATTCTACATTCTCAGTAAATTTGTTATGCACTAAAATTGGCAGAAAATTCCATAATTAACTGTGTTCCCTGTAAATGATGTGTTTTACTTATATTCACTTAGAAAATAAACAAAAACTTTGATTGAAGGGGATTAAACCTTTGCATAGGACATAATTGGAAATGTGAGAAAGGCTGCATGAAGCTGTCTCAGCCCAGAGGTTTGAGACCCCTCCTTTAGAGTGTCGGCAGGATGTCTCCCTGGGTTGGGTTGGGGGGGGTCAGCTCCAGTTTTTCTTTCAGTTCAGCTCTACTTTACAACCATTTCAACCAAATAGCTGGAAAATGACGTCTCAACTGATAATTGCACGATATCTTCATCTGTCATATATCTGACAAATGTTGGAGCCACAACATTTTATGCCCATTTTACCATCTTGGTTGTAAATATGTGTCAGTATGTGCTGATGTGCTAGTATAGGCTACAATCTAAATGAAAACGCAGAATTACTTTGCTCTGCTTTAAGCTTTAGCTCAGCTATAGCCACTTTTCTCGCATCTCGAGCAGGAAACTTTTCCTCAAAAGTGGAACAGTTTCTTGTAAAATGTCTCTCAACGTTCATTCATTTTTTTTTTCCGAGGCTGAAGTCGCTTCTTATTCGCCAGCTTCCTGTTCGAATTTTCCCGTTCCACCTTAAATGGTGCCTGAGGTGCCAGAATGTAACTGCTACACCATTTAAGGTGGAACAGCAAAATTAGAACGAGAAGCTGATTTTAGCTTCTTGACTTTTTAGTGTTTGACAGTTTCTCATTGCAGATTAAACATATCAGGAAACCAGCTGGAGTGACTATAAATGCAAATAAGTTAATTCGTCTCCAAATTATCGATGTTCGTCTTAAATCTTTCTCTTTGTCTTTTCGTTAGCTACTAGCTAGGTTGGGATTGTCTACGTTGCTATGGTGACCAGCAGTCTGTGTGCCGATCTTTAAAGTTAAAGCGTGAATTAGCAGTTACACATTAACTCCAGCATTTGAGACCATTTATTGTTAAACTGTGTTAAACGATCTGCAGAGCTTATTTCACTGCAAAGGAGGATTGTTTTATTTATACCTAAAAATCTAATTCTGCTATGGAGCCACAACTGGGCAGTAAAAGAGCGCATGTTGCACCCCTGACCGTTACACTGTGAACATTTCATAATGAATGGACCAACAGAAGTGGGTCTAAAATGGTTATATTAATATTAAGATTTTTTCTCTCTTGTAAAGTTACCATTTCAGAGATGCGAGGTTTGTTATGACGATAAATGCTAAAGAACACTATCCAGATTAACTGCTGAATCAGTGGGGCCGATCCAACCCTGTTATTCTCCTCAGCTTCTACAGGAAGAAGTACGCAGTGTTTCTCCGGCTGTATGTCCACCAGAGAGAGTATGCAGCCCTTATGCGTGATTGACAGCTGGCACAGCTGTCTCCTCTGTGGCGCTCTCAGGAAGTGACAGGGTGCAGTTTGGCCTTGGCGAGTTTCTGTAAAGCACCTCTACAGTTTCCTCTGTGGCCGCCAACTCCGAGAGGTGTTGCTTTAGATGGACCTGGTTTCCTGCCTGATGACGCTCAACAGAACAGCACTTGGTTTTTATGATGATGTTTCCCTTTTTGAAATGGAAATGAAATGAACAATGAAATGAAAATGAAAATAATACATGACCCACATGTATGTGCATTTACTGCTACCTCAGTTCTCATCAGTGTGAACAGACTGGAGCTGCATGATCTGCATAAGAGACCAGTGGCGAATCACGACTATAAGAGCTAAGCCTTATGTTTGGGCTGTAAATTAAAAAAAAAAATGAGAAAATGATAATGCTAATTTCTGCTAGCGCTCCTATAGGATATCTCATTGTGGGTTAGCACTAAGCTAACCCTAGTCCATATTAGCATTTTTGCCCGTTCTAAATTAAACACTATAGCTGAAATCTGGTCAGAGTAGCATCATTTACACAGTCAGTGACACATCAAGAACTTCCAGAAGGCCTAAAACGAAGGCCTCTCACAAAATTGGTGCCACTTGTTGTGAATAGGAACCTGTTTGGTTTATGTTGGTAGTTAATCTAACAAGAAAGGCCTTCAGTTCAGCTCCTGAAGTCCTAACCAATGGCAGAGCTCACCTGGCTGTATCTGTCTACACACATCTATTGAAAATAATGGTTCTTCAAAGGTTCTTTAGTAAAGAAAATGGTTCTTTGTAGAACCATGAACATTCAAAGAACCCTTTGCATGATTAAAGGGGTCTTTGCATCATGAAAGGGTTCTTCAGGTTGATGGAGAATGTGCTGTAGATGGTTCTATATAGAACCTTTTTGAAAAGGGTTCCATATAGCACCAATAAGGGTTCTTATATTGTTACACACTTATAAATGATGATTCTTCAAGGGTGCTTTAGTAAAGAAAATGGTTCTATATAGAACAATGAATACTCAAAGAACCCTTTGCATGGTTAAAGCGTTCTTTGCACCGCATTTCAGATTGATGAAAAACAGAACCTTTTGGTGCTATATAGAACCTTTTTGAAAATATTTAGCACCAAAAAGGCTTCTTCTATTGTAACAAGCCTGACATCGTACCAATAGAAGAACCCTTTTCAAAAACCAATCTGAACGCTTTAATCACGGAACCCTTGAAGAACCATCATTTTTGAGTGTGTACAATGTCAGGCTTTTTACAATAGAAGAACCCTTTTTGGTGCTATATAGAGCCCTTTTCAAAAAGGTTATAGAACCATAGAACCATCTACAGCACATTCTCCATCAATCTAAAGAATGCATTAATCATGCAAAGGGTTATTCCGAGTGCTCATGGTTCTGCACAGAACCATTTTCTTTACTAAAGAGCCCTTGAGGAACCATCATTTTAGGTGTGTAGATACGACTGAGAAAATTTCAGGATTTTAAACCCTTTGTTTCTAACTAAAACTTAAAAATGAAAGAAAGAGTGTCACAATACTCGAGAGTTTAAATACAACACGTTTGATGATTCTGATAAATAAAAATGAACCAAAAATTACAGATCATCATTTTTTACTTTCCATGAACAGCTGGGCCTCCTCTGAAGACCTAGAAGGCCCTGAAGGTCCCCTAGTGTAAAATACCATATTGCATTTATAATTGTACATGTTTTGATTACAGTATGCCTTCACATGGTGATGAAACATGGTTAAAAATTAGATTACATTATTTTGACTGAAACAAATGACCTGTAAGATTATTTACAGGTGATGGATCAGTGAATCCTTCCTGTCGGATGTTGTTCATGATGCTCAGAGCACACAATGAACATTTTGTGATTTATTTAGAGGCTCATTTGCACAGGAGAGCCTTTTGTGATATCAGCCAATATTGTGATAACGATCAGCGAAGGATGTAATATGCAGCTCTATCAGATACACAAACAGAGGTGTGCGTGCGTGCATGCGTGCCTGGTAGGTATCTAACACCGGTAGGATCAAAGCTGTCCAGCAGTCCGTAAATCTCTTCCGTGTAACTGATTAGAATCCCAAATCCCCAACAGCTGAGGAAGCAGCCAGCTTCAAACAGGAGCCCTCTTAGCTCTGCCCACTGATGTTAAAACAGGCAGCAAAACATGGTAATGCAATCAGTGAGCAATGACAGAACAACATGGACATTCACCTCCATTCTGCATGGGGGTCTGGAACAGATGGTGCTCCAAGGTGAGGTTAAACATTCCAAAGTGGGATCCTCACAGATCCTTATTTTACTCTCTCCTTTATTTAATAATGTATTTTAGTTCTAAGCTATTGAGCAATTTTAGGATGATCTTTAAGGCGTGTGTTGTACGGGGCTGAACGATTTTAGGGAAAAATCGAAGTGGTTTTTCAAGCCTGTATTGCTATTTAGTATTGTAACTGTGATTTCAAGCAGTTATTTGCTGTCAATTAAGGTTCCAATTTTTCAGCCAAGAAGGCGAGATATGGAGAGGAATTTGTGTGAAATTGAACTCACCACAATGGAAAACCGTGAAATGCAACATACACATAACGTTACTTTTCCATAGTGACATACAGAATAACAATACATGCCAACATAAAAAACTAAAATTAAAAACTAAATGCTGAATTCATGTTAGAATTGAATACAATCCACCTTGAAATGTAATAAAGGCACCGTGCAGTACTTTCACCTGAATTTCCTCATTGAAACAGTCGCAACAGTGAAAACAGTGAAATACAAAGCACACATAACATTTATTTTCCACAGGTGACAGAATACATGTCAAAATGAAAAGCAAAACTTCTACTACACCGTTTTCACGTCACTTGACCTGTTTATTGTTCTTCCTATGTATTTCCCTCAATTAAATGCAACCAAAACAGTGAAAAATAAAGCATAGATGAGACTGCAATTAAACTGTAACATGCAGAAAACAAACATTTCCAAAATGAAAAGTAAAAGATCCAGAGAGACTTAATGTTGTTTAAAGTACTGCATGATGGTAAGCAATACAGTTTGGCTGTATTACACATGAAGGCAGGTTGTATTCAATTCTGACACCAATACAGCATTTTCGTTTTTAAAATGCAAATCCTCATGCTTTGTTTTCCAGTAAAGGGGTCAAGCGATGTGAAAACAATGTAATAGGTTTGGTTTCATTTTGGCACATATTCTGCATGTCACTATGGAAGTCATGTATGCATTGAACTGAATGATTTCAATTTGCTTTGAATTCTTCTCAGAATGTGCATTTCAATTAATTTTGATATTCGAGTGTCCATAAGAATCCCCCCTTCAGCTAAAATAATATAGAGCTGTGATAATGCAGGCAAAACCCAAAAACCACCCAAATAGTACCTGCTCTGTGAGGGTCCATGGGAGTCCTGACCACTGAAGAACAGGGTAAAAGGGGGACTACAGTCTGTAACTGTAGAACTACATAGTGCACCTATATAGTAAGTGGAGCTGATAAAATGGACAATGAGTGTAGAAACAAGGAGGTGGTCATAATGTTATGCCTGATCGGTGTAGTTTACCTTGTAGCAGTTTCACAGTGACTCTTTAAGTAGAGAGCTCTATTATAGAGCTGCCGCCACTGTTTTCCATTTCTAACAACCCACTGATTAGGCTACCGCTCGTATTCACAGTCAGTAACATATCTCGAACTTCCAGAAGGTCTAGAGTGGGATATCTCACAAAATCGGTCCCATTCACTGTAAATCAAAACATGGTTCCTCTCTCACTTTGTACTTATGCTGATAGTTAATGTAACACGTCGGGCCTTCTCTTTAGCTCCTGAAGTCCTAACCAATCAGAGAGCATGCTTAGCTATATCTACCCACATACTACGGAGAAAAAGAATTCCTGATTGACCAGCTTTCCACTCTACATTACAAGAATTTAACCCTTTTGTTTCCATCCTAAATTTATCTATGAAACAAGATTACCACAATAATACTTGCAGAGTTTAAATACAAGCATGATTCTGTTGAATGCAAATGAAATTACAGAATTACAGAAAATGCATTTTTAGTTTTCAAAAATCATTAGAAGGCCCTGAGGGTTCCCCTCTGGATATCTGGTGTACATTATGTGGGCGTTTAGTTGCTTCTGATTGGTCCAACTCATCTACCGGCAGTTCACAAGCTCCATGTTAAATTTCCCCTCTTAAAGCTTAGAAAATGTAACACAAACTATTCCTCTTTCAGCCCTGATGTAGAATCAAAGAAGAAGATAGAACAGTGACTGAGGTGGTGAAATACTGAACACAACTTAAAGGAGCCACAACAGCAGCGTACGTGTGTTTATTTCCTGTTTTGGTGGTTTGGTCACAAATAACCTGCCTAAGCCACTGAAAGTCAACAACAACATGGTTTCCCTTAGCAGGAACCTTTTTAGTAGGTCATTCATGATTGACAAGAACTTTGCATGGCTTGACAGTCAAAATTCATGGGTTAGCAAACCAGCTGGTTCAGTTTAGATGAGCTCAGAAACACAGGAGGTTGCTGTAAACTGAACTTAAGGCTAGCACATGCTAAGCCATGAATCCTTTGAAGCTTTGTAGTTTACCCTTTTGTCCTTATGCTTATCCAGGGCATCATCTCAGTTTTCCTCTCTTCTCCGGGTCTTTTGGTCCTCTGGTGGGGGGGGTTGTTAGTTAGCGTGTGCTCTGCTGGAGTGTTCATGGTTGCGGCGTGTAGCGCAGATACTTCTTCCCAGACGGGAGCTCTTTAGTGTACACTCCAGCTGAAAACATACACTTAGCTTCTTCCTCAGGGATAGTAGGTGGTACCATGACACGATCCCCAGGCTTTTTGGACAATAAAGAAAAAGTCTTGTTTAATGTTTTAGTATTTTTGGTTTAGATTAAAGAAACGATTAAGCCCAAAAGATTCCCAGTTCTAGCTGGTTATCATTATGGTACTGAATTCATCTTGAAAGGAATGGTTTGGCACAAACATGTATGTACACAATATTCCAACCAGAACTTGTTTGGTTTCCAATTTTCCCTTCACTGGAGCTTTGAGGCTAATATTGCTAACAAACACTAGAAGTCAATAGTCACCCAAATCCTTTCTGTACATACATCCTCAAAACTCCTCTGAAACCACACCCAGGTCTTTATTAAGATCACAGACACTTGCCGATGTGGTTTAGGACACAGTATAACTTACTGTAAACTAAAAAATGGATAAAACCTTTATGTAGCTGAACGCAGCAAACGGCCAGTTCTGACTCCTCATTTGTGTGCATCATGCAGGCTAGATTACATTACTGATTTCATCTGCTTTCTATTTATAAAACATACGTCTTCAGTTCGATATAATAAATTAAAAAAACAACAGGAATTGTGAGTCAGATTTCAGCAAGTGTGGCCCACAGTTTTCAGCTACACAATGACGTTTTGTTCATTTTTGTAGTTCGCAATAAGTCAAACTGTGTTCTAAACCACACTGAAAAGCCTGTACGACCTTAATCAAGACCTGGATGCAATTCAAGCAGTTTTAGAGAAGTTTTGGGGATGTTCTTATGGAAAAGCTTTGGGTGACTACTGACTTCTAGTGTTTCTTTAGCAACATTAGCCTCGTAGCTCCATCTCTAAACTAAAGATGCAAAATTTGGGCACCAAGAATGCCACAGCTGACTGACTACATCTGGGGTAAGAGGGAAACTGTATACATTTAATTGTTGCCAAACTATTCCTTTAACTGATTGTCAACCCTTAAAGAAGAGCCATGAGATTCAAACACAAATTACAAATTCAGTCCGTGAGAATGGCTATCTAGTTGTAGCAGTAAAGCCACCCACCAAATCTCCTGTGCTGCTGTGGTTGGCAACACTAACAGGTCCCCTCTAGCTTTCAGTTGTGGTTAGTCACTTTTTAGATAGCGGCAAAGCTGTGCTGCTTAGTGGCTTTCAAACGGATGGCCTAATAAAAGTCGTGACTCTCACCTTCCAGTCTACAGGCGTCGCTACCCGTTTCTGCGCTGTTAACTGCAAGGAATCGATCACCCGTAGAATCTCATCAAAGTTGCGGCCCGTTGTAGCCGGGTAGAGGAGCGACAGCTTCAACTTCTTGTCAGGACCGATTATAAACACCTTAAACCACAGGAGAGGGAGGATAATCTCCAGTAGTACAGAGAAATGCTTGTTATTAGTGGAATCAGAGAAGAGAAGTTAGGCCCAGTCCCATTTCTTCTTTTTACCCCTACTCCTTGCTTTCAAGTGTCACCCTAACCCCTTGGAACTGAGTTACAAGGGGTAGTGGTTGAAATCTTGCGCTATGAAATGGGACCCTCAAATAAAAATAATAATAATAATAATAATGGCTTTATTAACAGCTACTAGCGCTGCTCTGTAGGCGACCCAGCCCGTCTTCAGTGACAGCAGAGGAGGGTAAAGTTCAGCTCCTCACTGCTGGGCTTTAGTTAGATTTAGGGCATCATACGCCTTCAAAGAGGGGGACAATTATTTATTATCGCCCACCACTAATTCTTCAGTGATGTGAAGCTGAAGTCAGATATCCACCAGCTTCTTGTTTGAATTTTCCTGTTCCACCTTAAATGGTGCAGCAGTTACATTCTGGCACTTCAGGCTTCAGAACTGCTGGACTATTTAAGGTGGAACAGGAAAATTAGCTAGCTAGCTACCGAGACATTAGCATGCTATTAGCGTTTTTTCTGCTTGTTATGAAGAAAACGGCCATAATACATTAAAACGACATTAAACTAAGAAAATATAATGATTATCATAATATTTTTACCTGATTTTCTCCCCAGTTTAGTCGTCTCCAATTCCACCCGCTAGTTAGGACTCCAGTCACACGATGCCATGAACGCTAGGAGGGTGAAGGCTAACACAGGCTTCCTCCGAGACCTGTGAAGCCAACCACCGCTTCTTTTCGAACTGCCGCTCACGCAACGTCACTGGACAGTCGAACGCGCTCGGAGGAAAGCGCCAACTGCCAGATCTGCTACGTCAGCTAACAGACACCTGCGCTGACTAGCATCGCGCTAATTGATGGGGGAGAAGGAGGGGCCATCCTACCCACCCAGAGAGAGCGAGGCCAATTGTGCTCTCTCGGACTCCCGGCTACGGATGGCTGTAGCATCACCAGGGATTGAGCTCGCGATCTCCTGATGACAGGGCCAACGCTTAGACGGTTGTGCTACTCGGGAGCCCCTATCATAATTTTAAACAGAGAAAATTCTCACATTTGTGGGTTTCTATGGTCGCTCACGCAGCCATCTTGCCGGTTTTTCTTTTTTCTCTGTTTGGAGTCTCTGAAAAGCCTCAGTTTGGAGGGTCATGTAGCCCCAACACTTCGCCCTACCCCTCTATCTCAACAAGAATTGGGACACCCTAACCGTAGATGTGAACGCATAAAACAGATGGCTATGGGCTAAGTGGTAGGGGTGAGGGGTGAAATGGGACTGGGCCATAGAAAGAGTTCAGTCGTACTCACACATCGGGCAGTCAGTGGCATACCACTCTGGTCTTTTTCGTCAGGGTCCAGCATACCCAGCTCCACAGCCAGCTCCCGCTTATCGTCTGCTATGATGGGAAAGGGGAACTCTGTGACAGTTTCGTCATTATTGTAGGCCAGGATGTCCTACAAAACATTAGCGGTTAGCATCCTCGCTAAATCACGGCTAAAAGAGCAGTTTGCCTGGTTAATAATGAATGAAAGCTACCAAGTCAGCTAGCATCAGGTCTGATTCTAGAGGGTCAGTGTCTTGCACAGCTTAGCAGGTTCTCTTCTTTGACCCTTGGATTCAACTCATTAACGTATTAAGCCATTCATAAGATGAGCATAATCACATATACTGAAAAGGTTTAAAGGTTGTGTTAAATTTACATGATTCAAATCTGCACTTTGGCTCAACAGGAATGAAATATGTTTCCAATTGTGTGGAACCGATTTGCACATTTAAATCATGTAAACAACTTTTCAACTTTTTTCAGTGTCCCTGGTAGGGCCAGCCTTAGCTCTAGCATGCTAACTGCTAGCTTAATTTGCTATACGTCAAGGATTTCTGACTCCTGGTAAATCCGGAATTTGTTCCTACAACACCTGAGTCGGGAATTCTTTACACAGGCTTTGATTATGTCTAATATTTTTTTTTATTTCTGTCTATTTTTAGACATATCTTTACTACTGCCTAATATATCGCTGCTGTAAGAACAAAACCTCGTATCTCCATTTTTGTCATTTTTCCGTTTTTGATCTCATTCAAAAGTACCTGTTGCCTTTTACATTGTCTGTAAATTTCATGATGAATGGACCAAAGGAAATGGCCCAAAATTGCTTGGACAAAAAGTCTGGTTCCATTGACTTACATTAAAAGTAAAGTATGTTTTTTCATTCTCCTGTAAAGTTACCATTTTGGAGATACCATTTTGTTCCGACAGCAGTGATATTTAAGTTTATGTTCAATTTATATGTTTTGCTACTTTATCACTGCAATTTCCTATTCAGGATCAATAAAGTTCTATCTATCCATCCATCCATCCATCCAACCAGCTTATCTGTTTCTGGTGTGTTTGGAGCTTGAACAGTACAAAGATAAGGACTGTCTGGAAGTCACTGAGGCCTGGACTGAAAACCACTAATGGGGTTGGACGATCAGAATGGGCCAATGTTGGTCCGGACAAGTAATCGTCAATCGGGCCAATGTATTAGTTTTATTTTGACCATTTTATTTTGATCTATGTTGGACTTTCCTGATGTAAATAATGTGAGCCAGGTAAGCACACCCACACTGTATTTTAATGCTGCTGCTACACCTGAACCAAAATGTTGTAGCATAATGCTCTGCTACATAATCAGTTTCCTCTTAGCTTCCCTGTAGCACTTTATTTGATTTTATGTTATTTAAATAGTTTAAATGTTTAAAATGGCAGTTATGTAAAAGATTACTGTTATTTGACCTTGGCAAACAGAAGGTACTGGTACTAGTGTATTTCCTGTGTTCACTTAGCCCATACAAAGTTAACATCCACTATTTATTTATGTAAAAAAAAGGCTAATTAAAGTTGGCCATCGGCTAATTTGACTGTAAAGAAATCTGAATCAACCATAAATTCGTGATCAGTGCATCTCTAACTGCTACTTTAGAATTTTTGGTCTAAGTATTTCTTAAGGCAAACCTTGCTCCAGCCGTGGTGCTCCTCGATGCTGTCGATGGACAGAGCGATCATCTTCACATTACGCTTAGCGAACTCCGGGCTTAAACGTGGCTGCTCGGCCCAGCTCTGTGGTGCAGACCGGGGTGTAGTCCCGGGGGTGTGAGAATAGGATGCCCCATCTATGGGAAAGAAAGATTAGAAAGGCCTTAACAGATCAATGCAGTGCGCTTTTAAAAGTGGTCTGTTAAATTCTCAATTTAAGGAGGAACGTGAAGCTAAATTCATAGGTTTGCAAGCTAAATTTGGGATTCACCAGGCGATGGAGGAGAGAGAAAGTGAACTGGGATTGGGACAAACCGCTGTGAATATGATGTATGTAAAACAACATTATGAAAAATTTGCCTGTGATTACTGGAGATGTATGTTTTATTCTCTATGCACAGAGCTGGACTAAGCGGAAGGCCTTACCTTAACAAGTTGTCTGCAGGAAACGAAGTTAAATGAAATGCGTTTTAATGCCACTTCAAATATCACAACATATACAACAATATAAAGAAATGATTGTCTAGCTGAGCTAAGGGTCTCCATCCCTGGTCCTGGAGAACTACCTTCCTGCAGAGCCTGGTTCCATCCACACTTTGCCACACCTGCTCCAGCTAATCAGTGTCTTCCCAAGTCCCTGATTGGCAGATGTATGAGTTGAGTAAGGGGGGCGGCTTATTGGATACAGGTTGGAACTGAACTCTGCAGGAAGGTAATTCTCCAGGAGCAGGGTCACAAATTGGTCCACAAATGCCACAGCCATCCAGTGGGTGGATCTCACAGTGGGTGGGATGGTCCTCCCTCTACCCCCATCACTCAGTATGATACTCGCTAACACAGGCGTCTGTTAGCTGACATAACAGAATTAGTAAGACTTCACATGATCCAAAGCTCATACTAGCCTTCTAACCCTCCTAGCGCTCGTAGCATCGTGTGATTGGGGAAGACCCAGCTAGAGGGTAGAACTGGACTAAACTGGGGAGAAAACTTAAGAAAAAAAGCTCACTGTGATGCACTTTATTTTGACAATGATAAATATTAATTGTATTACTGTATTGTCTGCCTCCTTAAAATCTCAGGCTTATTACACACTGAGGCATATTCTTCAGTAATTACAGGGACTTTAATGCAAACTGGTTGAGCTATTCTTAGGTTATAGAAGTGTGTAATAAAACTTTGTTCCCTGCCCGTTTAAGGGGTTAACTGTCAATTTGCTCAGTTTATGTCACTCTAAATTGTCTAATTTGGCTACTTAGCTACCTTGCTTGATATGAAACAATATTTATACAGAATCATTAGTAGAATCAAGCAAAGCTTATCTGTGCTGTTGGAAGAAAACCTTGTACCTCCATTTTTGTCGTTTTCTCAGTTTTTGACATGATTTGAAAATGCCTGTTGCTCTTTACATTGTGTGTAAACTTCATAAAGAAGGGACCAGAAGAAACGGCCCAAAATGATTTGGAAAAAATTCTGGTTCCATTGACTTACATTCAAAGTAAAGCATGTTTTTTCCTTCTCCTGTAAAGTTACCATTTTGAAGATACGAGGTTTTCTTCTGACAACAGCGATATACTTATCACTGTTAATAAGCAAAAACACTTGCTCAGGAAGCTAATATAAGTGCTAACAGCATTAGCTTCTTAACTAGCGAACTCTTTATAAAATAGTAATTTACCATTCCAGGTCAAGTTCTGGTGCACATTACCGGTCATATAATAGTGCTTGGTGACTTCATTCTCACCTCAACGTCAAGGATTTGATAAATTATCATTGGCTTTAGCTGCAGTGTTACCAAAGACACGAGGAGAACACTCGAGTACCATTAGGTCCTATTGGGACCATACTTCAGCAGGTACCAAAAACCATCAAACTGGAACTTTCAGTCCTGAACTGATGGCCAATGGAAAAGGCACAGTTCCACTTTTCTGGTGGCAAAGGTTCCTGACCTTTGGCAGTGGAAAAACACCCTTTGTTGACACTTTTTAATGTACACCTACCTTGTACCCACATTAACCCTTCAAATCCCAGGCTTATTACATACTAAGGCTTATTATTCTACATGCAAACTACCTGAGGTATTTTTAGGTTATAAGACTGTGTAATAAAACTTTGGGCCTGCTGGTGGGTCCTGGCCTTTTAAGTATAAAATTTCTTGATGAATGGACCGATGGAAATGGTCCAGAGTTATTTAGAATAAAATCTTGTACATTTTAACATTTACTGTTTTGGAGATATTAGATCTGTGATGATTTGCTGACTCTTCTTTCACTGACTGCATGGTTTCACACTTGATGTTCACGGTCTCTGAGGTCCTCATGAATTCTGCCACTCAAACTGCATTTCAAAGCTCAGGTTTATGCATATGGAGAGCAAAATATATATATATATATATATATATATATATATATATATTCCAAACTTATTGATCAAATATCTTGCTGCAGTGTATGGCCTTTTAAGGGGTTAATTAGAACTTAAAATGGCCTGATTCTTACTGAAGGCCTTTCATTTAGAAAATGGTGTTTTCAGAAAATACAAAAAAATAAGGTGTCTAAGGATCTGCAGACAGCCTGATTAACAGAGACTCTGTCTTTGTCTGTCCAGTAACATTGTTGGACATTCAAATGTTGTATTTGAATACCCCTGAACATTCCCAGTTGTTTACTTGCCCAGCATTATTACCACAAGAGCCTGTTAACCAAATTTTCTGACGTGAGCAACAGCAAATAAGAACAATGAACAAATCCGTTTTACAATGCAAACATTTTCAGTAACCCTAGAAGTACAGCAACATTAAAATACACATGCTGGAGTCTTTCAGGTACAGTTTTATGCAAAAGTTTGGGTAATTTTAGTCAAATTATATGTTCTCTCGATTCTCTAAGTGAAAATACATGAACACATTCTCTACAGAGAACACACTGAAATACACATTTAATATATAATCATACAAATATACTCAAAATATACATTTACATATGCATACTGCCATTTTTAGTGCATGATTTCTATTTATTTTACAAATTTAACAAACTAAGAAAAATGAAGCATAAAATACAGAAAAATAAAATATGTTATAATCATACAGGCCACATTTAATGCTATTTTTTTTCCTCAATATTTGCCTATCCAACTTATCAATACATTACTATTAATATGTAATAAAGTATATTATTTTATCATTTAAAACTTTTTGGTGTACCCAAAAGTATAAAATATTAAGTAAAACATCTTAAAACACCACCGCGACCCGGAAGGATAAGCGGTTTAGATGATGGATGGATGGATGGATCTTAAAACACCTTCTGTTGTCTGACTTCTGGTATTTCACACTGTATGAGCTATCAGTGCATAAAATAACAATTATTAATATGACAAGTCATTCCACACTTTTCAACACATTGCCGTATAAACAGGAAAAAATATTATGATTTTTGATCTGTAAGCAGAACTGAATGACTGCTGTGGTTTTGAAGGGAAAGTCCCGATCTTACAACCTTACAATGCTTTCGCTGCAGTGCGGCGCTGAGGAAACTGAGCTCTTTAAAATAAACGTCTTTAGAGTGATGCCGTCTCGGAACCTCTTTAACTGTGTTTGTAACTGAGATATGTGAGCATGAAGAACCTTTTCAAAGAGCCTCCACACCCTTAAAAAGGGTTCTTCATTGAAGTCAATGGTTATATCCGGAACCATCATAACTCAAAGAACCATCTGAATGCTTAAATTAATCTTTGCATAGTAAAATGCTTCTTCTCTATGACTAAAGCTGTATATGGTTTTACAAAATGGTTCTCTATACCAGCAAAGAAAGTTCTGCTAGTATTATGTCATAGAAAATGTTTTGGTACTATATAGAACGTGTTTTCTTCGTCTATGCCAAGAACTTTTGAGAAACCTTTATTTTTCTGAATGTAAAACATAACTATTCTAAGTGATCACAAGCTTTTCCATAACTGTATCACGACGAATTTTTTTTCACAATTAAAGCTGGTTTTCATGGATAAAGGATGTGATTTATTGTACTTTTATCATCGTGTTGGAAATGCTATGCTTCAAAAAGCCTTTTTAAGTATAAAATTTCTTGATGAGTGGACCGATAGAAATGGTCCAAAGTTTTTTAGAATAAAATCTTGCTACAGTAACTTCCAATAAAGGTTATTAACATTTACTGTTTTGGAGATATTAAGATCTGTGATGATTTGCTGACTCTTCTTTCACTGACTGCATGGTTTCAAACTTGATGTTCATGGTCTCTGAGGTCCTCAATAATTCTGCCACTCAAACTGCATGTCAAAGGTTTACCCAAAAATTAAAAAAAAAAAATTATATTATATATAAATATATAATATTTTAAATTTATATTATATATAAAATTATTATTTTATATATATATATATATATATATATATATATATATATATATTACAAACTTATTGATCAAATATATTTCTGCAGTGTATGAAAATGGGCAAAAATGTATTTATTAAATATATTTTTTAAATGAATTAATGCATTTTAAATGTTTTTTTTTATTTCAAATATATTTTTGCAATGTATGAAAATGACCAAGAATGTGTTATATTTTAAAATGCATTTATTTGTATTTGTTATTTTATATATATATTATTTATCATTTGTAATGATAAAAAAAGAAAAAAAATAGAAATTATATATATATATATATATATATATATTTTCTTTTAATTGTATGTAGTTTAAACAAAGTTTACAGATAGAACTAAATATACATGAGCTGAATGAACAGTATTGACATCTGTGTTTTGCATTGTATTTTGCATTAACCATGTACAGATGTATTAAGACACACAATGAGTTTCAAAGATACTGGAATACAAATACATTTCTAAAGATATTCTAAACACTAAAGTGCAGTAGACAGTATTCTGGCTATTGTCACATATTTTCAAAGGTATTTGATAATTAAATTTACATACATTTATTTTTCTATGGTACATTTCTGTATGTAATATTTCTCCATACATCTTAAAATAGATGCACTTTGAAATATATTTGGTTAATATGGCAATATATTCTGAAATACATTTTAATGTTTGGAGTGTATTTTTGTTTGGACTGCAACACATTTGAAATGTCTTTCATATATATATATAAATATTTATGCCCACTTTCCAATCTCTCTTTATCCTCTACAATTATACAGTGTGTTTCTGTACCTTTAACCTGATTTCTCAAAATTCCTGCATGGTTAAATGGTTAAGAAGTGCTTTTACATTTGTATTCAATATTTTAACTATTTATAGCAACAATGAGAAGAATTTCATGGATAAATAATACACTGTAATCTATTTATAGGACTCAGAGTGGTTTGGTGTGAAATGCTTTGTTCTAGAGAAACTTGCAGAGTCAGAGTTGTTCACAGTGGTGGTGATAGGAACCAGACGTCCACCTCTAAAAGCTCCCTCACAGTAAGTTATTACATGAAATGGTTATGAATTCACTGCCTGATATCTGAGACACTGTTTTACAATCGTTTCAAGAAGGTTTTTGCCTAAAACAGATATTTTTTAAATCCATAAGATGCTGTTACTGGTCTATAAATCCCTCAATGGTGTAGGGCCAGTGTATGTATCTGATCTGCTGCAGCGATATGAGCTAGTCAGTCAGTCCTGCCGAAGGGGAAGACTAAACATGGAGAAGCAGCGTTTCGATACTGTGCTACTCTTATATGGACCCAGTTGACAGACAGCATTAGAAGAGCCCCGACACTGGACACTAAATCCAGGCTCAAAACGCAGCTTTCAGCTCAGTTTAAACACTGTTAGCGTTTCTAGCCCCTTTTCCTCTGTAACAGCACTTTAATATGCTAATGTAATTTCTTATCTGATTTTTAATTAACCTAATTATTTTATTTATTTGATAATGATTCTTCTCTTTTGAAATCTATTGTTTTAATAATGTTTTTAATTTCTTTTCTCCTTCATTTTATGTTTTTCTATTCTCCTTCACTTTTTTCTCATTTGTAAAGCACTATGAATGACAGCCGTGTATGAAAGGTGCTACATAAATAAACTACAAATACGTTTTAAACCACGTGTATGTTCACTGGTGGGTTTTGATAGTAAATAAAATGTCTATATTTGTGTTGTAGTCATTGTGACCCCTGGTTCCTATCAGCACCACTGTAAAGAGATCTGAGTCTTAAGTTTCTCTACAACGAACCATTTCACACCAAACCACTCTACCACAGTACCATTTACCCATGAATGCCCCACTGGAAATACTGATTAAAACATCTAAAAGGACTTTTTATTATCCAGCTTAGAACAATTATATCTGCACTATTGAGTTGTTTCTGCAGCTATAATAACCAAAAATAGAAATATGAAAAGTGATTCCAAACCTTTGAATACAAGCGTACGTAAATGAGCTCTGTTCTGATTGGCTGCCCTGCCTTGTTCCTCATTCAAAAGCGGTCCAGGCTGAAACAGGCTTAAAACAGGCTGTTCTTGACCATATATGGACTGGAGAGTGAACAGTTCAGAAACTTTAACAGTGTTTACATACTACATTAAAATCTCTAAAAAAAAGTTCATTTTTAATATGGGCTTTTTTAAAGGACCCATATCTTCATTTTTTCCTTACATTTAATTTTTCCTCACATTTAATTTTCTTCTCCTCTGAGGCCTTTTTGTACCATAATTCATTTCTACAAGACTATTTCCACTTTTTTAACTGGCTGTTTTTGTTACTGTGCCTGTGAGACTGATATATGTAAATGAGCTCTGTTCTGATTGGCTGTCCTGTATTGAGCCTCATTCAAAAATCAGTTTGAGCTAAAACACCCCATATAACTTCAGTATGAATGGGCGGGGCTAAGATGCTGTAGGCTGGATAGGTGGATGGATGTAAGTATGCTGTGTTTTTGTGACATCACAAAAACAAGGACTTTTAAGCAAGCTGCTTCTTTCAGTTTAGTTTCTGCGTTTGAGCTGAGGAGTGAAACGTATCATTTAAAAACCTTAACAGTATGTACTACATCAAACTCAGATGTCAGAAAAAAACCATAATATGGACCCTTTAAATGTGGGCTGTGTGGGCCAGTAAGTCAACACTACACGCAGGATTAGTCACGCTGAGAGGCCTGAACTAAGCTTATATCACAGCAGACGTGAAATCCACTCATCATCATTATTCTCCCTGCTCAGCAGGTTTATGTAGCCCAGCAACACAAACAGCAGAGTCTGGATTTCCTCCGTGACCTCATGACCCAGATCGTTAGAAATCACAACGCAGCAGAAACAGCTTCAAAGAACCATCCAGAGTCCAGACACGTGTTGAGTATGAGCTCAGAACATTCACAGAGAGGAACGTGAGCTTCAGAAAAGAGAGAAAAGCTGTGAAAGACTTATTATGTCTGACCCTCTAAACACGTCTGAGTAGCAGGCAGAAAGACAGACAGACAGACAGACAGACAGATAGATAGATAGATAGACTGACAGACAGAGAGAGATAGATAGATAGATAGATAGATAGATAGATAGATAGATAGATAGACAGACAGATAGATAGATAGACTGACAGAGAGAGACAGATAGATCGACAGACAGATAGATAGATAGATAGATAGATAGACAGACAGACAAATGGGCAGACAGACAAATAGGCAGAAAAACAGACAGACACACAGATAGACTGAAAAACAGAGAGACATATAGACGGAGGGACGGGTGGACAGATGGATGGGAGGATAGATAGACTGATACATATATACACAGATAGATAGATAGATAGATAGATAGATAGATAGATAGACAGGGGAACGGGCGGACAGATAGATTGATACATACATAGATAGATGGATGGACAGACAGACACAGAAAGACAGACAGTCAGACAGACAGGTCTGTATAAGCCCATGCAGCATTTCCTGGGTGCTGGTTATGAGGAGATAAGTTAAACTGAACGGGGTTAAATTTGCATTGCGCCAAAGCAGCGAGAGCAGCTGAGCTGCAGGAAGCGAAGAGCCAACAAACCGACTCACACATTTACCCAGTGAACTTCAGCTCTCACGGTCATTTAAAGGTTTCTGACTCATCACGCGGAGATGCGCGAGGAGAGAGAGAGAGAGCGAGAGGCCACCGCAGACCACCGCGGACCCCGAGAGGCGCGCTGTGAAGGAGCCGCAGAGCGGGTCCGGACGGCGGACTGGACTCGGACTCTCACTCAGAGTAAAGCAGCTACTCACGACTCTCCCAGGAACTCGTGCAGTCTGATGGGGCCGATGGTCGTCTCGGCCTCGAAGTCGGGAACCACATCTCCCAGCAGTAAGCCCGGCATGGCGCTCTGCACGCGCTGGGGCCGCGCGCAGCAGCTCTTCATTGGCGCGTCACGCCCCTGACGTGGAGGATGCGCGGTCCAATCAAAACAGTGGCGTCCGAATTACAACAAAGAGAGAAATAGAATGTAGTAGAGTAATAATAATAATAATAATAATAATAATAATAATAATAATGCTTAACTTCATTGTTATTATTATTGTTATTATTATTATTATTATTATAGGCAGACAGACAGACAGACTGATAGACAGACAGACAGACAGACTGATAGACAGACAGATAGATAGACAGACAGATTGCAGCTTATTTTGTTGCTGGTCCAGATTTGGATTGTACACTGTGTCCGAAAGACACTAATTAACACTAATTAATTACAGGTGTTCAAACGCACACACAGCTTGTATAATCTCCATAGAAAGGCAGTGACCAATAGAACGCGATGCTCTGGAGCAGCTGCACATGAGCCTAAGGTCACCACGCTCAATGCCAAGAGTCAGCTAGAGGGGTATAAAGGCCCCCAGCACTGGGCTGTGGAGCAGTGGAGCTGCGTTCACTGGAGTGATGGAGCTCCATCCAATACCTCTGAGATGAGTTGGAATGTCCAGAACTGATCATCCAACATCAGTACCTGACCTCACTAATGCTCTTCTAGATGCAATCAAATCCTCATAGCAATGTTCCAGCACGTGGCATTGGGCATAGTAACCTCAGGCTCATGTGCAGCTGCTCTGGAGCATCATCTATTGGTCAAAGCCTCTCTCCACTGAAACTGTATGATATAAAGCTTTCTCTCTTATGAAAAACTGTACTAGTGTGTACACAGTTGAACCTTCAGCGTGGTTTGATGTGAAATGCTCAGTTCACAGTGACGGTAACAGGAACCATCACTGAAGTTAATGCTGCTAAAAGCTACCCCCCCAAAAACATGGAAATTCCCCCCCTGGTTCCCATCACTACCACTGTAAAGAAATCTGAGTCAGTAAGTTTCTCTACAATGAACAATTTCACAACAAACCACTCTGAATGCCTTTGTTTACATTTCAACCACTGAAATATTCAGAAATTTGGAAAAATCAGTGGAGTTTCCCTTTAGAGTGGCAGAATTCACTAATCAGAATGAGTGTCTGGATACATCTGGACTCATAGTGTATCTGTCTCTCTCTCCTCTGACTGAAGCCCAGCTCACTGCAATGCTAAAGTTCAGTGCAACTTTTTAGAGCTCGTGTGTCCATTTAGGTGCCCTGATCACGTGACTGAAACCAGTCACCTCCATTCTCTTCATCTGAGCAGCACTACTTTCCTGACCGGTGTGGAGGGGATGGCGCAGGCCAGAAAGTTACCATAGCGCGTCAAAGGTCTTTTGTGTTTGTGTTTTGAAGCAGGATTACCCCAAACCCTCTGGACACTTCGCTCTCGGTCTCGCTTTGCCTCCACCGTCCCTCATGCCGTCTCCTGGAGCCAGACGGAGCAGCTGGGCGAACGGCAGCAGGTGTGAGCCGGGCTCCTCCTCGCGCAGGCGGGCCTCCAGCTGCTCGTGTCCGGCCGGTGGAGCTCTGAGCTCCCGGCGCCTCAGTCAGCCCTTCGCCGCCGTGGCGCTGCGCTCTCTGATGGCTGTGGATCTGTGGCTGTCCCGCCGCCTGGGGGTCTGCGCCGCGGAGGACTCGCTGCTGGGGGGCATCCGGCCGCTGGTGAAGCTGCTGGAGCTCTCAGCTCACCGGACACCGTGGGTCAGCAGCGCCGTGTACCTGTTACTGACCAGCCGGACAGCCGAGGAGCAGGAGCTCATCATCAACCTGCTGATGGGTAAGACTGGTCCCATTCCCACTGTACAGGACAAACTGAGGACATCATATGTCTGTCTATCTGTCTATCTATCTATCTATCTATCTATCTATCTATCTATCTGTCTATCTATCTATGTTTTTGTCTGTGTGTCCATACATCCGTCTGTCTGTCCATCTATCAATCTGTCTATATGTCTGTCTATCCGTCTGCCCATCTATCCATCCATCCATCCATCCATCCATCCAACCTTCTATCTAGAATCTATCTATCTGTATGTTGTTCATCTGTCTGTCTGTCCATCTATCAGTCTGTCCACCCGTCCATCTATCCGTCCATCCGTCTATCTCTCTATGTATTTATCAATCTATGTCTCTCCATCCGTCCGCCCATCTATCTATCTATCTATCTATCTATCTATCTATCTATCTATCTATCAGTCTGTCTTACTTATATACAGTTTCAATGGATTTGGACTTTTCTGAGAATTTCAAAGCATATTATTTCTCATTATACTTAAATATATCTGGGAAGAGAAGCTTTTTTTTTGTTTTGACCTTCTGTCTCTCTCTCTCTCTCTCTCTCTCTCTCTCTCTCTCTCTGATGTATTGTCTGGTTACAGTACATTTCCCTGAGTGTTTCTAGACATCAGTAATCATTTAGAACAAAGGTCTGAAATATGTAATGCTTTGCAAGTCAAATGTAAGCAGCGTTGGTTGGTGTGCTGATGTACAGTAGACAATGCCGGTTGTCTTTGCACACAGTGAGGCAGTTTTGCATATATGAGTTGTACCCAGTCCAGGAATACACTACTCAGTGAATGAAGCTCCTCAGTTAAGAACCCTTTCAAGCCTAGACTTTGACATGAACTGTTTCCATTAAACTGTCCAAGAGTGCCTTTGGCCATTACCAGCAATATTTAGATAACTTCAGCTGTGGACTTGTGGCCGGTGGCCAGTGTCCATTTTTATCACAGCACCGTGCGTGCGCAGCCCCAGGCAGCTGCAGGGAGAACAGAGGACACGGCAATGGAAAAAATGCCTCCTCTGCTCACCCCAAAATACACAGTCACCTTTGGGAATTGTAGAGTCACTACTCTGGGAAGAGTCAGTGTCAGACTCCTAAAAATGCCTCCAGATTTCATTACTGTACCTTTTGGAATATGATACTATAATCAGTGTTAACTCTTGCAGTCTTTTGTTATAATTGCCTTATTGAGTTATTAATATTGTTATTATCACCTAGTTAATTACATAGTTAGTTACAGAATGAATTGTATTTAAATTTGCTTTATATTCTGTATCAGCAGGTTTGAATCTTCTTATTTTCCCATTTGTTTCTTTATAAAAAAAATGGCATAAACTTGGCAAAAATGTCAATTGGTACCAATGCTGATGCTTTGGTACCAATTTAAAATAAGACTGCCTTTATAAAGCGTGTATGAATGGTTTGAACTTAGGTTGTCAATGGTTATTAGTTAGGTATAAACCCTTAGACAGTTAGACATAAACACTTTAAAAATGAAAGAGGGTTCACTTTTAGGCATTCAGCAGGTCATTGTTGCCATTTTTATGTAGGGCAGGTGGGGCACAGCCTAACTCATTTTGTTTTTTTGTTGAATAACTTTAAAAATATTTAAGCTGGAGTAATTATATTTTTATACAAGCAACATATGCATCTCTGCTATAAATGAACATTTAAACATTGTTTCTAATGCCTACCGTTCATGTACAATTCCACCGAAAATGACGGGAAGTGCAGTGTTACAATAACTGTAACAGACAGAGGGTTCGTTGTAACACCTGATAGAAAAGTCTGATGAATTAGTGCAAAGTTAATTCAATATAATTCTATGTTGTAAGAAACAAATATATTTTCCAACCAAACTGCAGTATATCGCTGTTGTCGGAAGAAAACCTCGTATCTCCAAAATCGTAACTTTACAGGAGAAGGAAGAGACATGCTTTACTTTTAATGTAAGTCAAAGGAACCAGATTTTTTTCAGAGTAATTTTGGGTCGTTTCTTTTGGTCCATTTATCATGAAATTTACACACAATGTAAAGGACAACAGGCATTTTCAAAATGTGCCAAAAACTGAAAAACAACAAAAAATGGAGATACAGGGTTTTATCTATAACACAGACAGACATATCAATTGATAGATACACACACATCAAATTTTATATGAACACTGACATGAGACTGTGTGTCAAATAATGACAGTTTATTTTTGTCCAGTGTGGGAAAATAAAAAACATCACACATCAGTAAAATATGGAACACTGTTTCTGAATAACTACAGGTTTACCAGCTGTTACTGTCAATTTCATTAATATAATTATGTAAAAACAAAATACTGACATCTGAAAGATACTAATAAAGTAGAAGTAAATCCCTCTTTTCAGATGTTTTTTTTTCTTTTACATCTTAAAATCTGTGTAAACATATGAAACAAAAAGAGAAAATGTACTTTATTTGTCTTTGTTTACTAAAGTTAGCTTAGTTGTAACACCATGTTGTTACTAACCCCGCAGTACGGAGGCTGTACTTAAGCCTAGCTGGCACTTGCTTTGAGTTTGTCACATTTCAAAATGATGGTGTGTTGTCGGCAACAAGATGATGATTAAATAATGTAAGGCTGGGTTTTGTGATTTACACAAACAGCTCAGTATCAGAAAAAAACGTGCATTGAAAAAAATGACTTACATGCCCTGAAAACAGTCTTTGGCACAGATCTCTTTGAAACGCTGACGAATCACTCTGAGTTTTTGCGTCAGACCGTGAGTAGGAGATGTGGTAATGTGGCCAGAAGCACGAGCTGCTTGACCTTCTATAACAATGTAAAAAGTCTGTGTTAGTTCATTGTTCCCCACACTGCCCTATGAACTGCTTATTAATGATTTTAAGGTCTTTAAGGCCTAATTAATAACCATTAATAAACTCAGTTTAAACCATTCGTGAATGCTTTATAAGGCTAGTCTTATTTTAAAGTGGTACCAATGCTTTTATATTTCAACAAAACAAGACGGTAATTTTCAACACTTTAAAATTATAGTAAAATATCTCCTCTTCTACTTAGAAACACAAATATGATATGAAAAGATAATCAGAATCTGCATTTACAGAATTTCTCCAAGTGAGCTACAAGTGGGAAATAATCAGTATAAAGTGTTTCATTGTAAAAAAAAAAAATAGCTATCATATTAGCCTGCTAGCTACTTAGCTAAGCAGTTACATTTATCTCTCTGATTTGATGTATCTCATTTTATGTAAGTTGATATGCTGTATAATAAACTTGCCTTGGCTTGAAATGTAATCTTTTTTCTTTTTTTTGGAGTGGTTAAATGCAAGTGTTCTTATATTCAGTGCTGAAATTGAATATATATACATTTTTATTTAAGTGTTATAAGAGCTAAATGGTACCCCAGTTGTGGAATCACCTACCTAAAAGCTATAGCTACCTCACAGACTGATCTACAACACGCAGTATTTCAGAAATATTGCATTTTATCCATTTTTTATGAACAAAACATGACAGAAACGGCCATCCTGGTCAGCAGACTATGAGGCTAACAGGCTAAAAGGCTTCTTCAGAAATATTCAGTAGGCTAACAGGTTTCATGCATTAGTTGGCCATGTTTTAGCTACAGCTGTCATGAAATGTCTACATGTGCCTCTGTTAGCATGGTGCTAACAGAACAGAAACGCTTTAGCAGCTCTAGCGTTATGCTAGTGGTGTTAATTAAATGAAGAGAAGCTACTTAGGAAGTGAAATAATCACATTAAATGTGACTATGTAATGCAATGTGTGACTGTATGCCAGCTCAGAAATGACAGTATGACCAAGCACAATATAAAGATGCATAACATAGCAGTTTACAAGCTAGGTACCCAGATAACAGGCAATTCTGGGCCAATTCTGGCTTTCATCATATATGACCCGTGTAGGTGTTAAGCATGGAGGACTGAATAGGGACAGATATCTATGTTTGTGGGCCAATTCTGGCATGATTGGTGTGAACCAACGATGAAGTCAGGCCAGACTTGGGCCAGATTGGTACTGTTCGCCTTGCAGTGTGTGGGCCAGATCTGGTCAGTGGACTCAGCTGTATACAAGGGCCAGACAAATTTAGCTAACTCACCTACCACAAACAGTAAAGAACATAAAACGGTCTCCCAACTGTCTCTCTTTTACATGTTTATATATAGCCAGTGAGGAAGAAGTGTTTGAAACACTGCTGAAAATAGCCTCCACAATAGCCAGTGCCCAAATACACATTCACTGTGTACTAATGCACTACGCATGGAACGAGTAAGAGAACTGAGACACAGCCCACTTTCATCTTTCTGGGTTACAGAGTGAGTTTCTATTAGCAAACAATATCTGAATGTATGAACTTATCCAAACCCTTTCTCTCTCTCTCTTTCTCTCTTTCTAGCATTATTACTAGACCACATCCTGGTAAGAGTCGTGAAGGCTTTCATCCGTTATCACAGCTCAGAGATGTTTGCTACCCTCCCTCCTCATCCTCGCTACTCCTTCCCATCAGGCCACGCTACACGGGCCGCCATGTGTGCCTGTTTCCTGCACGCTCGCCTGCTGCTGGACGCTCCTGTGCGTGCTCTGCTGCTGGTCTGGGCGGCTCTGATGGGTCTCTCTCAGGTCCTGCTCGGGCAGCACAACGTCAGCGGGGTGACCCTGGCCCTGGCCATGGGCTACTGCCAGTACAGGCTGGTGGAAAGGTGCTGGGTGCCCATCGACTGGCTGCAGGACATCGTGCTGACCGTGCTGGGGAGCAGCCAGGTGACTCTGAAAGACTCAGAAACTGAGACGATGATGAGGCAGGTCACTCCGAATGACTGAGGAACTGAGACTTTGAATCAAATCAGCATGTCATGCACTGTTAGTTACTGTCACCACGCACAACATATTGATATATGATTTTGAAGTGAATTTAGGCTTCTTAGCACATATATTATATGGTATTAGGAGACTGAAGTTTGTCATATTTATGGATATGTGAGCCCTAAAGCAAAACAGTGCCTTCACTTTAAGTGTGTCCTCACTGGCACTATAGTACTAGAAGATCCCAAATGTCGAAATCCCAAAAAATGTTGGACTTTTCTTTTTGAATCACTGCTCCCGACACTTTTATGAACAGAACAAATTTCATTTTATGAGCAAATGTTTGTATGGTTTTGTATTTAAATCTGCACTTAATGTGTTCATAAATAGCAAATTGATGGAAAAATATACTTCAAAATAAAACCTCTGATATTTCAACAAAAGGACAACAAAAATTTCAAAAGGATGGCATGCCCACTCCAGGTAAGGGAAAAGGACCTGCCCCAGGTGGAGGAGTTTGAGTATCTCGGGGTCTTGTTCACGAGTGATGGGAAGAGGGACCGTGAGATCGACCGCAGGCTGGGACAGGCGGCAGCAGTAATGCGGTCGCTATACTGGACTGTAGTGGTGTAGAGGGAGCTGAGCCGTATGGCGAAGCTCTCTGTTTACCGGTCAGTCTACATCCCGACCCTCACCTATGGTCATGAGCTCTAGGTAATCACTGAAAGAATGAGATCGCGAATACAAGCGGTGGAAATGAGCTTTCTTTGCAGGGTGGTGGGCTACACTCTATTGGATAGGGTGAGGAGCTCGGCCATCCGGGAGGAGCTCAGAGTAGAGCTGCTACTCCTCCGCATTGAGAGGAGCCAGCTGAGGTGGTTCGGGCATCTGATCAGGATGCCCCCTGGATGCCTCCCGGTGGGGGTGTACCAGGCACGGCCTACCGGGACAAGACCCTGGGGTCGTCCTAGGACGCGCTGGAGGGATTATTTCTCCAGGTTGGCCTGGGAGGGGCTGGGGGTCCCCGGGAATGAGCTGGAGGAAGTTGCGGGGGACAGGGTCGCCTGGGATTCTCTGCTCTCCCAACTGCTACCGCGACCCTAGCTGGACTAAGCGGTTAATGACGATGATGATGATGATGATATTTCAACATCTAAACAACTTTAATAGTTTCAAACCATATAAATTCCTGGGCACAATATTTGCAATGCAAAAGCAGTTTTGTTTTTGTTTTGTTTTTTTCCTTTGTTTTTATCTAATTTTACTGAGTTGGCATACTTTAAGCAGGATAACACAAACCAGTTTACATCCTGTTCAGTACAGTTCAGTATCACAATTTGCTTTAATTGATATTATTTCATAAATGAATTAATTGAAATGTAATAATCTGTACTAGAGCATCTTATCTTCCTAATGAAGAATCTCTACACTGATCAACAAGCCAGAAAATGGACAAACAGACACTGAGTGTGTTTACATGCACTTCGATAATCTGATAACTGCAGAAGATCAGATTTTGTCAGTATTCCAATCAACGCGTTTACATGCACTTGAGTAATCAGATAATGGGGAAACTCGGTCTGCGTGACTCAGACAGTAATCGGATTTATGCTTTGCGACCAGCCAGTAAACTCACAGAAGAAGACATAACATAAACGTAATGTAAAACTCAAATTTCATGCTGCGGCTTGAACATTGAACATTGCGCCACCTGAAAATATGAACGTACATCATCTAGAAGATTCTCCAGAACAAAGATGAATGAGCTTGAAAAGATCTTCAAAAGCAACAAATTGTCTCTACAAACAAAGATCCGAACTGTCCAGGCTGTGATCATCTCTGTGGTTCTTTATAGGTGTGAAAGCTGGACAATAAACAAGCGATTTTTATGAACTTTGGTGTTGCTGAAAGGAGCCTTGGGCAACAAAGATAATAAATCAAGCCTCATCTCTCACTCAAAGCCCAGATAACCAAAATGAAGATCTTACTTTTGGACATATTCTGAGAAGAACCAGTTCATTGGAAAAGAGCATTATTGTTGGAAAAGTTGGAGGTAAAAGAGGAAGAGGACGGTCAGCTACAAGATGGATGATACGTTTAGAAGAAACAGGATATTCTGGAGAAAAACTACCTGTATGGTCACCAGGAGTCGGACTTGACAACATTTAATAATATTTTTTATCAAAAACTTCCATTTTCTGTGAAAAGAAGATCTGTTTGCTGTCTTCATGAGGAGTGACCTCTTTGCCCAACCTGATGGGACACCAGATGGGTGGGTTGGATATCTGCTTTTATTCTGCAGCACCTGAGATCGCAACGTGTCCACCGCTAGAATCTCTGCTCTGGGTTCCCAAAATTACCTTCCAGTGTAAGAAATGAATACACTGTTGAGAGCAACCGTTTGGGTTTATGCATGAATTTAACAGCTTGTTAACAGTTAAATTTACTTATGCAGATATGAGGCTGAATGGGGACACTTCGTATGTGCATTTATATTCCGGTGCAGTAGATGGCGCCGAAACACCAACACAGACTTATGGACTTGATGAAGATGGAAAGATGAAGTTGTGTGTCCCCACTGTGTATTTCTATTGTGTAACACATAGACAATTACATCTTATTCTGTGTGAGTGAAAAGCAAACAAAGTCTGATGCACTTGGTTAAAGTTTGAGCTTTTATTTTTGAAAATATATCATTAGGGAACAAAGTATCAGTGCTAATGTGGCAAATACATAAATATTTTACAATATGTTTTGAAATATATTTACAAAGACGCTTATATGCAGAGAAAATATATTTTATGAAACAGTATATTTACAATAAATGTTTTAATGTTGAAGCTGGTATCCTTTTACCTGAAGACAATTTCTCTAAGCATACAGTCGTAAATACAGTCGTATACAATAGTTTGAATATCACTGGTCAAATGGCATGAATTTATTGATTTTCTGGGTGAAAATAAGTTACACATCCTCTACAGAGAACACACTTCTGCACATTTTAATATACAATTACTGTTTATTTGCTGAATTTAACACATTGGGGGAAATAAAGCATAAAATGTGGCCTGTGCAAACATTATGGCACATTTTGTCTATTGCTATTGTGACCCTAGCTGGATCAAGCAGTTTAAGAAGACGAATGAATGAATGTTTTTCGTGCACTAAAATGTGCATAAAAATGCCATACTTAAGTTTGTTCTCTGTAGAGGATATTCACTTAGAAAATCGGCAAAACTTTTAGTTTGACCAGTGACTTTTACACATGACTGTACATGCTTAAACACAATGAATACAGAAACAGCTTCCTCTCATCTGTCAGTGATCTGAAACAAATTCGTATGTGTAGCTGTGAGTTCTGTGTTTTGTTGTTACTCATTTTAATGAGTGCACATTGAAAAAAAAAACATATTTAGCCTCAAGCATGAAATCTGTCTCCGATTTAATTAGGATATTTTCCCCCAGTAACCTGTCAAGCCTTGAGCTGTAGATTGATACAGATGAAAGATTAAAGATTAAAGAAGTGTTTAAGGGTGAATGCTGTTCAAGGTGCTGTGTAAGTGCGCTTGTATCCATGATTCTGTTCCAGACAGCAGTGGTTCCCAACCCTGGTGCTGAAGTAGCCTTGTTATCCCTGCTCTAACATATCTGCTCTAAATAGTTGGTTTATTTATGAGCCTTTTCTGAGTTTAAGTGAAGCTGTTTTGGTCTTTGTAACCATGTGAATTTCCGAGTTATAGCAAGGAAACTGCACTTCACTAAGCTGTACATTGAAGTAGTAAACATAGGCAAGTCCCACGTCTTTCGAGTTTATGAGTAGCATATAACGTAGCATGTAACGTAGAACATGGTAGACCAAACTATCCGGCCTGAAACTAGAGTTTAGTATATTGTCATGTTATGTAGTATTGTGGACAGAATTATATCCTATATCAATTTGACAGAATTCATGATTTTTTTGGTTTCATGTTTTCTTCCATCACTGTGCTTTCACTACAATACCCAGAATGCATCATGTGAATACATTACACAGCCACTGGGAATCCCTGTGGTGTCAGCCAATCCTGACTGCTAGCTACTGAACTATAAATGCAGCCATTAGTCTAACTTTTACTTCAATCATCAAACAAAATTGTAAAGAAAACAGTGATTCTTTCTTTATCCAGTGCAAAATGGATGCCAGAGACAAGTTTTTTACCTCTCCAGCTAAAGAACTGAGCCAAACTGAAGTAAGGTATCTAGAAAGCTGGCTACCTCGCTAATTTTAGCTTTTAGCTTGTTGTGCTCCTTGTCTGATGAGTCATTTCTGTTGTTTGAGTAGTCACTTCTGTTCATTGTAATGATTTGAAGTCATTTACTACAGTTATTTGCAGTAAGATATTTGGGTTCCTAACAGTATTGTTAGCTATCTGCTTTTCTTCTGCATTCACCAGTTTACAAAGAAAGAAAAATTAACCTGCCCCCGGTAGGTGGTTTTTCCTACTACCTTCATGATACATCACCAGAAGGAGGTATTTCTAGTCTTTAAACCAGAAAATCCCACTTTAGAGACCACTGTAGCATGTTTACAATTTGGCCAAGACTGTTCCATCATGCCTATCTGTAGTAAATAGGCAGGTTCCAACAAAAGCAGCTAGCAAATAACAATACATAAGTTGTCATTTTTTTGTAGTGAGTGATGTCATTGGTCCATCCCAGTGCTTATATGTGTTGTTCATGTAACAAGTTTGCCAGTTACCAAGGACCACCTAAATGCAAATAATTGGTGGTTATGATGACAATTTTCCGACCTTGACCAGAAATCTGCAGGGCAAGGGTCTTCCAGGACCGGTATTGGGAACCACTGGCATACAAGATCTGCATCATTCTGGATCCTCTCTTAGAAGCCCCCAAGTTTGACTTCGTAGGTGACCATGTGGAAGTTGTCCCAGGCGAACAGTTTTTTCTTGGCGTAGTTGTAGTCAATCATGCTGTTGTAACGGTAGCGATTGTGGAAGGGCACATCCAGCATCTTGCTCTTCCCACTGGCTGTATCGAAGGTGTAGTTGACCGTGGTGGTGTTGGTGCTGTAGCTGGCTACTGTGTACAGCCTTCCACAGATCATGAAGGCGTTGGCCACCTTGTTCTTCCTTACATTGGTCTTCCAGCTCCTGATCACCTCCAGACTCTCAGGATCTAGTTGGGACAGCACTATGGCTCCCCCGGCCTTGTCCGTGCTGTAGATTGCCCACAGGCCCTGCTCGTCCACAGCCAGGTCGATGTCAGTGTAGCCGCCCCAAGAGTAGGGGTACTTGCCATGGAAGCCGGCCTGGGGCAGGTCCTTTCGGGCCACAATCTTCTCAGAGGCCAGGTCAAAACGCAGCAGGGTGGGGCTTCGTCTTTGCTGGTAGTACAAGTAGCCCCGGTACACGGTGGCCCCTGTGCTCTCCACTGGCTCTGGCAGGACCACCACCTTCATGGGGAAGCCTCGGGCTAGCTGTTCCAGGTTCTCGTAGGCGTACAGCTCTTTCACGTCTTTGCCCACAGCATTGATGCGCCACACCGTATTCGGGCCGTAAGGACGTCCTGTAGCCACGGGGTCCTGGAACCACATCCCGTATTTTCCAGTGATGCTTTCTGCCTTTTGATGGGTCTCAGGTTCTCCTACAGAAACGAGTTCCCCGCAACCTTTTCATACATACAGAGAGAGAGAATAGTTGTTAAACTTTCTAGGTCCCTTATGGAATGTGTGCTTTAAAATGTGCTTAGGTTTTCTTTAATTGATCATTCTGTGCTCACCAATGCACTATTGTGACTATTGTTGTGAACTTGGACAGAGCACTGGTAAAAAACATCCCATTCAGTTTAATAAGAAATTGTAATTTAGTATTAGTCAAATGATGTAAATTTATATTATTAAGTTAAAATTATATTAATTTTTTATGAGAATGGAAGATAACATAGGGTAGATCTGGTATAATTTATGAGTAATTAGGGCTGGTTTCTATGACCTAATGTATAAACTACACACGAGAACACTCAGATAAACAATAAACATTACATCCAAGTGTACATGTGAAGTAATTTAAGAGTTAAAGCAGCGCCCCCCAACTCAATTGGTCCTGCTCCGGTTCGCAGATTGTAGCTAATACCGTGGATAGAGTTTAGATGAAGCTGAAGTTAGCTTCTTATTGTTTATTTGCTGTTCCTCCTTAAATGTTGTAGCCATTACATTCTGATAACTGGACACTGTGTCTAACTATGGCGCCTTTTAAGGTGGAATGGAAATTCGGAAATAAGGAGCTAATATCAGCCTTGTGAAATTAGTATACCAAATTGAGCATGATGGTGTGAATCTGGTACTGGCTGACAGGAGGCAGTGCCCTATAGAGTTCATTACTTTTTTCATTTGTGAATAATTTTCATTTGTGAGTAATTAAAGATGGATAGTGGCACCAGCAAAAAACCCAAGATGGCACCAAGAAAGCAAGAAAGAAAAAGCTACTTAAGGAGGATGAGGACATATCCGAGCAGGTGAGAAGTGAGAACTTCTTTCTTAGCTAGCATTAGTTTGTAGCATATTGACTGTCATGATTATGTCACATTATAGATAAAAGCCTCCACCAGTCTTTGTTATCACTACCATAGGCACCTTGGTTATCTCAGTGTAGCACATAAATAATAGATAAATAAAGATGATCATATGTGTGATTGTGTGTGTATGTAGAGGTTGGGGTGGGCTGGTCTGCATCATGTAACTCCTGGTCTGGGTACCACTATGTGTGCTGTGCGCTCCAGTGTTAGTGGGAAAAATAAGTCCTTTTTTAAAGCATGTTACAGTAGCTAGCCATGTAGCTTATGATGTTAGCCTAGCTAGCAAGCACCACTAAAACTGAAACCACTGAAGCTTCTGCTTAGCTTGTCAATAAATGTTTTTCCTTAAAAATCTTGATTATACAGTAAAAAAAAATGTAATCAGTCTGGTTTATCAGTTTGATCTCATCAAATATTCTGAAACTAATAACTAAAATGTTCATATTATGACAAAAACAAAGTTGCACACTCTGATTTCTCATTAGACTAAATAGAACAGCATTAATAACTCTAGTATTGTATGTTACTGCTTGTTGCTCAGGGTGTTAGTCTCCAGGGCTCAAACCAAATTTACATGAGCCGTTTAAACTGATCACCTGATTTCTCCAAACCTGTGTTGTTCTGGACGTTCTCTCGAACTTTAGCAGGCGCTGGAAGCTCAGACAGCTCAGCCTTCAGCTCCTGGAATTCACCATTAGTGACGGGCCCTGGAGGAGAAACAGACATTACGTAAGCTCTTCTGTAACGTTCACAGCGCTCTTCAGCAGTGGCTTCTAGATCTAGTGTGTGAGACCCGCTGCCAAGCAGAGGTTAGAGTTTGCCCTGAATTCACTTGCTCTGTAATTAAGTGTAGAGGATTACAGTGTAGGCCAAAACAAGACACAGACACTAACAGTGGGTATCAGAAAATATGAATCAACTGTTAGTGCTGACATGGCTCTAAATTATACATCTGTGAGTAATACTGGTTATCTTTTCAGTTCTGCAACACCAAATGCAGTGATTATTATGCTTTAAACATGCCACAGTCATTGTGACAGACCAGAATGAGTCACCTGGGCTCATGTTATTAATATTAATGTTCAGGATGCATCTTATATGGCCAGTATAACTGAATACAAAGTCTCACCTCGTAACGCCTCCACACATAATGTCTGTAAGCTTTCGTTAAAGGATTAAACTTTAAGCTGCTTGTATTTATATCTCCAGTACAAAGTGTAAACGACAGATGACGAAGCAATGCTTCCGAAATCTTGCCTGTGCTATTCCAGGGAAATATTAATAGGCAGCTACAAATTCAGCATAAAAACAAACATGTATACCTCCACGAATCTGTCCGAAAACACAGCCACATGTGATTGACAGAGTACTAAAGGAGAGATTTCACCCCTTGCTCTTAGCCCTACCCCTCCGTTTGGTGGCATTTAAGGTGGAACATGAAAACTTGAACAAGAAGCTGGTGAATAGCTGAGTTCAGCTTCATATCACTGAAGAATTAGGGGTGGGCCTGCTATCACTGCAGACTGGCAGGGTCGCCTACAGAGCAGCGCTTGTAGCCTGTTAATGAAGTAATGTTCTTCTTTATTTGAGGGTCCCATTTCATAGAGGAAGATTTCAACCACTAGCCCCTGTAACTCAGTTCCAAGGGGCAAGTTGACACTCGAAAACAAAGGGTAGGAGTAAAAATAAGAAATAGCATCGGACCATGGACTACATCTCTTGCTATAAATTTCAGATCTCTTGTGCCGTTTAACAAAATCATTTCTGGGAATCTCTCTCTAAAATCAACACGTGTCGCGCTTCCGGGTTCTCCTTCCTTGCCTAGCACGCTCCAGGACTCCATTTCCCATAATTCCAGTCCCTATGATGTCACCAGTTCCTCCAATCACGTGCAACTGCCTCGTTCTCAGTCACCTGAGTTCTAATGCGATTCACCTGTGTCTGTTTGTCTCAGACTTTAAATAGTCTTCGGTGTGCTCTCCTCATTGCGAGGTATTGCCATTTCCCTGGTTTACTGAGTTGTTATTCTGATCTTTTGACTTGCGTTTTGAACCCTTTGCCTGTTTTGTGGATTTTGCTTTTTGTATTTGCCCTTTTGCTCTGGTTGCCTGTATGTTTTTTGTCTTTTCTGGTTTTTGACTCTGGCCTGGTTTTTGGGTCCTGATTTTGGATTTGCCCTGAAACTGCCTTCCATCTTTACCTCTCTCATTAAACAGCCTTTTGTTTTTAAGAACCGCGAGCGTCTTCTTGTGCTTGGGCAGTGTTACAACATGGTGTTTTATGTATCTGTTAATACATATTTGACACAATATGAGCCCATTTACACCTGCTGTTGGTGAAAATTCAGAGGGTGGGGGGGCATTTCCCTTCCACTTTTTGAAATTTTGTGATATCATTTTTGTGGGGTAGCAGCATGGCTGCCAAAAAAGCTTTAACTGAGAATATTTTCCATTAAATCCTCCACACCAATCATAGTGCATATCATGAATCATCATTACAAGAAAAAACAGAGGCTGCCTTTATAGTGGAAACACAGCACACAGACACTAAGCTGTGCAAAAAAGTCTCTGTCAGTGAAGCAGGCAGCCTAACAGCTAACTTCACTACCTCACAGCCAGAAAGCCCTGGGTTTGATTGAAAACACTCTTACCTTTTCATGTACGTTAAAGTAAAGGGGTTTTATTCCAAGTGATTGTGGAGCATTTCTATTGGTCCATTCATCATGAAATTTTCACACAGCATAAACGACAGCTGTGGCCAGTTGCACCAGCTGTGCATAAACTCAAACGGAGGCTAGTTGTAACGTAAGTGTTCACTCAGTTCAGGTATATGCGTTATTAAATCTAAGTTGCCCACAAACTAGTTTTAATGCTGAGATTAGTGGTAATTAACTCCCTCTGTGCAGGTGTAAGTTTTAGGAAAACCATCAGAAACCATGTAGAAAACACAAAAAAGACCAAAAACATGACTGTTTTGGTCAACTAAGCTAAAAATACTAAACACTATATGCTGTGATTTTACTTACAGCTCTAATCATCGGCCTGGTTTAAACTCCGAGCATGAAGCTAAACACACACAGCTCCAGCTCAGTTAGACTCAGCAGCTGCCCAAACCGCTAAACTGAGGCTGCTGTTGTGTCAGTCAGCCAGAAACTGTCATTTAAAAAGCTGCATATTTCGTTGTCAAAAGGAAATATTATAGAATAAACAGACAGCGGCTGTAGATAATAGTTTTATTCAGTTTAACCTGTACATACCATTTTCTTCTATGCTGGATATTTTTCCTATGGAGAAGTCAGAGCTGACTGCTGCTGCGTTTCCATGGCAGCAGGTTTACTGATTGGTTCTGAACATGTTATTGTCATGGTAAAGCGACGCACGCATTAGTTAGCTGTTACTAGTTAAGACATGCCTTATGGATTTGTGGTGCAACCAGATTTAGTAAAAGGATGGTTTGAAACTAACTAGTGTAACTAAGGACTTAGTAAAGACTTTACACCCAAACTTAAGTATAAACTTACGCAAACCTGGTGCAACCCAGTCCTGGTGCGTTAAAATGATATAGAAAAATAAAAATCATCGAAAATATAAATGCATGGTTTTCTTTGGACAGCGACGATATATACAATTTTTATTTTAATGTTTTTAGGTTGTGAACTAAGATATCGTCACTGTCCAAAGAAAAACAAATATCTCCAGAATGGCAACTTTCGAGGAGAGGGTAAAAGCACTCTTTACTTTAATGTAAGTTAATGTAAAAAGATTTTATTCCAAGTGATTTTAGAGCATTTCTATTGGTTCATTCATCATGAAATTTGTACACAATGTAACGGACGGCTGGTGTGATGAAATGATGTAGAAAAATAAAAATCGCCAAAAATGGAGATACATGGTTTTCTTTGTACAGCAATTTTGGAGCATTTCTATTGGTCCATTCTTCATAAAGTTCTTATACAATATAAAGGCTGGTGTGCTCAAATAATGTAGGAAAATTTTAAAAATTGAATTTTTGGACAGCGACAGTATGGAAAAAAGTGTGTACATACTGACTGCATACAGTTTTTCAGGGCGTAAACTTCCAATACTTGTTATCTACATTAGCCTCGTAGCTCCAGTGCAAAACGAATGAACACACCAAACACATTTTAGCAGATCAACTGCATTTGAGTTATGAGACGACACCTGAAAATTGTCTAAATTAGATTTGTCCCCAGACTATAGCTTTAACACTCACCACTGCCCTTCATAACTCCAAAGCCGTCAGTAGGGTCAGCCTGTACCAGTGGACAGGGCTTCTCCCTGAGCTTCTCTGTCTCCATGGTCAGCTCCTCCACCCGTCTGCGGAGCTCCTGCACCTGCCTGTCCAGCTGCTCTTTATCCTGAACGAGCCGCCTGGTCTCCTGGACGTCCGCGGCTTCTCTGGCCGCCTCTGTGAGCCCCTCAGCCCCCAGGACTCTGCTGACCACGGCCTCCAGCAGCGTGAGGCGAGCACTGAGGTTTTCAGCCTCTGGGCCGCCGATTGAGCTTCGACAGCTGGACTCGACCGGACTGTCCACGGTGAAAGTGTACTGGCAGCGGCCGTTACGGTCACCAGACCTGCGGAATGAGGCTCTGTCCTGCCCCTGACCACCCAGCACCAGCCAGCACACAAACACAGCCAAGTGGACCCACATGTTCGAGAACAAAAGTAGGACTAGCAGCTCCACACAGGCTCTTCAGGTTAGGTTCTTCTAGCAGGACCTTGTAGATTACTGTCTGCTCTACTGTGAGCTTTTTGTATCGTCCAAAGAGATACCTGCTTCTCTGCCTGTGTTTTCTGAGCTCGGTGAGGCTCTGAGGACCAGATTTATGAGCTCCTGCATGGTGGGAGGGGAAAGAATGTGTAGGTGGCCTTCAAGAAGGGGGAGTACAAGAGGGCGAGAAAAGAGAGGGACAGAAAGGTAGACACTTGGAGCTTAGGAGTGACACTGTAGTTTGAACACAGTCTTTTTTCTATTAACACTTCTAGATCCCCCATGTTGGTGATATTTTATTAAGATTTGAAATCAGTGAAGTTATTGTTGTGTATACAGTCTTGTTTTGCATCCTTTACACTTTTGCTGTTTTTTTTATCATTTTTTGAATTATATATATGTATATATATATATATATATTTATCAATCATTTTTATCAAAACAAACAGAAGTGCAGAATCAAACCTGTCAATACAGAATTAAATTGAATACAAATTATAAAAAAAGGAACAAGATAAGAATAAAACAAGAAAAAATACATAACCAACTACAGTACTAGGCAAAAGTCAGAGGTGGCCTTTCCTTTAGTTCATTTACAGCCATCAAGCCATTCATTTTTGAGAGCTGTTTCTGAAGAGGTTAGATATAAAAACTGAACAGTGCTCTTCCTGAAGAAAATGCAGTGATTGTGCAGCTTAAGTGATCTGAAAATGGTTGCTTAGGTGTTGCCAGTGTGGCATTTTATATGGTTGCTAAGGTGTTGACAGGTAGTTGCTGTGAAATTCCGGTGGTTGCTGAGATGTTGCTAGGTGGTTGTGGCTATGGTATCCAAGATGGTTGCTAGGGTGTTGTTAGGCGGTTGCTATGGTATCCCAGGTGGTTGCTTAGGGGGTGTTAGGAGATTGCTGTGGTATCCCAGGTGGTTGCTAAGGTGCTGCTAGGTGGTCGCTATGGTATTACAGGTGGATGCTAAAGTGTTGCTAGATGGTAGCTATGGTATCCAAGGTGGTTGCTAGGGTGTTGCTAGGAGGTTGCAATGGTATCCCAGGTGGTTGCTACGGTGCTGCTAGACGGTTGCTTTGGTATCACAGGTGGTTGCTGAGGTGCTGCTAGGCAGTTGCTATGGTATCCCAGGTGGCTGCTAGGAAGTTGCTGTGGTATCCCAGGTGGTTGCTAAGGTGTTGCTAGGTGTTTGCAATGATATCACAGGTGGCTGCTAAGATGTTGCTTGGCAGTTGCTATGGTATCTGAGGTGGTTGCTAGGGTGTTGCTTTGCAATGTGCTCTCACTAATAATCCACTTGCATAAGGAAGGAGAAAGTCAAAGGAAATAAAACAAGTGGAAAAACAGGATTTTCACAGGAGATACAGTGAAAGTGTGACTCCAAACATCCACCTGGAAGAGCTGGTAGACACCAAAACTGTCCTCATCAGATAAACAGCACTGAAAGCTTTCATCTTTGAGAGAGAGGAGAAAATCAACCAGCTTCAGACGTGAAAAAATCCACAGGCAGCTCAGCGCTATGGGTCTGAAAGGATGTGTAGCTGTTACTGAGAAGAAAATGTGCAAGTCAAACAAAGAAGCTGTGGTCATTTATAGGCTCCCTCTGCGTGCTATTGATCATCAACATGGACTACAATTTCATATCTTTTCCACCTGCCTTCTTACAACATTGCCTTCATAGTATTAAACACTGGGTTAGGGTTTCCGTCAGATCTGTTTTTCTCATTTTAAACTTTTTTTTGGCATAAACCACAAAAACATAAGTAGTCTTTACTAGGAAAAGCAAAAATGGGGCCCTTTTAAATAGTTGAGAAGTGTTTACATGTGGCCCTTTACTAGGATCTAATTTGTGACTCTCCTTCAACCCCAAATCCTCCTGAACAAATCCTCGTCTTTGCTAACTGCAAAGATGAGCACTGTGTTTGTACCAGAATAGAGGGGCTGAAATCACGACACATGGCTCAGGCCCAGTGTGTGAAAACAAATGATAGGAAGAAATGTGAGGTTCTCTCAGGACCCGCATCGGACCTCAGACCTGCAGCCCTCTGAGAGACGAACTAAGCACTTTTACACACCCAGCTTTGGGCACCGCAATGGCCCATTAAAACTAATAGCACATAAGAGAAGATTTACTGTCCCGTATTTCCCTCTGTGGACTGAGCTCCGGCTCTGTGGGATGTTCAGGAACTTTCCAAAAGATCTGTTCGTTGAACAGAAAAGCAGACGTGTATGAGTGATTTGGAGGTCGTGTGTCCAAACTACTATTCAGACAAAGAGAATCAGTCTGTTACTGAGACAAATAACTGTTGATGAGACTTTAAGGTTGCTAGTAGAACCTGGGTAAGACCCACATGTTGGATGATGGTAATTCCTGGTAAAACCTCCGTTTGGAGGGCCGTGTATCCCTAACACTTCGTCCTACCCCTCCATCTCAACAAAAATTGGGACACCCTAACCCTAGACGTGAACGCGCAAAACAGAAGGCTAAGGGCTCAGTGGTAGGGGCGAGGGGTGAAATGGGACTGGGCCAAAGTGCTGTGGTTTTACTTGTAGTTTCAGTACCATTTGGATGATGGGGAGGTCTTTAAAGTTTATGGCTAATTTGCTTGAGACAAGAAATTCTTATATAAAAGGCAGAGATGGGAGTCGCTAATCGACTGATGCAAACTGGCTGTAGGTATTCAGTTGTGTTCAATTCAGTAGTAAAACCATAAACCTGTGCACATTGTTCTCTTATATACTGTCTGTGCTTCCATGGTGCTGTGTTTATTAGCTGATCATGGTGTTAAAGCATTAGTTAGTTGTTAGTATTTAAGATGTGACACACTGATTTGTGGCGCAGATATATTTAGTAAAACGATAGGTTGAAACCAATTAGTGTTGACTAAGGACTTAGTAAAGACTTTAAGTACAAACTTAAGTACCAACTTCTGCAAAGCTGGTGCCACTCAGTCGTGTTCTAGTGCTTGTACTCTGCACTGTACATGAACATCTTCATTACAGTCTGGCTCTGTTGTGTTTTTCTCACATTTGAGACGGTTGCATAACTTCACTGGTTTGTTTGTGCTGGAGGTGGCAGCCTCTGTCTCTCTCTCTCCCTCCCTCCCTCTCCCTCTCTCCCTCTCTCCCTCTCTCTCTCTCTCTCTCTCTCTCTCTCTCTGTCTCAGGGCAGGGTGGGAGGTGAGGGGTTGTTTTTTGAGCGCTGGCAGGCTGAGGGGACTGTGGTAACAGATTACAGGCTGTCTGCTGTTCGGGAGGTGTAATCACGAGTCAATCACCATCCACTAAGCTCCCTCTTTGTCTTACTATCTCCCATTCTCCCTCATTCATGTTCTCTTTTTCTTTCTATCTCTCCGGCCTTTTTTTATCTCTTTCTATGTTTTTCTTCATCTTTGCTTTCTTTACATCTATCTATCTATCTATCTATCTATCTATCTATCTTCTTCTTCTTCTTCTTCTTTTCTTTTCTTTTTTCCTGCTCAGGATCTCATTCCCTCTCTCCTTTTTCTGTTTCTCTCTTCATCCTTCTGTTTTCTCTCTATCACTGTTTCTCTCTCCCTCCTTCTTTTTCTCTCTCCTTTTTTCTCTCTTTATCTCCCTTTTTCTCCCCTTCTTTCTCTTTCCTTTTCTTTCTCTGTCACTCGTCTCTCTCTTTGTCTTGCTCTCTATTCCTTTCTTTCTCTCTGTTTTTCTTTGTGTTCTTTTTCATGATTGCTTTCTATCTATCTATCTATCTATCTATCTATCTATCTATCTATCTATCTATCTATCTATCTATCTATCTCTCTCATCCTAATCCATCTCCATTCCTCTCTCTCTCTTGTCCAGTGATTGTGTAAGTGTAAGGTTCTTGGGCGTTCTTTAAGGTTCTTTATTAAAGTTTTGGAATTCCAGTTAAAGTGGTTCAGCATTGGGTCTTGATTTAAACTGTCTGTAAATACAGGCTCCTGAAATTCCAGCAGTCGCTCCACTGAACGTAAACAGGGTCTATAAAGGGTTTTATGCTGCGACCGTGCGACTGAAGTCTGGAGGCGCGAGGAGAGAAACATGTTTACGTCGTGACTGTCTGTCTGCTGTTAACGGGGGCTAAAACGTGAGCTGGGTGGGGAGAGGTGCCCGTTACGTAAGGCCAGGGCGGGCGGGGGGCTGTTGTTTTCTCGCTCTAATGCCCTCTGAGGGCTCTTCTGTGCAGCCTGAGCTTCTGCAGAGAGCTGGAGCCGGACGCTCTGATGAGAACAGCAGACGTCTCTCTGCACGAACAGACAGCAGTGGATCACCAGACGTCTCTAAGACAGCATTTCCCAATCCAGCTCCTGAACTGGCCACAATTTAGTAAGGTGTGGGAATGAGTTCATGCTTTACTAAATCAAGGCCATGCATTAGGATCTCGTTCTCACGCCTTACTAAGTTGTGGCCACACATTTGGATCTCGTTCCCACACCTTACTAAGTTGTGGCCATGACTTAATTATCTTATTCCCATGCCTTACTAAGTCAAGGCCACGACTTAAGTATCTTGTTCCCATGCCTTACTAAGTCATTTGTTGTGGCCATGCATTAGGATCTCATTCCCATGCCTTAGTAAGTTGTGGCCATGACTTAGTTATCTTATTCCCGTGCCTTACTAAGTTGTGGCCATGCATTAGGATCTCATTCCCATGTCTTACTAAGTCATGGCCATGACTTAATTATCCTGTTTCCATGCCTTACTTAATTGTGGCCACGCATTGTGATCTCATTCCCATGCCTCACTAAGTCATGGCCACCACTTACTTATCTTGTTCCCATGCCTTACTAAGTCGTGGCCATGACTTACTTATCTTGTTCCCATGCCTTACTAAGCGGTGGCCACACATTAGGATCTCATTCCCATGCCTTACTAAGTTGTGGCCACACATTAGGATCATGTTCCCATGCCTTACTAAGTTGTGGCCATGCATTAGGATCTCATTCCCATGTCCAACTAAGTCATGGCCACGACGTAATTATCTTGTTCCCATGCCTTACTAAGTGGTGGCCATGCATTAGGATCTCATTCCCACGCCTTAGTAAGTTGTGGCCACGCATTAGGATCTCATTCCCATGCCTTACTAAGTT